AAAATAACTCACTCTCTCTCTTTCTCTCTCTCTCTCTCTCTCTCTCAACATGATATATATTAAACTAATGTACTGATGTGTCGGTCACTTAAAGGTCAACAAGAAAGGGTTAAGGTGTAGTGCCCAGACAACTATACACAACTACCCATAGATTCATTTACGTGGATGTAACTTTCAACTGAACACATAAAGAACTTCCCAGGATTTTATTTTGATGTCGATGTAAATTCTCAACTGATTATTTTTCCATTGTTTTTTTTTTTAGGGGAACAGAAGACTTGATTTCCCCAAGGCTTTAGTGATTTACAATTCCTGGTACATTTATTTTAAGGTCTTCCGGCACTAAACTCTGCACAGGTTAATCAATATTAGTCAGGGATTACTTGCATATCTATCTATCTATCTATCTATCTATCTATCTATCTATCTATCTATCTGTCTATCTATCTATCTATCTATCTATCTTTCTAAACCGAGACTGAGATCAATAGTAGGCGAAAAGGAAACCAATTTGTTCACCTGTGTATAATCCAAAACTGTCGGATAATTTTTCAAGTCTAATATCAGGGTCTCAGTTCATACAAGTATAAAATTTTTGAGGGGTTGACATCCCTGGGTGATGGAGGGGTCAATTATTTAAAACAAGGAAATATTTACCAATTAGTGCTGGTATTTGTTTACCAATTATCAAATGACCTGTATATGTGTTTTTGTTTTTGTTTTTCCATGTAATGACACAAACTGTATTTGATTAATTAAACCTACACACTGTACCGCTCGTTTATTTATTGGGGCAACACATCTATTACATCATGGTTGTTCATCATACCCACGTACTTTATGTAAACATGAGTGTTTATTACTCTTAAAAGGGACAGCTGCCCAGGACCCAACCACTTGTCGTAGCTCAGGTGTCCAGACAACACAGTTTGAGTGTACATATACTTCAGCGCCGAGACGACAATATTATATCGCGGGTGAGGTCAGGGCCGGTCCCTGGCCCACCAGCAGATGTTTGTCCAGGGCCCCATAAGAGATATAGTAATATAATGGTTGCTGGCCATAGGGCCACCAATGCTGTTTCACAAACAACCACCACACCTTGAATTGATGAACTGTATGACCTAGTATCAAAGACTAGACCGAGAAAACCGGACTGCTGGGTAGACAAAAGCAAATGGCGTAAAGGAATTTCCCCCCCAGTATCACCCTGCCGGGGGACCGAACCCGGGTCCATTAGCTTGTAAGGCGAGCATGCTGACCATAACATCTGCGTTACTGTACCCACACCACAGGTCACCCGTGTCAGGGATCCACCAATTCAACATATGTCAATACTCTCGGGCGTCACTATCTTATACATCATAATAAGACTACCCACAACCTCACACCACAAGCTACCAGATCCTCACAGCGACATTACTAACCCACTAAACCACTCACCTAAAAACCTTCATTTATATACTAAAGCTTAACATCAGGAGCACCAATCAACTAATACACACATACAAACAAAAGGTACTAATACTCTTCAGGCATTATGTGAAATAAATTACCTTCTACTCACTCTCCTGCAGGAATAACTCGAAGAAAAACATAACAAAATCGTAAGACAATAATAAAATATACACCTGATAATCCTCTTTAAATAACAGAGTGGTGAAGGCGGCTGTTAGCGTCTAGTATTAGTGAGAGGGAAGTGAGTGGGATGGTGGATTAAGAGGGCTCATAACACACATATATATTACCCACTTCATACCAGTTACCTCCTACATAAGCTTTTAAGTTGATGCCAGGAGAGTGTACAGGGTTACCACACTCACACTTATGGAGTATCTTATGGGGGTTATTGACCATGGATGACAAGGTATATGTCTCTCTCTCTCTCTCTCTCTCTCTCTCTCTCTCTCTCTCTCTCTCTCTACACAACCACCACCACAACAACCAACCCGTGACATCCACTACTACCACATTTAGTATCACCATTTTCCCATATATATTCACCATCACATTCCCCTCCACAACTCACATTAACAACACATTCACTATCAATTTCACATTCACTATTACCTCATACACATCACTATCGCATCTACTCGGGCATCAATCATCATTTTCGCTTACATTACCTGTCTAATCTAATCACTATCACCTGTATAACCCGAGTCACCTTCACACCTCATTAGTCATCAGTATTTCTCTCATCAACATACACAACTAATTACTTCCACGTCAACAACTATCAACACTGACTATCCCGTCTTAAAGATTACTATCATCACTAATACCACTTTACATCCATTATCACCTCAAACATCACTAGAATAAACTAAGAAAAAGTAAATATCACAACGTTTAATTTTCCCTCTTTTTTTTTCTTTTAATCTATTCTGGTTAACAATATTTTTAAACCCAGAAAGACTTGGTGTTCGTGTAACTTGAAATCAGTCTTGTAAGGTCCCCCCCTCCTCCTCTTCCTCTCATTCCAGTTTCTATGATATCGGTAAATGAGCAAAACAATTTTCCTTCTTCAAAAATTTAGTCCCGAGGTAAAATACGTGATTTGTATGGGGTACGTTGCCGAGTATTAGACTTTTACTGGTACGGATGTCTTTCATAAGTTTGTGTCCTCAGCACCGATATCATTCAGTTAACTACTAAAATCTGTTTGATTCTTCCCCCTGAACCACAAACCCCGATTTTCAGACTCGTAAACGCTAAGCAGTAGACTGATACATTATTTTCTCCATAAATGCTTCGGATTCATGAGCCTCTATCTCGGGGTTCGTGGTTCAGGGGGAGGAGCAAACGAACTCTCCATGAATCAGCGTTTATTTTTGTCTCTTATCCATATCCAGATAACCGCTATGAACATTTTGAAAAGTAACACAATTTTCTCAATAGGAGGAAAATCTCTCTCAGAAAAGTCTAATTTCGTCAAAACTTTCGCCTCTATAACCTTTAGTTCAAACTTTTCTCTAGCTCTTGGTGTCATGCTCAACGTATCGCCGGAACCATTCAGTGTGTAGAGAATCGAACCCCTTGCCATTTCTCAATTAGGATCACATACTAAACCCAACTTCGATATCTTTCTGAAATTAAGTTTTGGGTTACTAGCCCAGTATGAGCCAATAACACTCAGCTTAATGTTACTTTCTGGATAGGGATTGTCCCAGGCCTTTTTTAGTTCCATGGAAGCAGCAAAGAAAATCGAGAAGATAGAAAACGATAATGATTAAATTGTTCTTAAGACTAAAGACTATTCATCATATCTTACAGTATTCTCTATAATGATGAATATATATACTTTGTGAAATTCAGTCGGAAAATTATAAAACAAACTTATAATTCCTTAGACATTTCTTATCCATTCCCTCAGAGATAAAAGCGCTAAGGAGGGAATTTTTCTATTACGTTGGGATCCAGAGATAAGCGTCCTCCTTTCTCACGCTACAGCTAGGACCAACCAAGCAGCCATAAACTCCCGTGTTGCTAGGGTCATTAGTGAACTGTTACTAGGCCCTGGCGTTACTCGTTGCTAGGTAACATTGAGCACAGCAAAGAATACCCCCCCCCCTCAAAAAAAATAGTAACAAATAAATAAAGACTCCCATGATATTACCAAAGAGCCATTGTAATTTTAAATGCCATAGCACCATTAATACCAACAGAAACGGGAAGAGAGGAGCAAGATATAAACATTACTATTCACGAACACCAAATCCGGGAGGACGGGGGGGGTGTGGGAGTAGCAAGTATCTTAAGTAAAATCAATACAGTTCAAAACAGGGGGAACTTAGCATAGTTATAAATATGCTCATAATAATTTTTTTTTATAATCTTACAGTATTGGTTTAGTCTATTTTCACCATTATTAAAGTCACTATCACCATAAGGTATTACCATCATGCACCAGTAACTCCACATCCACAACTATTTTGATATCCACTAACAACTCCAACGTCACCATCACCATCTCGACAACCACTATCACTCTCAAAATGGTGGTTCTATTTACATTTAGTTTTATATCCACAATAACCATCCATTCAAAACACCTGTCACACACACACACACACACACACACACACACACACCTATCACCATCTTCATATTCATATTATTTCCACAACTACTATCACTATCACAACTACTAGTATCACCATCACAACCACTACTATCACCATCACAACTACTAGTATCACCATCACAACTACTACTATCACCATCACAACCACCACAATAATTATGGTCTCTTCACTATCATCCTTTACAACCAATAACCATATCCACGTGTTATTGTTATCCCCACAACCAGTCACCACCATTTCACAACCACTTACATATCCACAACCAAATCAGCTTTAGTTACCTTTATCATCCAGAACAATTAATATAGATCCACATCCATTTCCAATCTAATCCACATCCACACAGTCTAATCCACTTACACACTGCCTGATCACCTTCACATCAATCTATCTCTTAAATCATAATTCACGATCACCTCCACAACCACCACTATCACCACATCCACTATCATGTGCATCGCCATATTTCACCTCTACAACCACTATCACCCTCAGATGCAACAGCCAGTTCTTCACCTACACACACAAACACACACACACACACACACACACACACACACACACACACACACACACATATATATATACACAAAACACATAGACGAAGGAAATTGGCACATGTTACCATATAAATTTACACAAAATAAACACTTGGGTTTTGGCGTGATATTGTTATTTTTCTATTTTTTTTCTTCATTTCACAGTTGTTGACAAGAAGTTTGTACATAAGAATCCTTGCACAAGATATGATCCATGTTGGCAGGTGGCACACATGACTCACATCTTTAGACCTGGAGATAACAATCTTTTCCACATCATGAGATCACCGACCGTGACTCATGAATAAATAGCAAGCAAGCAGTAAAGTAAATTCAATTCAAAAGGTTTTCTTCACTATCTTTAAATTACCACTAAAATATCAATGATATTCAACAGAAGAATGGCAGGAATAAAGAAAGAGAAAACAGCAAGGGAGCGATCATAACTTGCCCCTCACTCAACCAAAAACGCACTGACACGCGCGCTCTCCACGTTGCCAATATTCAGGTCTGGAATGCGGCGTCCCGGCAACCATGAGATGCCACATATCGCTAGATGCCGGCACTGCACAGGATTACAAATGCATGCACGCACGCGCGCACGTAAATACACACATGCAGGCACACATCCACACACACATGCGCGCAAGCGCTAATTCGAAGTTTAGTATTACATTAACCAGTTTTTAACTTCTGTTGTTATCTTTCTTTACGGTGCACTACAAATGTTTATTTTTTTAAATCAACCAAGTTCCATACAAACAAACACTGCGATACCTTTCCTTTATGTTAACGAGAGAACAATTCGGTGTTTTGAACTATGCATGTCAGAAGGTTGAATATCAAGAGGCAGGAAAGGTAGAGTCACAAGTGAGGGTTAACCGTGGCAGTGTAGTCGGCGCCTCATCGCCCTGGGAGACCTCCTCGACCACACATGATAATCAATATGAGAGACTTACCCGTCTACTCGTTAAGGTTTAAATCTGTACCGTGATGGGAGCCTCACTCTGCTGCACCTCACATTAAACTGTTATGATAAAGATTAGAGGAGCATAACACGCGATACTGAAGCAGAACCTAGGCGAGGTGCAGACCGTGTAGCAGAAACCACCCTTCCTCAGAAAACTTATCAGCATTGTTTTCAGTTTTAAATATAGAGCCACGGGTTTTTTAGTTCTTTTTTTTTAATACAAGATTTGCCCCACTGACCACAAGATGAGTTGGAATGAGAAAGGGATGGACGTAGGTCTCGAAGGAAGTACGGACGGATAGCAATAAGTCCCTCACACTTTTATGGGAAACATATAATCAAAATCTGGTCACAGGCACCCGTGGCTAATAATGTCAGAAAAAAAATCACCCATCTAATTTTCTGGTGCGGTTCTTCTCTTCCTCCTCAAACTAGATTTGTAAATGAACTAAAAATGTCGTATTACAGTGTTTAGAAAGGAGCGAACCTGCTAAATAAACCATAGGTGATCAATTAACATACTTCCAAACTACAGTACACCCCGGGCCCTCACTCTTTAGCAACCCCCAAAAATGTGGTATATTTCTTATGGATGAAGAGTTATATAAGGAATTTAACTACAACTTAAAGAAAACCTTAAAAACATATATCCTAATGTTTGTTTTTAACGTTTGGCAACACTCAACAATCAAGCGAGTGTTTGTATACAATTTTCAATGAAGGTCGCCTCGTCTTGTCATACTCAGGTTTAAACATAGAACTGGGAGAGGTTAGAATTATAATGAACTAATTAAATATTTACCATCCAAGAAGACTCCGAAGGTTACGTTTCATTATAAGTTAGAGGAGAATTATATTATATCTTCATACCAGTATTAGCTGCGGTGTCTACGTGTACGTCGCCCGGGTTTGTTTTTCGAGCACCTAATAGCTTATGTCCATGACCACATCATCGGCTACACTACATCCACTACTCTACAATTCATCAACTATACCATGTACAGTCACGCTCAAGATTCTTCGAACACTGCTGGAGACAGTTGGCAACTCAAGGCTGTTTGCTTACTATAGTACGTAGTAAAAATTATGAATGACTGTAAAAGTGATCAGTGATTGGTTACTTAGTTCCCCGTTGCTCAATTAATGGTTGGGCTTTGTTTCGTATTATATTATACTACGTACTATAGTAAACAAACGGCCTAGAGTTGCCAGCTGTCTCCAGCAATGTTAGAAGAATCTTGAACGAGACTACAATAAATACATACACTACAATATCTACGGTATATCCACTTAACAACCATCTAAAATCCATCCACTACACTATCTACACAATATCCACTACGCCTATTGGTGTGTGTGTGTGTGTGAGTTACGAACTACGCCGTTTGTGAAATTGCCCATTTCATGAATTGCGTAGTCAATTTGCCCCGTTTATGAAATGCATGGGGTCCGAAACGAGCCTAGACCAACCCAGCCTAACTTAACTCAATGCAAACTAACCTACCAAACCACCTCACTGACAGGACGCCAGTTATGTCCTCTTAAACCAAGCAGCACACCAGAAGGATGTAGTACAGTACTGTGCCTGGTAACGTACACCCTTTAATCTCCACGACAGCAGGAAAAGCAGATACGGTGAAATTACTCTCATATGGCTCTACTCTTATTCAAAGATACTCTGATATCTCACTAGACCAAGTCATTCTTTATTGTATTCGGGTGAGGTATTGAGCTTACTGCATTTATCTGTTTTCTTATCTTTATCTGAGTGGCCAGCCTGTTCTGTTTCCTTGTCTGATAAGAGACTGGCCACCACATGGCGGGCGGTTGGCTGCCAGCTGAGTAATGGGAGCGTGCATTCACACACAAACCCCATCCCTCATGTACACCCCTTCCTTCACACACCCCTCACGCACCTACCAACCCTCCCACACACACTCCTTCCCCCATACACCCCTACCCTGACACACCCCAACCCTGACACACCCCCTCCCTCACACACACATACCCTTTAATTGAGTGTTTGGTGACCATATCAGCCCCTCTGAGCAAATGGTTAGGTGTGGTTAGGTTAGGTAGAAGTACAGTACATCACAATTGTAGTAAACACTTACCTTGTTGCTGTAACACCCCAACCTCCTGAGTCCTCTTACCTAAAATAGTAAGAAAAATTACGAATGATGCAGGTATGAATCACAAACCTTATTGGTTACTTAATTACTACAGGCAAATGGAAACTGACAACCATACTAATTAATTCTACTTGTAAGCAGCATGACAATATATATAAATAACTAAATATTATGAGACAAATACGAACAAAATCAGGGGCGGATCTAGGAATATCAAAAGAGGGGGGTCCAAGAAGTTGTAGGTGAAGGGGGAACATAGCGGTGAAGCCAGCCCACCCAGCTGGGGGGTTGGGGGGAGCGCTGTAAGACCCCCTAGAAAACATTTTGAAATCTAACCAATATCATAGGCATTTTGAGGCCATTTTGAAGACATGTGCACTTGATAGTAGGAGATATTCTGAGTCAATAATAAATACTTTTTACGATACAAAAATGCCTGAGTACAACACTGCATTAAAGAAAAAGTAATGAAATTTTCTGGTGAAAACGGGGGTCCGGACCCCTAGGAACCTATCTGGATCCGCCCTTGAAAATACTGTGCAAACAGAAGAGATAATCTGCTTTGTTGATTTATGAATGCTGCAGAACACATACAGAACAACCCTAATGTTTATGGTATGGTTACTCGTTCAATGTTGAGTGAGAATGTTTAGCTATTCATTCTACACGCGGCTGTTTTGAACATTTATTGCAGATTAAACTACATTTGAAGTACTGTACTTATTCAAAAAACATTCTAGCTTCAAATACCAATAGTACATAACTGGTGAAAATCAGACCCATGTTCACACAAGTTTTTACCAGGAATTACCTAAAAATAGACTCCTGCGGTCTTGACAAACACAGGGGGCACCAAGCACCTTGTATAGCCTCAGGTTACTTTGCAATTTTTTACAGATTTTTGTTTTTATTTATTTCATGGATACTTAAATTAATATCATGTTCCTACATATTGCGAAAAATTATTTTACTTTACAAGAAAAGCCAAGCTGGAAGTCAGCTGCAGTCACAGTGTTACTCAGTCAAAGAAACTTCCTCTTACTCCTTCAATTCCCCTCGAGCTTACCACCAGCATCACTTACCCAAATGTCTAAACCCTCAGCAGCTGCTTCTTCCAATTCAAGTGAGCAAAGGAAGAGGAAGATGTTTAATTCAAAAGAAACGGTCAAAACGTTGGATGAACTTGACCATGAACTGTATCAGTTGTGACACACTGAAACGGGGTAAATGAGAGCACAGTTTGCAACAAGAGACTGAAGGCTGACAAAATTCTTGCAGTCATCCATACCCAAGACCATCCAGCATTTAGGGTCGCAACTATACCAAGAAATGAAGAATGCTTAGAAGATTTGGAAAGCATGCAATGATCTAAAGCTGCAATGAATGGTCTAAAGATTCAAGCTGAGGCAATGGAAATTAAAGCTTGTAAGCTTGATAGAATTGGCAAGACAATTCTGCTCACTAGCTACAGTACCAGGTTTTAATTAGTCTAGGAAAATAGAGATTTCTACATTTTACGAGTACCAATCGGGGCAGAGGACAATTACAATGGCAATGTAATTTATCAAAATTACTTTGTGTGAGTTTAATTACAATTATATTGTACTTTGGCAAGTAATCGATTGCAATTATAAATGTTTGTTTGAGAAAACTTTGTAAAATAATTACCTTTCCACGTCTCCCCATCCTCCTTAAATCTACCAAATGGCATCAAAGACAGGCAGACAAAGTTTAATAAAACATTAATGTAAGCCAGAACTTTCCAATAGCCAGAAATTAAATTTGCTCGGAATTTTTCCGTTAAATTTCTCTCAATTCCGGGTTTGGAAACAATTTTTGAGGTTGAAAATCAGGCACATTTTCTGAAAATTCTGAGAAAAAATTCCGGAAACTCTCTCCCCCCAAAAATTTCCGGGCCTGGGAGCAAATTCCAAGGATGAAATAATGTGTAATTCTGGAAAATTCCGGAACCTCTCACCAATTTTTTCCCCGGGTCTGGGAACAAATTCATAAGATGAAATAATGCAGAATTTCCAGAAAAATTTGAGAAACTTTTCAGGGTATTGAACATAATGAATAGCAATTACATTAAAATTTTTGGTACTCAACAATTATATGAAAGTGTGTAATCCATTACAAGTACTCATGCTTGGTACAGTAGTGGAAATGTGTTCCTACCTCTGTGTTAGCCCGTGTCTCCAAACAGCCAACCTATATGACATACAGTACTATAGCAAACCTATCAACCAATCATATCTGCCGTTACACTACCAATACCCAATCACTCATAAATAGTAATACTGTGACTTTCCGTGTGGAGACACGGGTTACCACAAGGGGTGTAGGAACACATTTCTGCAACTGTACCAATTGTTTTCTTAAGTATTACACTGGGAGAAGAGTCCAAATTAACCAGGAACCTCAACCTAATGAAAATTTGTACAGAACACAATTTATTTCTAACACAAGGACAATCCAAACCAAAAGGAACAATTGCTCTTTTCATATTTTGATATTTTCCCTGATTTTTCCTGCAAATAAAGAAAAACTTGATGACATCAAATTTGCACTTGAAGTGTTGACAAAAGCTTTCCAGCTACCAAATGAATGCTAAGTGACAAAATGCTTCCCTGTGTTCTTTAAAAGGTTTTCAATATGAACTGTCAGTGGCAAATTCCCACCAGACCTTACCTACCTAACCTAAAAATTGTACTGTAGCTAAAACAACTATCTGTGCAGGTGGGGGTCGATATACCGTACTTTGAAATTTTACGTGTGACTAGTGACAGCCCCAATATACCAAAATTTATCGTCCATGGTCTCATATTGTTTCCCACAAAGTATGCACAGATAGTTGTTTTAGCTACTGGACATAATCTTCCTTCCTTGGATAAAGTTTGATTGGTTCACCTAAATTAACATAATAATTTATATTGGGCTTCAAAATAGCCCTTGTCAAAATTATCAAAGACAAAGAAGGGATCTTATACAGGCCACTGACCTCCTTCCCTCAGCATGGCCATGTCTAGTAGATGGTCATTAGGTAAATAAAGTAAATACTGTACAAGCACTAACATCCTCGGAGAGGTAAGCTTTGTTGGTTCACCTTATCTATGATAAATCTCATAAAGTAACATTTGCTGGAAGTATTTGTGTGTATGGAAAGGAAGCAGGGAAGCATTCGTTTTGTATCACCAAACTAATATTACAAAAAAAGTGGAAAATCCTTGTTATGTTTGGGGTGATATTAATAATATCAGAAAGATAAATCCATATTCATCAATTCAAAAAATTTCTGATGTTGCTGTTTTCTAGTGAGTATGAAATGGAAGCATTAATATCTGTGAAATGTTCCTGCTCACATGAACAGTTGGTGGCACGGAGCATCTTTATTTACGAGAAAATCTAGGGAAAACCCAAGATACAAAAACTTATTCTTCCACCCAATTTGTGTTATTTTTGAGCTAACAAATAAGTTTTGGTAATAGTTGAAAACAAGGGTCCAGATTATCCAGCTACCTAACCAAAAAATTTTATTGAAGACATTTTTTATCTCAAGAATAAAGGAAATCGTTTGGAGAAATAGCACTTCATATTCAGTTTTTTTCACCTAGTTTTTCCCATAAATAAAAACACTTCAGTGTCCACTTCATTACGATCCCATGTTTACACATCATGGTTGACAAACACTTCGCAGAAATTGAACGCTTCCCGGCCATTGACCAATCACCCTTTTTTCCTCTCTATACAAGCCTACCTAACCTAACCTAACCAATCCCAAAATAATAATATTACTAATAATAATATACTTAAATCCTAGGATAGTTATATTTTATTGGTTCATCTTAGCTATGATAATAATAACATTTTCAGGAACTGTTTGTGCTTATAGAAAGGACAACAACACTGCTGCTGTTGTATAATAATAATGGTTGTCCTTCGTGTAACAAGGATGGCCGGCCCAAGGGCCACCTAGGCGTGAATTTGTTTAAGGTGTAGAAGCTGTCGCCAACACAACAACCACACCTTAGGTTAATGAGCTGCATGATCCGGTGTCAAGGAATAGTCCAAGAAGACTGAATAATTCGCCAACTACATTGGCTAACCATTACCCCGAAATACGACCCACAAATCAATTAGCACCCAGGTTCCCAATTACTACTGGGTAGACATAGGCAAATGGCATAAGGAAACTTGCCCATAGTTTCATCCTGTCCTGGGATCAATCCCGGGTCTGCTCTCTTGCGAGGCAAGCATGATGACCATTACATGACAGGTGTAATGGTCTGTTGTGTACTGTATCATGAAACTAATAACATAGTTACAACAATTTCAAATTATATTATTATTGTCCCTATTTTTAATATTCTTATTGTAAGAAATAATAACTTATCATCATTGTCTATACAAAAATTTTCTAAAATTGCCGGTTATTTTTTTGTGTGTGAAATGGAAAAGCATTATTAATGTCCATGTAATGTTTGGACTCATCCTGTTCACATGAACTAATATAACACTTTCTTCGTGTGGGTGGGTGACTACATCTTTATTTACGAAAAAAAAAGAGGAAATTTTGAATACTAAGTGCTATTCCTCCACCCAATTTGCTTTGACCTTGAGGAGATTTTGGGGGGATATTTTCAATGACCTGTGTTCCTGAACTATAAAATTATGGACATTTCACCAGACAGGATTGCATTAACGTTCCTTATTCACCTGTTTAATGATGAACTGGGATCACCTGAAGAATCTCCACCCGAGCTTACTTCACCTAATTATGAACCAACCACCTAATGCAAACTTATCCAAGCCTAACCTCATCCCCCAAAACAGTATCAGAGAAGTTTATCTTTAGGTGAAATAAGCTGGCGTGGAAAGGTGACCCATGACATGTTCAACAGTAGGTGCCAGTATTTTTTTGGTTAGGTTAATCATAAACCCGAACCTCTCAAACTATTATAACTTACCTTACCTGTAGATTTAGATGAATAAAGACCTTCTGCCACACAGTAAGTTAATCACAAATAAGATTCACGTTCACATATAATAGAGAATTACTGATGGTTTACCGCGTGCAGTGTTTACATCGGTTAATACTCCGAGTCATGTTATCCATCAGGCATCATTCATTTTGTTTTGCAATAAATAGTCTATATATATACATGTAAAGTGCTTTAATATCAATAGTTTCAGTCTCTTTTTAACATAAATAATTTATAGTTAATGCAACAGAAACAAAAATAATAAATTCTTGATAGAAAACGTTTCAGTATTTGTAAATCACAAATTCTCACTCTCGATAATTACATCCTTATTATCTATCTGCATGGTATTTTTTCTCTCTCTATCTGCTGATTTATCTATTTGTATATCTGCCTTCTATTTTTACATCCTAATTGGTGGGGGTGCGGGTGAGGGTTGGGGTGGGGGTGCGGGTGAGGGTTGGGACTGTAGGTTAGGTTGTGCAACACTCTTGGTACTGTAGGTTAGGTTGTGCAACACTCTTGGGACTGTAGGTTTCTGCAAAGCCATAGCAAATTCATTTTATCACCCACTTCAAACTGAATCACGTTAGAGAAATACCAGTGATACTGACCGAAGCTAGGATTTATAACTGAAAGGAACCCCTTTTTAATTATTATCAGTGCTAATTTTGTTTAAATTCCATCATATTGTTACCGTGTTGATGTTATGTGAAGAAACGTCTATATTAGTCAGGCATAATAAGTGGTTCTCACCTACGTTCTACGTTTTCTCTTATAAAAATTACAGAATATAAACAGGGTTACTCAAATAATGTTTAAAGCCTGTTAAAACTTTTTACTTTCTTACGACGTTAACTCTACTTCATTCTCTTTGCCAAGGATCGGCTAAGCCATTTGGGCAGTCAGTCACAGCTCTTTGCACTGTTGGCAAATACGGGGCATCACTGACTCCAGAATGTATGTGAACCTGCACCACCACTGTTGGTCAAGTCTGGTCTTGACATTGAGCTCTCCCTCGGTACTGTCACGGCGCTCTTTGGAAGATTATTGCAAGAGTTCACAACTCTCACTCAAAAAAAAAAGTTTGCCTTGGCAATTTTCTGAACTTGTGACCTCTCTAACCTGAGGCTGTGACCTCTAGTGGGGCTGACAGCCGATAGTATGAACACTCGATTGAGTGTTGTTCTCTGAGATTGGTAACAAAATTCTATTAAATCACCCCTTGCCCATTTATAGTACAAGCTAGGCGACTGCAGGCATTCTTATCTCTCTGGGTACCCGAGTACTAGGCACCAGACTGGTGGCCCTCTTTTGGACAGTCTTGATCAACTGACTAGCAGTCACTAGTATATTCCAGGGATCAGACAGGATGACAGTACTTGTATTGTACTCGAAACTGGGTACCACCATACAGCTGCAGGGCAGCTGTGAGCATTGCTGTTGTGAGCAGCCCCTGGGTAACATTGAGCATTGCTGTTGTGGGCAGCCTCTGGGTAGCTGTGATCATTGCTGTTGTGAGCAGCTACTCAGAAGCTGCCTCCCTTCAAGAGCAGATATAAGAATCAAGAGAATAGAGAATTTTCCACCAACACTACCGGCTGCGAAGATGATGGTGAGTGATGATGATGGTGGCGATACAAATAGACACATATTTGTGATTGGTAGGAAGGTCAAAAAGTAAGTGGGAGCAGTCAGCTCACTTATTAGAAAAACCAGTCAGCTCTATAGAGCATTAAGGAGTGGCCATAACTTTTTGCCAATATTTCTTGAACTAAACATGCCTTTGCCTTAAGCACTGCATGTGAGCAAATGTTTAGTTTTGCAGGACTAATTTTTACACCCTGTCATTTACATAACATAAGTGATAATAGCATTGAACATCTTCTGTTGGTGAAATTAAATTCTAGCAAATTTTGAGTGGTGATATAGCTTACCGGTACTGAGTGTACACAGCAAAAGCACAGGAAATTTTAAAAATAAAACTAAAGCAGAAAAAAACTTCCCCAGGCATCAACACTGCACCAACGAGGGTGCCAGCAAGGTCAAGACCAGCAGGACTGCTAAGTGACTTAAATTATATTACCCTGCCACAAAGGAATAAATACACACATATCTTAGTACAGCACACTGAAATTACATCTAGTAGGTGTTATTATAAAGAAAGTCATCCCAGGTACGGGGTCATTTCTTCCTCGGCATAAACTGAAAGGGTACGGAGGTTGACATCAACACCCAGGTCAGGCACCGAGGCATGTACAGGTGCTTTTATTATACTTACACACACTAGAAACACTTCTATACTTATGGGTAAGTCCAAAATTAAATTGTTTTTCTATTATTTGTGTGTGTGTGTGTGTGTGTGTGTGAGAGAGGTTACCAGCAAGGGTGATGTGGTCCATTTTTTAGTCCAATATGCCACTTTGGTCGCCCATAAAAGACTTTGTCTTGCTTTTCCATACTCCATAAACTGTTTCCTACAAACTAATTACACCCAAAATTAAAGATTTTTTTTGTAATATTTATTTTTCTATCCAGAGTAAGGGGGGGGGGACTGGGGGGTGATTTGTGTACTTTAGGGGTTAAGTATAGTCTCATCCTATTCCCTGGAGTTAAATAACATGGTACTCAAGGAGTTATCATCATGAAGGTTATTCTAAATAATAATACGTACAGGTAATTATCATTACACACAAAATGAAAAATAAAAATCAGCCCAAAATATAACCTTCCGTTTATTGATGCAAGATCTGTATTTGTTACCTTACAATCTTCACTCTGACATTTGGCTAGATATGAAGAATTTTTTTTTTTTTAGAAGAATAAATTACTTCATTTAATTGAGCTCTTCTGATAATTGTGACGGCTTCTCATAAAACTTGTCAATTGACAAAAATTGAAAACATTTCATATTTAATTAATTAAATCTGAAGTTTGTGTTTTTTCCTAAACATAAATTCATACCTTCAAATCTTTTTTCCAACAGCAAAATTTACACTGTGATCCTGCTGAACACCAGATGTAATTATGCTGCTTCAACATACTCAAGGTACAGTATTTCCTAGTTACTTTATACTACGCACAAGAACATTTTGAAATAAAAATTACTAATTGTTTTTATAACAATGAAGTCTTAATGAAAATATTCTGCAAGAAACTTACAAGTAAAGCAAGCAACTAGGGGGGAAGCAGTCAATAACTACTTGTACCTATGGTCATCTGTAATATATAGAGCCACAGAGAACTTGAGCATTACATATAAATGCCTATCTTCAAATCTGAAGACAAAAGTCCTGACTATTGATTATGTTCTGTTCATCTGGCAGTGGCAGTTCAGTCTATGAGCACATTAGTCACAGCATAGCTTACAAATTTGCTTTAAAGAAATATTACTTCAGAAATAAATTTCATACTTATATCATACAATTTTATTCTAACCTACAATCAGTTCAATAAATAGTAGATTCTGTTGTACAAGAATACATCCAAAGTAGGAGATACTATTATCTAATTATCTTTCATTTATCTTCACTAATTGGAAGTAATATGATTAATTAGGATAAAAATACATCATATAGGTATAGGATCCCTTATCTAGGAAACTTGGGACTGGAAGGTCTGAATCTGGAGTTTTCCAGATTTAGAGCACAAGATCTAGAATGTATTTATCTATATCAAATAAAATGCCATTAGCCTGGGAAAGTCACTATCACCATAGATTTTATGTAGTTTTTCTTTTTGCTTTATAATAACATAGATATTGGATGTACCAACAAGATGGACCTCATTGAACCACTTCAGTTAAGTACCTTTATATAAACGTTTTAACTAAACTTTCTGCAGAACTGAGTAAGAAATACTTCCTCTTGGCACTAACACCACCAATGTGAGGCAATTTAAAAATTGCACTGTATATTATTGGGGTTGAAGTTCATGAGTACCCACGTGTTACCGTGTTTTGAAAAAGGACAAAAAGCCTCCTTCAGCACTGGAAAGAGCACTACCATTCACTGCTCAATCGAAACACCGATGTGGATGACCTGACTACCCAGCAGGTCCCTCAGCATCCAGAGCTGACCCACCTCAGCTATTCTCCATCCCTGGATGAGGTAGCTACTGCCATTGCACAGATGAAGAATAACAAAGCCCCAGGGCCTGATGGAATCCCAGCTGAGGTGTATAAAGCAAGAGACCTATGCTTACCAGCCATCTCCACTCTCTCCTGGAGAATATATGGGAAAAGGAGGAAATCCCCCACGCTCTTGAAGACACCTCCATCGTCAATATTTATAAGAACAGGGGAGACCGGTCAGACTGTGGCAACTACAGCGGGATCTCTCTGCTGTCCGTAGCTGGCAAGATCATTGCCCGAGTCCTCCCAAACAGATTTCTTACTGAGGCAGAAAACTTCATCCCAGAATCTCAATGTGGCTTTAGACCATCATGTGGAACCACTGACATCATCATTGCTGCCCGCCAGATACAGGAAAAGTGCAGAGAACAGTGTCATGCTTGTACATGGCCTTCATCAACCTAACCAAGGCCTTCGGTTCAGTCAACAGGGAAGCCCTTTGGCGGACTCTCAGCCCAAATTTCATCGCCATTGTGAGGCAACTCCATGATGGCATGAATGGCAGTGTCCTGCACAATGGCACACAGTCTGAGTTCTTCCCCCATCCAAACAGGGTTAAAACAACTCTCTTTTCCATTTTATAGGCTGCCTTCCTTACTCGTGCCAGTGCCAATTAAGTCGGCGGGGGTGGACATCCAGTACCAGATGAAGGGTCTTTTCAACAGAAGATGACTCCAGGCAAGAACAAAGGTGTCGACAGCTTCCATAACTGAACTTCAGTATGCAGACAACCTTACACTTGTCACTCACACTGAATGCAACCTACAGGAAATCCTGAACACTTACGCAGATGCGTATGCACACTTCAGTCTTGAGGTGAAAGTATGTAAGACTCGGATTCTCTTTCAGTCTGCCCCTAGTTCAGTCACACCACCACCATCCATTCAGCTTAACGGTACTACCCTCTCTAATGTTATCCACTTTCAGTAGCTCAGCTCCCACCTATCCACCACCATGGACATCAATGAAGAGATTCAACATCAGATCAAATATGCATCTCAAGCCTTAGGCAGACTCAGTACCCGTGTCATCAGCTGTAGGGAGCTGAAAATATCCACAATGTTGCACGTTTATCGAGCAGTGGTCCTCCCCACCCTGCTATATGGCAGCAAGATATGGATCACATACAGGAGGCACCTCAAGGCACTTGAAAACTTTCACCAACATAGTCTACGTTCCATCCTCTGAATTCGCTGGGAATACAAGAAAACAAATGCCAGTATTCTTGCTGACACCAACTACAGGAGCATTGAGGCTACCATTAACCATGAACAACTAGGTTGGACTGGCCATGTTACCCACATGGACAACAGTAGACTACCAAAGCAACTACTTTACAGTCACCAAACGTATAGTAAATGTAACGCTGGCGGGCAACTGAAAAGGTATAAGGATAGTCTCAAGACAAACCTGAAAAAGTGCCAAATCGACCCCCTCACCTGGAAAACGATTGCTGCACACTGTAACACATGAAGGAGTACCGCATGAGGTGTCAATACTTTCCAGTTAGCTCGACTGCAAGCCAAGGCAATAAAGCACCAATGCCGGAAAGACGCTGCCGCCGCCGCCCCTCCCGCACTAGATGTGACCCTCCACACATGCAACATCTGTGGACGACCCTGCCGGTCCAGTATCAGCCTCTCTAATCAACTCAGAACTCACCAACAAAGGTGACATCCTTAATAAATCATATTATTTTATTAAAGCTGGAGGATCGTCATACTCAGTTCCAAGTGACAGCAAAGTAGTGGCAGTGTACTATGTTATGTTAATCGATGTTAAACATTTGAGGTCTTGTGTTTTCATTAAAATTATATATACTGTACAGTATATGGTGTCACTGCTCCTTTAAAACTCTGATATATTTACGAATATCCTGCGCTCACTAGTGACAGTCTAAAGTGAAAACGGGACTTGTGGCAACTGTCACAGTAGCCTGAGTGGGATGGGGAGGGTGTGTGTGAGGGGCAAGCTGGCTTCCCTCCTTTGTTCACTGTCTCCGTAACACCAATATGCCACATAGCTTAGGTGTCATCACAAGTTTTATTTAAGTGTCTTTATATTGCAACATATTTTTTTTCTTCATATCAAACTTACTAAGACAACTGTATTGTTTTGGTGACGTGAGGTAGAGTGTGGTGATGTAGGGGTTAGAGGTGTTGCCTTTATCATGTTATTCCTTGAGAAATTATATAAATCAATAAAAATAAATATAATTTTTGTAAGTAGGTAGAAAACAACATAAAATGCAATTTTTTGAAAGAAAACTAAAATAAAGCATTGTTTATGTTCAGTCAGGCAGGCCAGACAGTGTTGCTGCCGTGTGGTCCTTGTTATTCTATATACAGTAAAAACATTTGTAATGGCAAAATAAATTAGTTAAACCAAAAAAAAAGAAAAAAAAAGTTTTCCATGAGCATGTATGTGAGTAATAAGAGTAAAGAAATAAAATATTAATGAGTGCAAGAGAAAATTGATTTTACATTCCTATTTGGCTCGCTTGCCTGAGAGGCCCTGGGGAATTCCCCCAAAATACACGCACACATACTGATGTACTGTATAGTGGGAGGTTTAAATGTCTCGAGTACAAAATTATGCAAGCTTTCTGTCTTAAGAAAAAAATCCTTTTTCTGGACATAACAGGATGACTTTTACCAGAACTGATGGACGCTTCATGGCTTAACACCATTTCTGATGTCTTTATATTTTTTACATTTATTTTTCTTCAAAATTACTTCTACATAAATCGTAATGAGTAAAATAAATCCCGGCATTTTCTAATTTTGAACAAGTCATTTAACATTATTTCTGAAGAAAATTTTTTGTGTGTTCAAAGTAAATCTCAATTTGTTTTAAAATTATTAATGAAAGTTTTACAAGTGTGAAGTGAAGTACAGAACGTACCATTTATGCAAGAAAAATGTCATTAAAAATAACCTCTAGGAACACAACCTAGACCATTTTATCTCAATTCTTGCATGGTAGCTACAACTAAATTAAATTTATCTGATTTCTTACCAGGATTCATACCATATCTTGGCATTTTGATAATTTCATTTTATAATCTTAATCACTTTGCAAAAAGCTCAATATTTAATCTCAGTAAAACATGAATAATAAACAAGTATATTGTATACCCTATGTACATTATAATGAAAGGAAATGAGTTATATTGTCATTGGTACAGTCGTATACCTGCCTCTCATTACTATGTCCTGGGTTCAAATCCCTGGGTCGAACGCGAGACTTGTGTTATCCAGTGTGGTTCTATCAAATACATGTCTACACGAGCTGCTCACTTAACCTTAAGTGTGCATTAGTGCTACCACCAATATCCTACCCAAGGATAACTGGTTTTTGAGTACTGTACCTGTACTTCCAGACAGAGGACACCAAACAAGGGATTCCATACCTGTATCTAAATATTCAAATACAACAGTCACCACTCCTACACGAGTCCTGTGCTCCAAAGGCACCTGAACATTCCCTTAAGGTACTGTAATGTCATCATTGCTTTTATATACTTAATTCACATGTTTATATTGACAAAAACGGTAAAAAATTGGACTAGATATTTGTTGGGGGCAAGAGCCAAAATGTTTTTGTTTTTTAAAGAGAATTATGGAAATTATGAAGTTTCTTAGGAAAACTCAGATTCTGTACACAGAACCAGTTGAATAGTTGAGGTTGACTGGATACATACAAGTGGGAACACTCAAGTCGTTTGGAAGCTGAGAAAAGGAGATTATTAGCTTAAAAGAATATGTACTAGTACAGTATAATACAGAAGATGAAGAACCCTAATGTCACAGTAAAAGACAAAATTACCACAGTGGTGAGAAGAATTTGAGCTTACAGAGATGTCTGGAGTCATGGCTACCATAGTGACTGGGCAGATCATGCAATTACTATTACGTACAGTTGCAGACAATTTTCCTTGACACATTTGACAAAATCTGTCATTTATTTTAGGGTCATACAAGAAAGGGAAATTGGTATTTTAACATTTCCATATCTTATTTGTACAGCATTATAATTCTATTCAGGCAATAAATCCTGACATGATTTATAATGAAAAGCAGTGTTTACAAGTTATAAACCATTCATAAATTTTGACACACAGGTAGATGCAGATGTTGCCAGGTGCCAAAAGTATTTTGCTGGCAACCATAATTGACACGTGATAGCATTGCACAAAAAATGGAAAACTAAGTTACAAACATGACTGTGTAGGTAAAGCATGGTGGGATGTACTTCAAACATGCACATAGCCTACTTGTTACAAAATGGAGCAAAGCTCTACTTCATTATTGCTTTCATTCTAAAACAAATACTTTGTTGTTAATGTAACTCGGGTAGCATAACATTGTATACATGTCAACTTCCAAAAGTATTTTCCCTTTATCAGCTAAGCTTCTTGAACTGTAGGTCCAGCACCAAAGAGAGTCCTCGGTGTAACTCAACTTAACCTTCAACTGCTACAAGACTGTACCTCAAGAAGAATGTCCCTATATAAAGCCCTCAATTTTAAGATTGATCAATCAGAATTTTTTCCTCATACAGTATTTACTTAGCAATTCACAATGGATTGTGAATGAAATTTATGATCAAATGATAATAGCTAGAAAGCTGAGATTCTTAAGTTAAATTAAAATTCACATTAAAACTGACCATTTCATACAGCCGACTTCTTTTTATTTCCATAATTGTCATTCAAAAAAAACATTTTTTTTTATAAAACTTCAACTCCAGACACTTATTCAAAGTTGAACCATACTCCAGAACCATAGGCCCATTATTTTAAAGTTTATCAAATCATTGAATAAATTATCCAGCTAACATTTTCATTTTAGTTCAATAACAAAACTTTACATCACAAATGCCTATTAAACAATTTCTAGCAAAATTTCTCGACATTTATGAAATAGTTTTCTAATGACAAAAGAAAGTTATCAAACAGTTCTAAAAAAGTACATGTAGCAAACTATTTCCAGCCAAATCATAATGAAATTTGTTGTTAAATTTTCATATATTTACAATGGCATTTTTTGGCACCATCTTTTAGAAAAAAAAGGTACTGAACTATGAGTGCTATGTCCCACCAGCCCACCAACACACATTGGACCCGTGTTATGGACTGCCCCTCAGCGGTAAAATATACGAGAGGGATGATTATTGGGTGGACGACTGTGGCTTCCTGCTGCTCTACATCTACTTATTTGGGTTTAGTTTCCTGGTCTGTCACACGACGGATGAAGATACAATCTTCTGGCATAGGATCTATCTGCTCTTGCTCGTACATGTAGGAACAAGCAATAGCAAGTGTGTTACCTGAGGAGAAAAAATATAATTAATCTTAATAACATTTATGTCAAATGATTTAAGACATAACTACCCAGAGAGGTCCATGACAGGTGACCTGCATTAAAGAATAATTATTTTACCATTTGTTACAATGGAGTATATATAAGAACAACAACTAGCTCCTGATTTCCATTATAAGTTTCTAGCAAGTACAACACACAAAATTTTCAAAATGTAGTATGTCAAAATTTATATTGTACTTCCAAAATTCACAGTAGATCCTTCAGTCTCCTTGTCCAAAAGTTTTAATTCCAATCTCAGACTCCACAACATGCCAAATAAGTTCATAAACCTTTCTGATTGGTAATGATGATACTGTACCTAACAAGTTTCTAAATGATCATTCCAAAAATAGGTCAATACCATAAACCCACAGATGGTATGAGTGCGGGATTAAAAATACTAGATCACAATACTGTACAGGTATATACAGTACAAATTTTTCTTTCTAATTTACACCTAATTTCTCATTTTAAATTTTCTGGGTGAAAATTAGTTCACCTCATAAATTACTGTGAAAACATCAACATTTGTATTTATACAGTACTCTTTTGCTGGTAATTCTCCAGGTCTTTAAAGCTAATGATCAGTTCCTTTAAATGTATTCCTTTATTAACCCTCATATTAATATTGGAAACACAATAATCATGTTTCACACATGCTGTGACTGTCCAAAACAGCAAATCCTACAATTGCTGTCAATGTGACATACAGTACAGTATAGTATATGAACTGTACATAGTATATTCTTGCTTATTATTCAAATATTTACCGGTTTCAATTGGTTATTTTGTCTCCACAAACTATAAACACTAAACTCTATATCTCCTAAATAATTATATACTGTATAATGTATTTCAACTGCTTCTCAAATAAATCTAACCCATATCTCCCACAAAATATAGTTTATACTGGCAAAATTTCAATGAATACATTACCATCATTACTGAAGCAAAGAGAGGATATGGAGGTTGGGTAGCGGTGAAACTGACACAACCTCTTCTTGTTGAACCCATCCCAGATATTAACATATCCATCAGAACCACCGGTAGCAAATGTGTTGTATCCATTGTGAAAACTGAAAAAAGAGCAAAAATTTATCAATATTCAATAATTCCTCTAAAGCTTTTTTACTTGCAATTTTAATTAGTGCATTTGACCTAAAACCAAGAATCTCAATTTCACTAATGCTCTAGTTTGGCAAGTTGTCTTCTTTGTAGATTCTACTGTATATGATACAACTTAACATAATATTATGACTTTCAAGATTATCGTTGTTCCATCCCCAGGAGTTTTATGTTATTTATATTTATTAAGCCCCAAAACTACGAGTTTCCGATTCACTAGTGCTCCAGTTTGAAAATGATAAATGCTGGTGGGCATTTAAGGTACATTTTAACTAACCTGATAGCATTAACTGGAAATATTTTCTCAATCCCATCTTCTTTGAGTCTGTGGCACTTGAAAGCATACTTCTTTTTCTGAACCTCTGAGCTAGGGTCAAGGTACTCTACTGCAACCCGACCTTCAATACTTGACACTACATACCCCTGAAAATAAAAGGACACTGTTTATAGCAATAATTTTGGACTTATGTACGAACAATAATTTACTATTCAGTAATAAGCTATGAAGCAGTTCATAGTTTATACAAAGAGCAATACAAAAGCATAAACATTTTACTGTATTAACCTTCAGGCCCCGGGTGACGTTCCAGAACGCGCGCCTTTTCCCGCCACTGTTTAAATGCCCAGCGCAGGTTATCAGGTTCCCGTGTGACTATTTGCCTGTCACGCCACACCTCGGCCACAGGGAAGCTTCCTGAACGTAATTACCTACATTTGTTTGTTTCATTTTCATTTGTTTGTCCATTATATCATGTTGTATCAAAGTAATATTGCTAAAAGTAGTGTAGTATTACTGGATAATAATGCTATGATTATGTTATAAATGTATTTATTTGTGGAATTATTATTATTTTATGTATTACTTGCTACACCAAACACAATGACAGCCAGAGAGCTGGCGACAGACTGCTGTACGTCGCCTAGCACTTTTTATGAAAAATAATGTAAAAATATAAATTCTATATGAATTATTTATAGGAGATAAGTATTATGATCAGTAAATATATGCATTATTGGCCACTTCTGACAAAAAGACGGGCTAAAAATAGCCCTCTTATCTCCCCCCCCCCTCTTATGCCCGGTCAGAGGGAAGCTTCTCGGTAAATATTATATTTTTTTATTGTTTGTCTATTTTATCATGTTCTATCAAAGTAATATTACTAAAAGTTGTGTGTGTGTGTTACTGAAAACTTCTTATGAAGAGTAATGCAAATAAAATAAAGTCTAAATGAATTATTTATAGGAAATAATATTATGATCAGTAAATAAATGCATTACTAGCCAACCCGGACACAAAGGCAAGCGGAAAATTACCCCCAAGTGCGTAGTGACAGCTAGCGCTCGATGTAAAAAAAAAAAACTTTCCCCTTAATGTCTCGTCACTGAGGAGCCACGGAGGAATAAAGAGGGACAATGTATAGTTTTTCTTGCGTCTTTTTTATTGGTTTACCATTTATAAAGGTTAAAATTATTTTTGGAAAAGTTGATTTTTCTCGTGGGAGGTACGGCCGGCGGCACCCTAGCCAGGGGGGAAGGGTTAACAAAAGAGAGAGAGAACTTTTACTCAGAACTGTAAAAGTAGAACACTCATCTGTCCTTCATTAATATCATAATGAAAAAAGGTGAGGTGGTCAACTAATACAGGGTCAAATTTAAAGTGTAGACACACAGCAGACCACAGCACTAACTTCAGTTTTTTAGAAATATATTGTAAATAATTAAAAAGTTTCTTACGACTGATTATTATTTTTTTGACAAGGCCTAAAGGCTGCATATCCTTCTACTAAGGCAAGGCAAAATTGTGTGAGAATGTGTAGAAGACTACCACATGGTGCTGCAGTGAGAACATACCAAAGGGGTAGAGCCATCAGTGGCAGAAGGGAAACTTTTTCATTCCTCCTTTAAAGGTAGTGTTTACATGGCAGTCTGACAGTAACTAGTCAACTGTCTTCACAAAAATATGTTCAATAAACTGCCTACTAAATAACTTGAACATACATACCTGTTTATTTGGGAAGCACTGAATACAGCGGGTCTGATACTTAAGTGAGGACTCTCGGCGTTGCTGAGCAAAGCCCATGTTGCGTAAATCCCACACCATCACTTTTCTGTTGGATGTCCCCACCACAAGCTTCTCTCCACTAAGACCCATTGTGTAGACCTGAAACATAAATTTCAATCAAGTAATCATGCTCAATAAAAAGAGTACAACTTCGCCTTTAATTTGCTATTACCTAGGCAAGATATATACAAGGTTATGCACTCACAAGGTGATCTATATTGAAGATAACTTTCCTTATACACCATGATTTTCATGGGTCAATCCAGGGCATCAGCCACATGGGCCTGGGGTCACATATGCACAAGTTAAAATAGGTACATCTCCTCCCTGTATGCGTAGTTAGGTTAGCTTAGGTCAGGTTTTGGGCAACAAGCCAGTGGAAATATTATACTAAGGCCATACTACCACACTGGTTAGGAATCACATATAACCTTCACAATGGGGGCTGCCAGTCCACTACATTCCACCAACTATACACTACTGTAATTTACATCCACACCATAATATTGTACAAACCTTGTTGGGTTGTTGAAAGGTGCCTGCCTCACGTGGTCCACGTGGATCCCAAAGTTTTACATTGGAATCCCACGATCCAGTAATCACCACATTCACTTCTGGACAAAACTCAACACATCTGGTTGTAAACAATAAAAGTGTAACCAGTTAAAAAGCTTCAGAAACCATTCAAGAATCTGTGGTTCTGTAGATGTCCATGAAAAAATTTTCAGGCATGTGAAGATATCAATACTGTGTGCTTTGGGTCTTTTTAAACACATTCTGGTCTTACCTTATAGGGGCATCATGGGTACCAACTACTGATTCTGTGTTTGTGTTGAGATCAAATGTTTTGAGGTGGCCGTCTAAGCCTCCGCTGTAGGCATGTACTGCATCCTGTAAATTAATTACAGTTAACTCAGCAGAACATAATGCTCAAGTTGAATATTGCTTTTACTGTATATATGGGAAGTCTGCACACATTCAAATAGTACCAACTTCTGGCAAAAATGCACTACAATATGAAAAGTAAAGCAATACAAAATATTGTACTGTATATACAGTATTAAAAAGTGAAATATTTACACACACATAACAATACCCACAACTTCACACACACATATGCTAAGTAAATCAAACACCATCCAACATCATAATATGTTGTCAAATGCAATATGACAGCTTCAACATGCTTAAAAGAAACCAGGTCACCAGACTTGTGTTCATCCCCTGGTGTAGAACACACTCAGACTGATAGATGTAAACAAACTTTGAAGGAGAGCAGGGAACTAATACTCAGGCAGCCCATCACAAATCATGTTAAACCTGAGTGCCAGGTAGGAGGGGTTTGACCTGTATTTTAATATAAAATGCCAAAATCATCTATAATTTTATAATCAAAATAAGCATGAATTGTAGACAAAAATTCTCTTCTTATGTGATTAACCACTTGCCTGGAAACAGCAGTCAAGCACTGGACCCGAGTGCTGGTATTGTAATCGCATGTTGTTATTGACAACATCAAAGAGGCGAACACTTTTATCCCATGATGCGACTAGAAGAAACTGTGACGACGAAGGCCCAAATTTCACACTTTGTATACAGTCACCCGGCGTGTTCTTAAGACGAAATTCCATGCGAGACTCACTCATCTTTCTGAAATAGAATTTCAATACTCATTTAAGTAATGTATAATCTTCTCGTGATGACCCATGGAACCACCAATGTGTAGGACTGTAAAAACTTCAAAGTACCTGATCATAGACATATTTCTGTCACTGACTGTGCTCTCCTTTGGCCACACTCACAAAAATGCCAAGGTTTGTCACCAAACATATTATATCTGTACAGTACTGTATTTGCAAGCTGAGACTCAATTATGCCATAACCTTTTAAAGCTCATTTCAATCCAAATTTACTTACATGTATAGTACTGTATATACGTGAAAACCATAAAACATACAGTAACAATGAACAAAGCTTTAATAAGAGTAAAATTTACAAAGTGGCAGGAATTCCTCTGTTCATGTAAAGTAGTGATATCTCCGTTAGCCAGAACAATTGATGCAAAGCATTTCAGGGAATGAGAGATTTCCGGGTAACAAGACGACTCTCTCAACCCAAGAAAAAATTCCCACATCCCCCACATTTTCCAGGTACGTGCCGGGAAATTTTTCTCAGAATTTCCGGACATTGCGCATTACTACATCTTTTCTCAAACCTGGAAAAAATTCCCTACCCACGGAATTTTCCAAAATGGCGCATTATTTCATCTCTCTAACCTGGAATTTTCCCCAAAAATGCGCTCCTTGGAAAATCTTTCCCAAGCCCGGAATATTCCGGAAAATTCCAAGCAAATTTCAATTCCGACTATCGGAGAGTTCCTGTTAAGAGGGATACTGGCTAACGGAGATATTACTGCATTTTAAAGCATGCTCTTACAGAGAATAATGAAATTAATAGCCAATACAGGAAATACCGTAATCAAATCACTTCACTGTTAAATTTGTCTTCATACAAAATAATTTCTTATTCTATTTTTGAGTTACAGCTGCTAATTTCAGCCACTGATTTGTTTTTAGAATGGTTGAAGAGGAGATAAAAATGTATGGACTGCAACATGAAAATATTCCTTTATGACACTTAAATGTGTCCAAAATTACTGATTTAAATCAATGTTTTAAACCATTTGATTTAAATCATGACAACCCTGCTTACACTTCTGTACATAATACTGTGCTGTCTTTCCATCAGCGTACGCTTTGATTTCATTACCATGTTAACAAGAAAAGTGTATGATACCCAGTATAGTTGCACATTTTCTTTTTTCATCGGTGAAGAAAATCTCCAAAGTAACTCTCTACATTTTCGTTTTTAAGCTTGAAATCATAAGGAATTGATAAACCTTGACAAAAAAGCATAATTTTGCAAACCTGCTGGCGCTCTGCTATGAATTTCCAAGGACAAGTACACCATTATTATTTTCTTTGGTCTTTTATTCTTCATTTTCCACTTGAATATCCTGTGTCCCTGGTGAAAACTATTTTATCCTCATACCTTCCATATTAAAAGTAAATTTATCTGCATCAAAAGGTGAGGAGAGAGAGAGCAAATACTTTACAACAAAACATACTGCACTGTACTAATATGCACTGTAAGGTAACAAAAATTCAAACACTACAGCTTTGTTTTGGACAGCATATAAAAAGGCACAGTGATCAAATCTGTTTGGGAGTTATATTCTAAAACATACCTCTCTGCCATTCCTGGTATATATGAAATGCCCCACATTCTACAGACTTGTTATATTAATCATGAAGTGGTGACTCATTCAGTAAGGACGATTTTGTTATTTACTGACTAGACAAATGAGAGAATCAAAGTGGTAAACCAGAGCATCAGTAGAGAGGTACCAGGGTAAGGGGAATGATGTATGGTCTCTCTTTGCTCTTCATTCCGCATACTGGACCTGCGTAATGTTCTCTTCAACATCCCAAGCCTGTACTACAGTGTTACACTAACCTAACCTGAACAACAACACAATACTTGCACCAGTGGGCTGATGTATGATATGTTGAAAATATATCTGTAGCTATACATTTCCAAAACAATACAATTAAGTTACGTAAAATATGCTACACTACTGTTCATTATTATAAATAAAATATAACAGTAAAAAAAAAGACATTGTTTTTTGTGGTCAGTAAACGATTCAGTAAACAATATGAAAAAACCTTAAGCAGAGTTTTTCAAAATTCTTACAATGACAAAAAAAAATAAAAATTGTATGTCTGAGAATGAATCCCACATTCCTCCCAAATACAGTACCTGTAGAAACATAATCAATATGACAAAGTTGGAGGAGTGCCACTGCCAGCAGGCTCTTGGTTAACAAAAATCTTTATAGTCGCCTCAGACAAAGAGGACGACAAAGGCTCCATTCCATAAGGCCTGACCCTCCTTCCCCACACCTTAAAAGTACAGTAATAAAACACACATTCTAATAATTCCAGATGTCCATGCTTTTTGTTGTTGTTAAATACATAAAAGACTGGGAAAGCTTTTTTTGGTAATACTGTAATCTGAAATTCATCAATGTACAGTAATCATTATGACTGGAACCCATGCAACCCCTTTCATAAACACAAGTCTTCTCATACACATTCTCAACACATAAAAACCAATACATTATATACATATACAGTAAAATACAGTACATACTAGGAAAAAATGCGACAGAACCATGGAAGAAACAACAATACATATTAGTTATTAAATGACAAATCCAAAAAGCATTGCAACTTTCTACACATTCAAACTCCTTAAATCACTGATGAAATAATGGTTGTAATGTATCAAAATTCACCTGAAAATCTCACTGTAAAGTACAGTACTGTACATACAAATCCCAGCCGTGTTTAAGCATGCTGTATAAGTGCATCATTTGAAACATTTTCATATTAACTAAACACTAATTTCCATTTATATTATATTAGTGTGATTTCATAGGTACTTACGTCATGTTTGTATAACTTATCGGCAGATGTATGTCAGGGCAAACTGGCCACGGCCTGAAAAATATGGTAATGGAACATGGGAGCAAACATCTACAGTATACGGCTGTGTCAGTTATGTTGTTGGTTCTGTACCTCCCACACACAACAATCTGGTGATCATGTCTCCCAAAGGCAATTCAAACTTCATTGTAAAATTTATGGTCTAATGTAAAACTAATATTCAGTGTATTCATAACTTACAGAACTGCTCCTGCTGGTGGCAATACAGTACAGTAGTGGACTGTATTTTTAACTTAAACACTGTAATAAGATACAGCACAAATTACTCAACTGAGTTAAATAATATTTTTGAACAGTACCACACACTTTTTCCAGGGAGGAGTGGTGGACCTGAATCTTCATAATCAGTGAGGATTGGACAGATAGATACATAAGTTGGTAGACAGATATAAGGATACTGTACCAATTAAAAAGAAGGATCTAAAATTACGATGGTAATTTCTTGATGCGCAATTCCCCACAAAACAATTTGTTTCAAAATATATAGTACAGTAGTGTGGTTCTGGACACTGATAAAACCTATCCTCGAATCACTATTCTCCAGGTACTTCCCAAACCAAGTCTTCAGAGAGCGGTAATGCCAGACTAAGTTAAGCATCTGCTTTCAGTGTTGTTCCTGGCTATTGCAAATGTGACTGACATTAATGATGTTACAGTATATGACTTAACATTTCATTATAATGGTTTAGAGGCATCTGCTGAATTCTTATTATTGATGAAGGAGGAGGGATGTATGCAGGGATGTGAGCAGTTGGTAGTCAGTGAGTAGAAGACACTGAGGGGAGTCTGATGTGAAGGAAACTACTGAGAGGACACAATTCAGCCTAGCCATATATATGGAACAAAAGCATGCGTACAATTTTGAAATCATTAGGAGTGTGTGAGCAATGGAAATGAGACTTTCTAAATACTGTATGGAGGATGAACATGTGTGCTGGTCTAGACCGGATGGAGGGTAAATGGATGAAAAATAGTCAAGGTAAAGTTAATCCACAGAATGAGTGGGAGAACTGTAAGCCTTTTATACCTAACAATGTACAGTGTGCAGGAGGTCCCCGGGTTACGTACAATCCGATTTACAAACTTCCGCTGATATGAACGAGGTCCCATAAAGTTAAATTTTAAATTTACAGTATTTTATTTACCTGATGACTTATTTTTAACTTTCATTTACTGTATTTTGTCATTCTATTTCTTCTTTTCTCTTTAATTAAGATATTTAGATGTATATAAGAACTTAGGCTATGATAATAAAGGGATTTAAACATTGTTCTGCAAGTACAGTATGCACATAGGATATGTGGTTTGACTTAAGTACATTTTCGACTTCAGAACGTCCATATGAACGTAACTCGTACGGAACCCGGGGACTGCCTGTATATACCTGTACTGGTGCAATATAAATTTTCTCATCAGGATAATTAAAGATAAAAAGATAACCAAAAGAGGTACTGTAACTTTTTTAACCCTGGCAATAAATGATGATATTCATTACATTCCAAGGCAATGTAACAAAGTGTGTCCATAATACAATATTATACAATAAATATGTATTATAAATTTACTTAAATCAAATACTGTACTGCAAATATCAGAAACAAACAAAAGCTCTAAGAGAGACTCATAGCTGGTATCAATAGTGTATTTTCCCTAATGAAAATACAGATGCCTGTACAGTGCAATAACATGTATAGTGCCTTAATCACTTACCTGCCCATGAGGCAGGTATATCATCAATGAAACAATAAACAACCCTGTTGTATACAACTACAAACTGTTTTACCAGGTGACCCAGCTTAACAGCACTTGACCTATTTTACCGTCCAACCAAGTTCGGACTAGTTGGGAGGACGTGTAAGTGTTCAAAATGTGGCACAGTACTGACAGTGAACCAGAAATATGTGGTCCAGTGCAACAACCGATCGCACTCTTACATCCAAAAAAAAATTTAAAATTACATAATACCACTTCAATAAAAATGCTTTCATTGGTATACCTGATATCAAAGTAAATTCATTCTGCTTAATATGCCAGGGGGCAGAGCACCCCAGTTAGGAAGTTAGGTAAGGTTAGGAAAGTTTGGTGGGTTAGGTTAGGTTAGGTTAGGTTAGGTAAGGTTAGGATAGTTTGGTGGGTTAGGTCAGATTCTGTTAGGTAATGTGCATTATTGTTTCCATTTTCTTGTTTGGTTTCAGGCAAATTGAATCTCAAGAAATTTTAGTGCAATTCCATAAGTAATTACTACCGCCTGTCTGGGGGGGGGGGCAAATCCCCGGTTAGGTTAGATATAGGTCAGGTCAGGTCAGGTTAGGTCAGGTCAGGTTAGGTTAGTTTGGATATCTAAATACAGGGATGAACGAAACTAAAATTTTGCCATTACTACTACTAAACGTCTCCTCCACTACTACCTGATGTTGCACCACTACAATGTTTTACTGACTATCACTACACTATAGCCTAAACAAACTCAAATGGTGTGACTGCTGGTCTAGTCTTGGCTTACCGAATATTGCAGGATCTTTCAGAGCACTCCAATTGCCTCCTGTATTTACTAACATTGACCCATGATGGGTAAATTCACCATGAACAATGGGGAGATAAAATAAGTCACCAGCTTACTTCCCTAACCAAATATTTTTCTTTAATTAAAGTTTTGAATAACATGAAGTCGTGCAGGTTTCCTACGTGCACTAACGCCCATAAATACAACACACTCATATACTGTAAGGATCCAGCACTTCATATCATTAAAATTTCTCCAAACAGAGCAGAACTATCCATGTTATAAAATGTTGTATACTGTAAACCAACTCCTGGATTGGCTCCAACAACGCGCCCAAACAGCTCAATAACACAACCCCTGCCACTGTAGAGCTAAACAACATCATCCAGCACACAAACACGTCTTACTTCAAACATTATATCACACAGGTGTGATTGAACAATAATATATACTGACCTGTACACAAATGTTAGATTATACGTAACAAAATATTCAAAGCCGGGGTGAAGAGTGGCGGTCAGCTGTGTTGTGGTGGTGCTGCCCTCTACCTCCCGGCCCAACACAACCGTTATTACTCTCTTCTCTTTATCGTTTTATCTTTATTTTACAACGTATAACCTTAACTATAAACACTTCTATATTCAGTTATCGCTAATTCAATTCAATGTATACACTTTAAATTCCAGGGAATGCTGTATGATGAATATTGATAACGTTACTACAATGCCGCTTTAAAGGAACGGTTTATATATATATATATATATATATATATATATATATATATATATATATATATATATATATATATATATATATATATATATATATATATATATATATATATATATATATATATATATATATATATATATATATATATATATATATATATATAAATATAATATATATATATATATATATATATATATATATATAATAAATATAATATATATATATATATATATATATATATATATATATATATATATATATATATATATATATATATATATATATATATATATATATATATATATATATATATATATATATATATATTATATATATATATATATTTATATATTTATTTATTTATGTATATATAATATATATATATATAATTTTTCTTTTTATTGTAATGTATTTGTTAATAGTTTATCCATTTGACCTGACTGCTTGAAAGTAAATTAACGAATAGATACATGGTGAGCAGTGAATGTACTGTACATAAACATTTAAGTATGGGCTAAATATTGATTGTTTCACAATTTGCTTTTTTTTTTTTCAAATTGAGTTATCACTACAATATATCGCGCGATGGTCCCAATATTGTACTAGTGGTAGTATATACAGTACAACTCATTAAATAGGAAACGACTACACACATATCAACTAATTATTGTTATTAATTTAGAAGTGACGAAAATTAAATTAAAGTCTGTCTCCAAGCTATAAAGACTTCACCTTGCATGAACATCTCTTAATTTATCTATACACTTGAAAAGTGAAGTGTGGCGTACGTAGGGTTATAAAATACAGACACCAAGTTTTCTGTGGGGAAATAAAAATAATAAAAATAGTTTTGTGTTAGTATTTAATATGTTATGTAAACAAAATCTCAACACTTTTTTATTGCATTTTTTTTAATAAACAGGCCTACAGTATCCATTATTTGAGTGTTGGTAGTACAGAGGAAACCCACAGATCTCTCAAGGTTCAATCCCCGGCCCTTGACAAACGTGAGATAGGTGTTATCCCGTGCGACCCAACCAATCAAGACAGGTTTTATCCAGGTACTCCGGTTCCTCCTGTACTAATACTAGGCAATAAAGTGGCGAAATGATAAGTGTCCTCGGGGATCAAATCTCTCACATCAGCAATACTTAAAATGTCATTAAACAAAAGTTAATATTTCAGTACAGTCGCCTGCACTTACACCCGATACAGTTGTTGGCACGCTTTGAGAGATGTTGGCACTCTGTGGAATGCATATCTAGCATCCATAGTCTGGCTACTGAAGCAACGTTTCTTAAGGCCATTCTGAAAGTTTTGATGTGAAGTAAACACAGAGGTGCCACATCTCACAGAATGTCAGCCATTGCACCATATATAAAGTGCAGGCGATTGTACACGTATGCCTGTTTCTGCCCTAAACCTTCCAAGGCCTTTACTGTCTCTAATATTTAAGTTTTACTGTGACAGGAGTGATTACTGGGTGAAGCTGGACCTGCCATGTTATAGTTTTTATGTTGATGAATGTTGTTCTAACTCAACAGGTGTGAAAGGAAGACAATAGGGTTTATATGTATATATGGGAATAATAGTATGTACAGAAGTTCTTATTAAACTTGGATGTGATGGGCACCTGTCATTTCTAGGCTTAGTTTGCTATTTCTTCTGCATGGTGTAGGCACTGTAGGGTAGGAGGGCCGGGGGTAGAACACTACTGACAAACTAATTAATTAGAGTATTGGAAAAAATAGTTACTTTCTTTTCAGGTTCTGCATTTAAAAATGGGTGACAAAATGAGCTTCCAATGGTTTTAAAAAATATACATTTCCAAGTTAAGTTGGTATTCAGTACATTTTATAGGACGTAAAAATAAACAAGAATATTTTGACAAAATAATTTATTTATTTAAAACTGTTGAAAAAGTATCAGAAGACCAATTCCGGCCTGTGTTAGCAGCACAGATGGAGGCAGCCAGTGGCACATACTGTAGCTGTAGCTCTCATCCATCACCTCCTAAAATGCATAATTTATGTGTCAGTCACCCTATTACCATGGGGTAGTCCTCTCCTATTCATGTGAAGTTGAGAGTAAATAATATTACTTTCGATAATGTATATTAGATTAAATTTAAACTTGGTATAAGAAACATTAGAAGACGTTACAGTGGACAAGAACCAATCAACTCACCCCATACCCCCATACGTGTGGATTATGTTAAATCTCAGCAGTGATGCCTCAGACCCTCTTATAGTGTCTGGTGGCGACGGTGCCTGAGGCCGTGTGGGTCAGTGTCTGCAACGATCACATATTCTCACATGACTGCACCATGAACATCCCTTATAGTGAAGATGTAAAACTGTACCGACGTGTGTGACTTACGACAATAAACACAAAAATAACATCCAACAAAAACAGCATCAAAAATATACCCAGACATTATCTTAAAGTATTTGCACCAATAAGAGGATACTATTGCGGTACAGAATCACATCCAGTGGTGATTTACGTTAATTTTGTCTTCTAGCTGGTGTTAAAAGAACTCATCTAGCTGTTTTAGGACGTTCTTTTCTTTTTGTATTTAACATTAATCACTTAGATACATTCTCACATCCAATAAAAAGAAGTAACCAATTCTCCTATAGTCTGAGAATGTGCAGACGACACTGCTGGTCCGTCCACCCACGATGAAAAAAACAAAATAGCGTCAAAACTTAAAGGAGACTTCACCGTTACTTGATCTAGTCACAGTCTAGTATCTCACCTCTCTATGATCGCTGATAGCTTTAATGTGGTGATCATTTCAGAATTTGGATCAGTGGTGATTCAAATAGATTCTGCAGGTTCATTTTATGCCTTACCTGGTATTCAAGCAGGTGTATCTTGCTATGGTACAGTCACAGTGCAATTCTGATGTCATTTTTAATATAATTTTATGGTTTTTTTAGCTTAAGTTAACAAGTCGAGGAACAGGTCTAAGACACGGGACTTTCAGAAACTTGATAAAAAAGAACACTGACCTGAATAAGGCCGTCAGAAGTGAAATGCCGCACGGAGGTCATGACTCGGTCTCCCTGGTTCTCCACGGGCGTCTGTATCAGCTTGTCATCCTCCACCGAGAACACCACCTGGCCACAAACATCCTCATGAGAACAATTATCCATCACAATACAGCTGTTGAGGGGAGGATTATGATGGTATTGTTGGGGGGTATCATTGGTTAAATTATCTTACTGTGTACCATTGTGTAATCTGTGTATATTGTTTCTACCTGCCTTATTTACCTACTGACCACTCACTACAGGTGACCCTGCCGAGGGGAGGAGACCAGTGGTATGTGTAAGATCCCTCCTTTGGTCTTGATAATTTTGTCGAGGGCAATTTTTGAAGCCCAGTATTATTGTTCTTGATTCCACAGCTTGGGCTGGTAGACCGTTCCATAGGTCTACCAGCCTCTGTGTGAAAATTATTTCATTATATTCTTTCTGCATCTTGGCGAGCTTGTAGTTATGTCCCCCGTGTTGGTGGTGCGTGACATCACCAAGAAATGTCCCTGGTTCACGTTTTCTATTCCTTTCAGGATTTTTAATGTTTCAGTGAGATGATCTTGAATGATCGAGATGACATAGCTCCGGAATCATCTTGGTCGCTCTATGTTGCACCTTTTTCTTTCTGGGGGTAACAGGGTTTCCATGCCTCTATACAGTAACCCAGACCAAGACGTGCTAGAGATATGTACAGGTGAAAGAGCATTTACCTGTCTTTGTATCCCAAGGTGCGCTTTATAATTCTCAAATGTCGATTTACATTTCTCAGTGCTGCCTTCACTTGTTGCGCCGCCTTCAATGAAAGATCTGTAATAACGCCAAGATCTTTCTCCTTATCGACAGTATCCAGGAAAGTGTTATTAACAGAAAAGTTGTGATTAAGATTGTTGTATCCTCCGTGTAGGGTCTTGCATTTCGTAATGTTAAAGAGCATTTGCCAGTCTCGAGACCATTTGTAGAGCTCAAGTAGGTCTTTCTGCATTGTTGCGACAGTCTTGACTTGCTACCTTCCCAAATATCTTCGTGTGGTCCGAAACATGTAATCATGCACTGTCTATCTTACAGTTCTTTGTATAAGTGCACCGTCAAAATACACGCCGAATCAAAATGAAATTCACTTTACTTTATCCCCCTCGCCACTGATCGGTATGTTAGCCTCTTGGCAAGTACTGGTCATACACTGGCTGCAGAATGTATCTAAACCTGTGCCAGTGTTGATCAGATCTGCTCTTGAATGAGCTCACACCCGGTACTGACCCCAACACTCTCGAGCAAGTTATTCCAAGACCCCCACCCCAAAAAAAAGCTTGACCTGAAAATTTTTAAAAGTGTAGCTTCTTAAATTTGAGGCAGGGATTTGTATCAAGATTCTATCTAATTGTCGTGGTAAACTGTGTACTGTATACCCTTATGCCATACACTTACAACTACACACACACACATACTTGGCAACGCATCCAGGGAGAAGCTTATGAGACATTGTTAAGGGTTATCCCCCCACAGGAGTCAATAGAGTTGTGGTCTTGTGTACGTGTTGACAAATTATACGTTGAATGTTAAGGTAGAAACTAGGTCGAATGTCGTGGATTGTATGTATGTATGTATGTATGTATGTATGTATGTATGTATGGATGGATGGATGGCGTTAAGGGGTCCCAGATTTAGAGCAGTTCAGCGTGTTATATTAAGTGTCAAAACTCACTAGTGATTGCTTGAGACCCAAACAGCCACACGGTCTATATCATAATTATGTTACTAATTGGGTTTTGGCGAGAGGCTGTGTGTGTGTGTGTGTGGGGGCATAGTTTAGTTTACTCTCACCGTTCAATATTATCTCCTAATCATACAACCAATAATGTGACTCTTTAATGTTATATTATTTGGTGATTAGAGTCTTTACTAACCTATAAAACGAGCTAATTGACCTCAGTTGTTAAAAAGTAATACAATATAACATGATAATTCACAAACTTATCACGCTTAAAGACCTTAGTGGTTAAAGCTCAGTAATACAGTATAATGCCAATCATCGTACAGTACCTTGACTGTTCCCTCGGTGCTGTCGACGAAGGTCTCTTCTCCCAGCTTAAAGGTCCAGATCATGGTCCTGACTGTGACCTTGGTCGTGATGGTCCACGTGTCCCCGTCCACCTCCACCTCCACCGTCGGCTTACTCCTCAACGCAAGCTTCCGCATCAGGAACCCCATTCCTGTGAAGATACACCTTTAGCTTTTACATCTCTGCCCCTGTCAGACTACATCATGTGAGTTTAGATTTTTTGTCCCTGTAAATGTATACTATTGGGGCTCATGCCCAGATGGTCCGTCTCCCGTAAGGCTCTTCAATAGTGAGGTGCTTCACCACTTAAAATATTGTCATACTGTTGGTGCCCGAGATGTGCTGAAGACTGCCAGTTGACTGAGAACATCCAAAAGAGGGCCACCAGACTGGTCCCTGCACTTAAGCTCCTTACGTAATATGAGAGGTTAGAACGCCTTTAGTAGCCTTGTTTATACTGTGGGCGGACAAGGGGTGATTTAATAGAAGTTTATAAGTACCTCAAAGGACCTTAGTCAGTCGAGTGTTCATATCAGTAGCTACAGGACGCCCGCCCCACTTGAGGCCACAGCCTCTAATTAAAGAAAGGGAAAATTGTCAAAATCAACTTCTTTGGAGTAAGAGTTATTAATTATCGGAATAAACTGTCATGGAATGTTGTGATGGCAACGAGCGTGACCTCATTTAATGACAGATTTGACCAACACTGGCACATGTTCTGGTATATTCTAGAACCCATGTATGCCCAGAACAGTACTTGCCATCAATGCGTATTACAGAAATAACTGATCGCCTAAGCAGTTAGCCAGCCGATCAGCGGCGAAGAGAATAAGGAAGGAGTTTATACCCCCGCCTGTCCCCGTGAAGATAAACCTTCTGTGTTTACAGATCTGTCTCTGAAATTGTGAGTTTGGTACTAAGTTCCCCTGGTTACTGTGACTATGAAGATAAACAACAGAGTTATGAGGTGTAGTGAGTTATGGGTGTGCCAACCACCAACACACACCAAGTACAACACACAGCATAAGACGCCTCAACTCACCCATCTTAATAAATACCTCCTCCAAGTTTTCATCACTCTCGTGCTTGTAAGTCCCGATAAACTGTACCATCTCTGTGTTAACACCCTGGAAGAGAGAGAGAGTAGATTAGTTTATGTTATGTTAGGTTGGGTAAGCGACACACAAGTGCAGTCTGTGTTCTTGTTTAAATATTATTATTGTCTTGTTAACAAACGTGTCAGGGGTGAGCATAGGGAAGTGATCCTTGGTTACTAACGCTCCTACTACTGTTATGACCTCTTACCTGTAGTACCTCCCCGTAGCGTCTACCTGTAGTACTTCACCGTGGTACCTCCCTACAATACCTACCTGTAGTACTTCACCGTGGTACCTCCCTACAATACCTACCTGTAGTACTTCACCGTGGTACCTCCCTACAATACCTACCTGTAGTACTTTACCGTGGTACCTCCCAACAATACCTACCTGTAGTACTTCACCGTGGTACCTCCCTACAATACCTACTTGTAGTACTTCACCGTGGTACCTCCCTACAATACCTACCTCCAGCACCCCCCACAAAACCCACACACACGAGAATCTTATTTGGCGAGGCAACCCCACGTGTTATCACCCCCCAGTCACCAAAGTTGAGTGAGGCGACAACAAGTGTTAGATAATCTGCCCTCATCACCCCCAACCCTGAGGACCGTAAACCCAATAGCGCTGGGCAGCAAACTGTGACCATCGCTGTGGGGTATGGTGATGTAAGGAAGAAAGAGTCTTTGGGTACGTTTATGTCAGGGTAACATTATAATAAGTAACAGGAGAACAACACAAAAGTTCGTCGTTTCTTGACTACGTAATATTTTTCTATTGGCAGAAACAGATAGTGAGGGTCAGTGTGGATATTTGACTCCCCCCTCGTGACGTGTACGGCGAGTGAGTTACGTATAGGGGAGTAGTAGTATGCGGGTCGTTGGTTTGTTCTCTATTAAGGCACTGTTGGCTAGTGGTGGTTGGTGGCCGCTTCGTGTTACTTACAGCCAGTCGGCTTGAGTACACATAATTAGATCCCAAACGACTAATTCATCTTAATAATGTTAGAAGTTGGTAATGTAAGGTTAGGGACAAGTATTAAATATAAAGGTAAATAATTAATTGTACATAGACTTGCACCAGGGAGGAGGGGGGGGGTACCTCTTCCTTCAGTCTCGTGATGATGAGTACAGCCGCCTTCATTGTGAGATAACGCGGAGATAACTATTAAAACTTATCATTCACTGGTCATGATAAACACTCCTCGTTCACCTGGATGCTTATTTAGGGTCAGGGGATATTGAGTACATTGATACGTGGGTAAACTGGAGAAATTAGCACACAGTAGGTGGATATTAGGAACGGTAACGTATTTTCAGTATTGTCTCAACACCGTATGAAGTAATGGTGCAAATGAGTGGTGATGCAGTGAAGCTGACGGTGAAACTGATGTTGTGAAGCGGTGATATATTGAAGCACTGACAAAATGAAACTGATATGATTACGAGCCATAAATCAGAGTCTTTCAAAATTCATACATTAATTTTATTTACGAAACTTAGAATAACAGAACGCATCAAATTCATCCAGTCTATTTTTTTATTCCATTTAAAAACTATTCCCTGTGACTTTTATCTTCTAGCAAAAAATATTGACGTATTCTCTGAGATTTTTTTCCTTTGGTCGTTTTCTTCAAGACATGGCGCTAACTCTGTTTACAAGATGCATGACCAGCGTCCAAGGTCAGGGTTAGGATAGACTAAGCATCTATATAGATATTCTCTTCCTCCTCGTAACTGGAGATTAAAGACGATAATTACAGTCGCGTCTCAGTGCAATTTCGATGCCATATTAGAAGTTGTTCTTTGTGTTGTGGTGTAAGTATGTCACATCTCCAGCTACAGGGAAAAATTTGAAACGCCCGAAACATTGAGAACTCAGGCGCTGAACTCTTAAATTTGTTGACATTTTTTCGCTCTTGAGAAATGACTTGACAATGCATCTATTTGGCTCACTTCAGTTACAATTTACAATACAAATCCGGTAACGAAAATGGCGTATATATTGCACCGAGACTCACAAGACGTGTTTTCTTGTCCCTAATTAAAGAATGACATTGAATTTACTGATGTGTGTAGACCTCGGTAATGTTATCAAAGATTCGATCGATTTTTGTTTTACGTGTATGTAGTTGTTATTAAAGAACGTTGTGTTTTAATATAGTTTTGACCACTGTATCTTTCTTTAATAGCTTGACATACATCGTAACAGCCTCTTTAGTCGTAAGAACAGGTGAATTAACTGACCCGTGGATAAACATACCCACAGTACACCCTTCACAAATCCGTCATTAACCAGACAATCAAATACGTTAATAACATGTATAACAAGTATTAACATTCACCTAACTAAGGTATGTGATGGTGACAGCAACTCTCACCTGACACAACAGACGCTAGTGTACGGTCAGCCTCGATCCTGCCGCGACCAATTGTAAACACACACTGACTGACGCTGCCAGACTGAGGCCACTTGCTGGTTGTTACCCTCACTCTCTCACCCACCTCCTCTCTCTCTCTATCCCTATCTTTCTCACTACTCTTCCTCCTTCTATTTCCAACCCCTCTTCTTTCCTTCTTCTTCACTCTATCACCCCTTCCTCTTTTTTCTATCTCTCAAACTCCCATTATTTCACTTCCTCACACTCCTCCTTCCCCTAGATGTTAAACGATTTAATGGTCAGCCAGTGCAGTTGGCGAGTTGTCCGGTCTTCCTAGATAATTCCTTAACAGTGGGTCATACAGCTCGTTAACTCAGGGTGTGGTTGTTGTGTTGGCGACAGCTTCTACACCTTTAAAGAAAAATCACGCCATTATGGGCCTAGTGCGGCAAGCCTCGAATAAAAGAGGAAACCAATTATTATAATACATTTGTCTATTATATAACTACGGTATATGTACTTAGACACTTCACTAGAGGTTTTTTTTTTACCGCTGGTTTAAATTCTCGTTAGATATGGCATTTTTTTAATCAAAGTATAAGGTGTTTTATAGTTAGTTAAACCCACAAATATATCGATCAAGACGAAGGTTCATTTTCAACGTTCAGACAATAGTTGTACCAAATGATGTGTTCCTCGGAAGCTGGGTGTTTGTACGGTCGTGATATGTGTTACAGAATCATTACTGCTCAGGAGAGAGAGAGAGAGAGAGAGAGAGAGAGAGAGATAAGCAAGACCGTGTTATCTCCCTCCCTCCACCCCACACATAACCTGCCTCTGACTCACCTAAGCTTATCTATCCCGGTAAGAACATTTTGACAACGTTCCTAGTTTCTATGTCTGGAACAGGTCACGTGGACAAGTACACAAAACGCCTCGTTCCTGGTTACGCCCGTAGTTACGCTTACCTAACTTCTGCTTGGCTGGAACAAGTCACGTAAACAAACAAACACACATAGGCCTACACGTACGTACACGAACCCACACACACACACACTTATGTTACATCACTAAACAAGACTCACTATGACCCTAACATTCTCACTATTTTGTTGACGTCACACATACACATCTGGGGAACAGTATTAATTTGGGTTACCTGAAGATTTGCCCCGCCCCAAGCTAACCTAACCTAACCCCGTAAGTAAAGGAGGACAAGACGTAGGATGAGTTTAGAAATATATAAATAAATAATTGGTTGACATGTTGCGGAAGGGGCCATTGTGTAGTATACCAGCTGTAGGTGATGGGAGTGACCACGGGTATAATGTTTTAATTAATTGAGTATTCTAGCCAACGTGTTTTTTTTTATGAATGTTTATATATAGATAATTATGTATGTACCTGTAGCTTAATTTCTATATCCACAGTGAGGTATACATTTATAGGAAGACGTGACCTGACCTGGAGTGACCTGTAGTGACGTGACCCGATGTGACCTGGTACAAGGAAGACCATCTCAACTAATATCTCTCCCTCCCTCGGACTTCACCTGAGTATTAATGATGAAAAACTCACCTGTTGATCCTGTAAATTTTACACTTATGGATCAACACACTCACTTATGCTCCCCCTCCACCACCACCAACACACTCATGCTCTCCCCTCCACCACCACCAACACACTCATGCTCTCCCCTCCACCACCACCAACACACTCATGCTCTCCCCTCCACCATCACCAACACACTCACGCTCTCCCCTCCACCATCACCAACACACTCACGCTCTCCCCTCCACCATCACCAACACACTCATGCTCTCCCCTCCACCACCACCAACACACTCATGCTCTCCCTTCCTCTCACCACCACCAACACACTCATGCTCTCCCCTCCACCATCACCAACACACTCACGCTCTCCCCTCCACCATCACCAACACACTCACGCTCTCCCCTCCACCATCACCAACACACTCATGCTCTCCCCTCCACCACCACCAACACACTCATGCTCTCCCTTCCACCACCACCAACACACTCATTTGTAACACGATGGTGATAACAAAGATAATAACAAGAATTAATAATTTTTTCGCTGGTGATAATGACAGTAACAGTAAAGATAACGATAATGAACTGAATAACATAAAGATGAGGGGATAAATAATAATGGAAACATAACCCTGATGAAACAGTGAACGAATGAACGTAATCAGCCGAATGAATTACAGGTAACAGGTATATTAAAGTTATTTTACAACATTACCACGCGTTAGTAATACTCACTTGGATTCTACTCTATTTGCAAACCAGTGTTTACCTATCTCGCGCCTAAATTTATATTTGTCTAATATAAAACTATTGTTACGAGTTCGCTCCTAGTTGGGTAGTTTGAGTACCTTTGTTATATATCACCTTTGTTTAGCCCTGAATTCCATTTATACACCTCTATCATATCGCCCCTCACTCTACGTCTCTCGAGGGAGTGCAAATTAAGATGCTTTAACCTGTCTCTGTACTTAAGGTTCCTAATGCCCGGGATTGGTCTTGTCATCCTCCTCTGTATGCGCTCGAGAGATTCTATACACATTCTGTCGCACGGTGACCAGAACTGAACCGCGTAATCCAAGTGAGGTTTTATAAGCCCAAAATATAGTTTTAGGATAACCTCTCTAGTCTTGTAACTAACATTTCTTTGTGTAAACCCAAATACTTTCTTAGCCTAGTTTCGAGCAAATACATATTGTTGTCATGGTTTAAGATTCCTACTTATCATTACTCCTATGTCTTTTTCACAGTCGGATTTCTCAATAACATCGTTGTTCATCTGGTATCTCTCTTTACATCTCCTAGACTAATTACTTTACATTTGTCCACATTAAATTTCATCTGCCATTTTTCAGACCATGCGAAAAATTTGTTTAGATCTTCCTGTAGTTTTGCGGAGTCCACGTCAGATTTAATTACACGCCCTAGTTTAGTGTTATCAGCAAATTTACTTCTGTTGCTGATTGAAGTTTATGTATATAATAAATAATAATGGTCCAAGTATTGAGCCTTGGGGTACTCCACAAGTGACGTTACTCCAATAGGATTTAGTGGCATTATTGCTGACTCACTTTCCTGTCCTGTAACCACGCCCTAATGCAGTTTAGAATATATCCAATTCCATGAGCCCCCACTTCACATATTAACCTTTCGTGGGGGACCCTGTCGAAGGCTTAGCTAAAGTCGAGGTAAATCACATCATAATCGTGTCCGTCGGCCACTGATTTGAAAACAGTTGAAAACAATGATAACAGATTTGTCAGACATTGTAAGGGCGGCAACGATCTTCCCGCTCGTTACCGCTGCTCTCTCGCTCGTTTGCTGTCGCGACCCCCACTTGGGGGGGGGGGGGGTTAGACGGAGGTGAGGAAGTCGCGGCTACCAGCGACACCGGGACAGACATTACCCAGTTTCAAATCAGACACACCAGCCCCAAATTCTGGTGGTGTTCTCATTAAAGGTTCTGGACTCGTGGGCTGTGTCCCCAGACCTTCACCTATCGCCTGTCAGTCTCTGGACACCTACCCCAAACCACTACCTCGGCTGCCACGACCGTCAGTTCATCTCCTCCCCGGTGTTTCTCCAGCTGTAGCAAGACCACGACTGCTGTTACTCGAGTGAGGAGTTGAATGGACCTCTACCCCCTGAGAGTGGATCCCTGCTTTTCAGAACCATCCCCAGGGCCGCTGCCGGAGGATGTATCTGTTCATTGTTTGATTCCATCAGTTGTTGACTTCCATTAATTGTTTGATTCCATAAATTGTTTGACTCCATTAACTGTTGACTGCATTAATTGTTTGACTCCCGTAATTGTTATTTCATGTTTGTTGAGTGGTGTCGGAGTTTTGTTATATTTTTATAGTAAAATGTCAATATCGAACCTTTGTTTGTTATTCCTCGGAAAACCATGGTTCTTGACTTTCTTTTTATAAGATCCTGATTAGGCTGGTAAGGGATTTCTATCCCTAAGTCCCAGACCTTTACAGACATGAACGCCCACTTGTGAAGCCTTGCTGAGAATCATTGATCAACTTGAGTTAGAAAATATTGCGTCCAGCAATTTGCCTACAATTGATGTTAAACTGAGCTATAGTGATCTATCTCCGTTCATGAAAATCGGTATCAAATTTGTTATCCTCCAGGATTCTGGTACTTCACACTTTTTTAATGACATGTTTAACAAGCTTGCTAAGCTCTTCCTTACATTCCCGTAATACTCTGGCAAACACCTCGTCGGGTCCTGGTGAATTTTTACAGGGATTAGCCCACCCGGGCACAGGTCACAGACCCACACCAGGGCCTGGGGGCGAAAATATAATTAATAATAATGGCCATAAAACAAAAATTTAAAAATAAATAGAGTGATAAACGGTATACAATATGTATGTGCGATGCCATTAAAGAAGAGGCAATTGAGCTGGAGTCACAGGCGTGAGCCTCTTCCAGAAGATCATCTGAGTATTAAGAGAAACCGTTGTGACCCTGCAACTTGTTTACGAACGTCGTTACTAGTCACCACTGACTCGCTTTATCTATTTTCTTCAATATTTCTACCATACTGTTTAATAGATGTGTAAATCGGAGGCGGATCCAGGAACATCAAAAGTCCAAGTAGTTGTGGGCGAGTAAACCTGGCGAATAAAGCGAGCCTCACCCAGCGGGGGTTTTTTTTGTGGGGGCATTTTGAGGCCATGGATCCGCCCCTGCAATTTTGCATAAAAGAGACACGGCTGTATTCAAACCGGATAAATTATAATCCACCTTAATACTCCCGGGCACCTTCTGGTCACCACATCACCTCAACAAGATACAATGATGTTCACATGTCTCCCATATTTAACAGAGGTGGTAGGACGATTATTATGTTTAAACAAGACGTCCCTATATGGGTGAAGAACAAAAGAATACAAAATATATTTTATTCATCCGTATTGTTAAGTCACCCTGTTCTCAAAACTTAACAACATTTTAAAAAAAAATTTAAAAAAATTTTGTGCGTTTTTTCCTCGAATGGTTGAAGGAATTCAAGGGGAGAAGATTTTAGATAATTGTTTGAGAAGGTGTAATGACTTTAGCCCTCGAGGCCAAAAGTAACATGGTAGTGAGGTCAGGTTAGGTCACCAGAGTGTAGGGTGATGCGGGACCTCACCTCACGTCATTCCTAGGTGCTCTCATCCTTGAGGTCACCCCTCCCCGTTCAGCAACACCTTCACATATACAGGGACATGGAAGGACCACAGTTAGTCCAGCATTGTCCTTGTAGACCAATACAGTGTCTTGGAAGGCCAGAACTATCTAGCAGTGTTGTGAGCGAACCTTTAGAATGGATACCAGCAGTGTAGTTCCTGCCTCCGTGGGTCACGTGAACCAAAAACACAATGAAGATTGGGTTAGGAAGTACGAGAAGGCCACCGCTTTGCTCAAAGTCCGGACGTTGTGTGCAGACCACTTTTTATTCATGATCCAGGAGGCTGATAAGGCTCTGGATGCTATCTTCTCCGGTAACCTTCAACTCTTGGCTCTGAACAAGACGTCACTGGGATTATTCCTGGCCAATTGTATGGTACAGCTTCGGGAGGGCCCACCAGCCCCAATCACACACACGTGGGAGACCATCCTTTGGGCAGTCATGTACCTTGTAAAGTTCTGGAGACCTGAATTTAGAAAGTGCATTACCATCTTTCAGTCCAAGGCCTCGAAACTGTGGATACTTCGTGTGTTTAATGACACTGAAATGTGTCCAAACTTTCGCCTTCGTTTAGAGCTACTTTTTTTTTTTGGAATGTGGCCAGAAGAGGACCTCCGGAGCAAGAGAGTGGGCGACCAAGTAGCAATAGGTCTGGTATCCACGACCTCTCGCTTAGAGCTTCACCATGTACTGCCTGATGAAATGCACCTCAGTTTCGTGTATTCACTCACCAGGGCACTACATAATTGCTTTAAAAGTGGGCAACTGGTCACCATCGCTAGCGCCGCCATAGGCCAAGTGAAGAACTTGCTGGTAGGACCTGAGGTACAGTGTTTGGCCCGACTGGTGGAGGTGGCGAGCCAAACAGTGGTGCAGCTTGTTGAATGGTTTCAGGAAGGCTCCTTGGGCGCTTCTTTGATTATAGAAGTGATTGAAATTATTTTCATCTTGTTTAGACTCTTGTTGACTGGCTCACCTACCAAGGCGGCCTACGAGTGTCCTGGCCTGGTCCAGACAGCCGCTGCCTCTTTCTTTACTGCCACATCGTCCATCGTAAATGCTGCCACTGCATTACAAGTTCAGGACGCCAAGAGCTACCGCTGGCTCCTCACTGACATGGATGACTTATTTGGCACTATGGCAGTCCAGGAAGAACCTCAGTCTGTGATGGCGGTGATGCGGCGTAACCACGGTCAGTGTTTCTCTGCCATAAACCAACAGGCGGCAGACTCCGGGTACCCCTTGTACCATCTGCCCAGACCGTGTGAGGAGCAGACAGACAACTGCCCAGAGATGTACATAGACAGCGTGACACAGCAAGTGATGGAGGCGCCGGTGTTGTTAAAGTCATCCAAGATGATAGTGGACGAGTCGACGCTGGTACACCTGCTGCTGGTGTCACCAACGGACCCCTTCACTCGCTGCCCGCTGTACCCCGGTTCTTACACACGCCTGCCTCACCTCCGAGATGACATCGTTGTCTGGAGGAACAGATCCTTATTCGACGACATCACCAGGTAATTTTATGTAAACTGATCATTACTACAATACTTACATGTTATATAATTACCAAGAGTCTTTAGCTTTCATGAACACAGACAGGCTTTGTAACGTGACTCCTTCAGTCTTACTCACCAGTCAATTTAATATAAGTCTATCTATCATGTTATGTAAACAATGTTGGTAACCAGCTGCCTTAGTTAACACTTGGTGATGTTCACACTCTCTCTCACCAGGTCAGTTGCCGGCGTCGTCATCACAAGTTCCACCACTAACGGGGACGTCAACAACAGTGAGAACGGTGACACCTCTATTGACAGCAGTGAGAACGGTGACACCTCTATTAACAGCAGTGAGAACGGTGACACCTCTATTGACAACAGTGAGAACGGTGATACCTCTATTGACAACAGTGAGAACGGTGATACCTCTATTGACAACAGTGAGAACGGTGATACCTCTATTGACAACAGCGAGAACGGTGACACCTCTATTGACAACAGCGAGAACGGTGACACCTCTATTGACAACAGCGAGAACGGTGACACCTCTATTGACAACAGCGAGAACGGTGACACCTCTATTGACAACAGCGAGAACGGTGACACCTCTATTGACAACAGCGAGAACGGTGACACCTCTATTGACAACAGCGAGAACGGTGACACCTCTATTGACAACAGTGAGAACGGTGACACCTCTATTGACAACAGTGAGAACGGTGACACCTCTAGTGACAACAGTGTCACCGTGAGTGAGAACGGTGACACCAGGGTTGACAACGTTGACGGCAGAAGCGACAGCCAGATTGTTGACAGCGGGAGGGACGTCGGGGCCACCGGGAACGACAGCGAGGGTGGCTGTTGTCTGTGTCTTACGGGGACAGATGATCACGATGGTGGTGTAATGCTCTGGTTACTGGTGCCAAGACCACCTTCTGTACCTACATAATGGTGTAACTATCACCACCTATACATACATGTTCAATATACTTACTTCTTATGTACAATAGTGACGACTTATTAAATATATGAATGTTGTTTTTCCTTTTTACTGAAGCCTTTGTCATTCGTCTGGTGTCTTACGTGTGCACCACCAGTCCACTCAACTTGGAATGACAACTACCACGGAGGCGGTATAGATCACACACATTGGACAAAGACAGAGGGGGGCTCAATATTTATTCCCTCAAATCATGAATAAATGCAAGTTGGTTAGATCTATTATACGTGATAATGATGTATAAACCTGAGCTGCCTCGCATTGTTCATCCTAATTGACACAACCCAAATATACTAACATTAATAAATCGAATCTAATTGTTCACCAGCAAAGAAAACTGTATCTAATGAACGTATCCAACCCCCCCCCTCTCCCTGATCACATTTACTTCCCCTTTTTGGAAAGTGCTCAAAAAAGACTACGGTTGACTGCTTGACTGTCCCACCTCAATCAAGCAATCCAAGGTCAATCGAAGAGGAGGTCTGGGTACACCTGACCGAATTATGATGGATTAAGAAGACCATTAAGAGAGGTGTACTGGCCGGGGTTAAGTATAGAGGGTGACCTGATTTCAGAGACAGACCTGACTTCACTGGGAGCACTGGGATATTTTAGCGGCCCCTCAAGTCTCATATAACTAAAAAAAAATAGCTAATTGTGTCTAAACCAAATTATCCTTATCTGAACCTGTCCATATTTTACAGTATTTTCTCTGTGTTATATTAGACAGTAAAATATAGGTTATGGTATTATAGGTCACTACCACCGTTACTGAGTGAACTTAATACAATGGAACACAATTTACCATCACGTTACGACCTTCAGTACTCGTAGCATATTTTAAAAGAATAGTATATATTTTCCTTAATCTGTCAGCAGAGAAGATTTCATCATTCTCTATACTCGAGTTGTGACGCTAAAAGTAATATTACCCAGAGCTCAAGTGAGTAGGTCAGATGGAAGACCACGTCAACAGTTTACCTGAAACTTGATCGAGTCAGTTTCTGGGAACACGGAGGCTGCAGCTCGTGGATAATGTAGAGCTACACCCTAAGTCACGGATCTCCCTCACACTGGTCTGAATGTCTGCCTGAGTCACCTTTTCACACTTATTACTATCTTATATGGGGGCCAGGTGAGGGTGGTGTAGGGACAGGTGAGAGTGGTGGGGGCCAGGTGAGGGTGGTGTAGGGACAGGTGAGGGTGGTGGGGGGGCCAGGTGAGGGTGATGGGGCTAGGTGAGGGTCGTGTGGATGTTGAGGTGCGTCAGTCAGTGTGTGGTCGTGAAGCGTGGCCAAGGCAGTGCTCGCTAACCGTGGCACTTCCCCGGTACTCCTCCCCCGACGCCAGAGAGTGACTGCCTCCGCGTTATGGTGGTGCGCCGAGTGTTACTGTTACTAGTGGTTGTTGTTGTATGTGGATGACTGGCGCCTAATGTTACTGTTACTAGTGGTTGTTGTTGTAGGTGGATGTCTGGCGCCGAGTGTTACTGTTACTAGTGGTTGTTGTTGTAGGTGGATGACTGTTGTTACAATTTTGACTGGGTGTGTGGGTCAAGGATGTTTTGAACGCGTATCAAGGGAAGGCTGTGTTGGGTGGCACTTGTGAAGAAGCTGTTGTGTTGTATGACTTATTGTGTTGAGGCAATTGTTGTGTTATGTGACAGTTATTGTGTTGCATGGTAGATGTTTTGTGATGTGAGGCACTTGTGTTTCTGTGGCACTAGTGTTGTTGGTTACGTTAAGAATAGCGAAGTGGCGAGGAAAAACCGCAAGAGTTGGAAGCGAGAACAGTGTTGAACAACGTGAATACACTGAAGAACAAAAGGGAATTCTTAAATACTAATAGGGAAATTTGAAAAAAGTATGGGGGGAATTTTAAACAATAAAAAGCAGATTTTAAACATTGTAGGGAAATTTTAAATAGTAATACGGATATTTTAAAGAGAACTAGGGAGATTTTGAACAATAATAAGGAGATTTTAAACAATAATACTAAAATTTTAAGCAATAATAGGAAGATTTTTAAACAACAATAAGGGTTCTAAACAGGCCACCAGTGATTTTTCTCCACTAAGAGGCCACAGGTAGGAGTATTACCTGCCAGGTAGACAAATAACACGTGTCCAACTAAGAACAGGTAGGGTGTTGATGGAGGGGGTACCAGGTGAGGTGACGTTAGGTTACGTGTAAACTTGTTCTTGTTACTTTATATTCTTTGTTAGTCGGATTTTGTGCTGTTGTTTAACCTTGTTTTGGTTCTTTGTCTGTCTGCATGTCCACTTTCCCCGCACTAATTATATCCTTAAGTTACTAGAATATGAGTGCTGTGGAGTCGATAAAGGTCACTATTGATTATAAGGGGGAAAGGTCAAAGGTCACCACTGTTGGAAATATAATTATTATTATTATTATTATTACATTATTATTACATTATTATTATTTTTTATTATTATTATTATTATTATTATTATTATTATTATTATTATTATTATTATTATTATTATTATTATTATTATATCAGTGAGGGTGGTACAGTACAAAGGATCAGATGGAATATACTAAATCTGACTGAACTTCAAGAACGTACAGCATACGATGTGGCGGGCTAAAAGCATCAAGTTGAAATGTTAAGAACGGCGTAATGCAAACGGAAATATCAATGGTAAGTTATTGATATTACCGGACCATAACGCTGTATATCCCATTTCCTTAACTTATTTATACTTGTATGTAGTAGCTTATGCAGGTAGAGTAGTGTAATGGTGAAGCCGTGTTACTTTCATGTATCTTTTGTTGCGGGTTTTTATTCGTAACATACCAGAGAATGTTTTTAATAAGTGAAAATGCTGTAAGTATGGTCATTTGTATTTTTAGTCTATGTATACAAATGCAAGGTGCGTCTCTGTGTTCCAATATTGTGAGGTGAAAATAAAGTTTTTGAAGGTATATTTGTTATTTGAAAGAGTAGTACTGTGTTTCCTTAATTGTTATTTGGTGAATTACAATAGTAGTTACTGTTAACTTTATCCATAGACTTCACGGTAAAAGAACAAAACACGAGCGATGGTTAAAGATTTCTTTGGACTTTTAAAATTCATGATTAAAAATGACTTCGAGTTTCCCGTTTTCAACCAGTAATTTGCTCCTGTTACACAATAATAAATTAAGGAAAAATAAAGGACTAGTATGATATTTGTTTGGTTATCTGTGAGGCAGTTGGATATTTACAAGCAGCGTGGATAAAGTTCCGTAGCTACAGCAATGGCTCACAGCGAAGTACTTAGTCAGTGCATAACATAAGCATATAATCAATAAGGCTCGAGTATACTACATAATCATAAGAAAATTAAGTGGATTCCTGGAAAAACTACTCCGGTTAATAGGTTCAGGGAATATTTACACTAAAAACACAGTGGTACACGACGCCCTGCCATGCGTGTTTGTCTTCGTTCTGCCACATAACATCCATAATTGTTATTTTTATACATAATTCATCATATCATCAAATGTTGCATATATTTGCCTGGCCTCACTCTCTGAATAAGCGAGTTATTCCCACATGGCGTGAAGAAAAAACAAAGAAGCAGTGTGCGTGTTGATACTGCCTTAGCAATAAATGAATAAATAAGATAGAATATATAACTGTACTATATGGCTTGGTGTTGAAACTAGTAATAAAAGAGAGAGATCCGCTAAGGCCGAGTTTTTCATTTTCTAAAGCAGACAACACAACTGTAACCTAAGGATCGTAAGTGTGGTTGATTAATGTCGCTTAAAAAATAATAAATGGTTTAGCGATGTTATGCTAAGTTGCTTGTGATATATATTTTTTTCTTCTTAAACACTAGCCATATTGTAGAACTGATAAATATTTGTCAGGTGGAGCAGAGACGGGGCCGCCAGTTCTTGCCAACACAAGTCAACAACTTCATGAGAATAGCTGAGGATAGGAGTCGATCCATGGTTATGTCGATCTCTACGCTGTTCAAGTACCTGGTGGCCGTCCCTAAAGGCGTCGGCAAGATTATCGGCATCAGCTGTTGTGAGTTTTTCTTTTTTGTCAGGTTAAGGTATAGCTGGCCAGTCAAGGTACAGTGTAGCTTTAAATTAGCTTCGATTAACACCTTACTGGAGCTTTAATTTTAGATTAGGTACTTTATAATAATTTATCTTATGTATCTTGTTGTGATTTACGTGTTCCTGTTGTATTTGATCAGTTGTAACCGCTGCAGTCGTGGGTTCAAGGGGGTTAAGTTTCGTACTCAAAGAGATTAATCGTACTCAAGGGAATAAACTATCTTACTCCAGGGGTTAAACTATCGTACTCAAGGGATTAAACTATCGTTCTCAAGGGAATAAACTATCGTACTCCAGGGGTTAAAATATCGTACTCCAGGGATTAAACTATCGTACTCAAGGGAATAAACTATCGTACTCCAGGGGTTAAAATATCGTACTCCAGGGATTAAACTATCGTACTCAAGGGAATAAACTATCGTGCTCCAGGGGTTAAACTATCGTACTCAAGGGATTAAACTATCGTTCTCAAGGGAATAAACTATCGTACTCCAGGGGTTAAAATATCGTACTCCAGGGATTAAACTATCGTACTCAAGGGAATAAACTATCGTACTCCAGGGGTTAAAATATCGTACTCAAGGGATTAAACTATTGAACTTCAGGGGGTCACATCTTTATACTCAGTACTCATAAAGTCGAAAATTCACGACAAAACGCAAGGGGGTTGGCATCGTAATGAAGGAGTTAAATGCAATCCAATCGTATATGCTGAGTGTAATAGTGTTTACTGTGGCTCCATGATATATGTTTCTTGAAGTATGGGCCAGCTTAGGTTAGGGATGTTAATCTTAAGATGAAATAAGCTGGGAGGGCTAATCTTCAGGTGATAAAAAATATGGGTTTTAATGCCTGATAGATCACGATACAGTAAGATAATGCATGATACAACAAGATAGATCACGATACAGTAAGATAATGCATGATACAACAAGATAGATCGCGATACAGTAAGATAATGCATGATACAACAAATTAATCAAAGTTTGTGTCCTACCGTTCATCTGGTCAATGGCAGGAGAATATAAACGACTTCAGGGGTTCAGTAATGCTGGAAACACTGATGTTATAACTTATTCATACTTGACAAGAGTTAAAGTACAAGTCACGACGGAGAGAGAGAGAGCAGTGCTGTTTGGGTTCACCTGGAGATTAGCCCACTTTAGCTTATTTTCACCTAACCTAACCTAACCTAACCTAACCTAACCTATACTTGAAGTGTGTACAGGTCCAGTCTTCCCTCCGTGGTTAATCATCAGGTGTTGTAAGCTATCGGTGTCTACAGGTGATCTGGTATGAATTCTTCCCCAAACAATGAAAATGTATGACTGTTCCTACCAAGATTAAACACAAAATTACCCTAAAAAACAAAAAACAAAAATAACAAAAAAATTACACCAAGACTCGACCATAGCTAGATAAGTTCATTTGAGACCAGTTAACAAGAAACGAAATTAACCCACAAAACTTTTACAAACTTTCTTGGGTAATATTTATCTCGTGAAGTGACTAGTTAAGGTACAGTATTGTCTCAGGGTCTCAGGATAGCCATTTCTCTAGGGTTTAAATTGTGCTCTAGGATAAGGTCAAGTAGTTAGGTGTCGTTAAATCTCCCCCTATGAGGAATATTTACCCTCGAGAATTGGTCACCAGTTTGATGAGCCACTTCCAGGCGGTGACATTTGGAGATATTGAACGAATTCTGAAGACCAATACTATAGTCTCTCAGCTTCTCAGTCTCTCTCCCTCCTTCTATCTCTCTCGTTAGAATTAGTATCAATCACCTAGTTAAGGGTAGTTGTAGTATCGTATGGGTCAACAACTCAACTCCCTGTGGTTGATGGAGGGTCACCTTAAGTCATCACTAGGAGGTCAACACACACACACGGCCATGACCCAGTACCCGAGGAGGAGGAGGAGGTCAGTGAGTCTCCATTAGCCTCACGTCACAACATCAGTAACTCGAGGTATTGATTTACACTGTTATTGGCTCCTCACTTGTGGTTATATCATCGTTATAACATCAAAGTCCCGCCATTGATTCAAGACACTATACTACCACCGTACTTACTTTTGACTACCACCGTACTTACTTTTGCCTACTACCGTACTTACTTTTGTCTCGGTTTCTTCCTTCCTCCTTTCCTTCCGTCCACCTTTTCTTCATTTTCTTTCTTTCTCTCTTTATCCCTTCTTCCCTCAGTTGTCATAATTCTTTTCTCTTCCAATTCCCTTCCTTTCTCCTTCCATCCTATTCTCTGTCTCTTTCTTCACCTCTCCTTCCTTCCTTTCTCGTAATCCCCTTTCTCTCTCCCCCTTCCTTCCTCTCCCTCTCCCATCCCTCCTCTCACCCACCACCCCTCTCCCTCCCTACCACAGCCGCACGCCTCTTCACCCACCTTCACCAGCGGTATAACACGACCCTCTACCACCCAATTATCTATCAGTTCTATCTGAATAACACATAAGGCGCTTCACGTCTCGGACCTTATAGTAGTATCCAACATAACCTGACCTAATTTGCCGCTCATAAAAATTCACCATTGCTTATGTATTAGTGAATAAATTATATACGTGCAGTTGCTAGTGACGCAGAGAGCTTATATACTGTATACGTACAACACACACACGCTAAAATATTTCAGATCATATGAAGATTAGGCACCCTTTAGTTTATTTCACCTGATGATTGAAACACCTTATGCTAACCGAACATTAACCTAATTTAAACCTAATGTAAAGTATCCCACTTCGTCCAAGCAGCTTTAGGAGGTTTAATCAGGAGGTGGAATAAGCTGAAGTGGCCAATCTTCACGTGATAGAAAAAATTTAAGTGTCTTCGTCTAGACTGTAGGGGCCAGGCCATTGTGAGTGTTCCTGTGTCTGTATCTCTGAACCCCCAGAGAGAGAGAGAGAGAGAGAGAGAGAGAGAGAGCAGTAGACGCTATTGCTAATTTGATAACAGAAAATAATTACCGTAATAACAAGGCGCAAATTAAAATTATGAGGTACTTATAACTAACAAAGACAGGGTGATTATTATTAAAGAGAAATTATCACCATTATGGGAATTAAAACTTTCGTCTACCTGTACAAAAGAGTGTGCGATATTATTGCTAATTTAACAGAGAATTTACATGATAACAACTTGCTAAACTACATTCACTGCATTTTTGTCTGTAATAATCCTTGACGGAGAACAGGTGAGTCCCCATGTACACCTACAGTAATTAAAAATATATAGTTATTCATTGTTCTACCTACACTGTTATATCCCTTGTTCTACCTACACTGTTATATACCTTGTTCTACCTACACTGTTATATCCCTTGTTCTACCTACACTGTTATATCCCTTGTTCTACCTACACTGTTATATCCCTTGTTCTACCTACACTGTTATATCCCTTGTTCTACCTACACTGTTATATCCCTTGTTCTACCTACACTGTTATATCCCTTGTTCTACCTACACTGTTATATCCCTTGTTCTACCTACACTATATTTATATCCCTTATTCTACCTACACTGTTATATCCTTTATTCCTACCTACCTCATGCTATCCCTTGTTCTACCTACACTGTTATATCACTTATTCTACCTACACTGTGTTATATCCCTTGTTCTACCTACACTGTTATATCCTTGTTCTACCTACACTGTTATATCCCTTGTTCTACCTACACTGTTATATACCTTGTTCTACCTACACTGTTATATCCTTATTCTACACTGTATATACCTTATTTCCTACCTACACTGTACTTATCCTTGTTCTACCTACACTGTTCTCCTTGTTCTACCTACACTGTTATATCCCTTATTCTACCTACACTGTTATATCCCTTGTTCTACTATTTATATCCCTTGTTCTACCTACACTGTTATATACCTTGTTCTACCTACACTGTTATATCCCTTGTTCTACACTGTTATATCCTTGTTCTACCTACACTGTTATATCCCTTGTTCTACCTACACTGTTATATACCTTGTTCTACCTACACTGTTATATCCCTTGTTCTACCTACACTGTTATATCCCTTGTTCTACCTACACTGTTATATCCCTTGTTCTACCTACACTGTTATATCCCTTGTTCTACCTACACTGTTATATCCCTTGTTCTACCTACACTGTTATATCCCTTGTTCTACCTACACTGTTATATCCCTTGTTCTACCTACACTGTTATACCCGGGGAATTCAAAAGTTTAGCCCTATACACTATACGGGCATCAGAATCTTGCCCCATTTACCCATACCCACAAGAATATATCGTAGTTGGTCATAGGCTGACTTAGTGAGGGTTACTAGAGGATTTTTTTTATCAGGGTATCGACATCCATAGAGCTAGCTGATGCATGTAGAATGAGTGTGTGTGTGTGTGTGTGTGAGGAGTCGACCAGTTACTTTATCATTCAAAGTTCACGCTCCCTCACGCACACTGAAGCACTCTGGTTCAAAGCCCAGCTGGACCATACATCGAATCTAAATCTTTTCAAATGGGATAAAAAAAGGAAGTTGGTAAGAAGAGGGAACTATAGTATGTAAATAAAGGGTTAAGTCACGTATAATTTTGGATAGCTTCCTTAAGACTGGAGGAAAGTAGAGTACAGTATGTGTTCTTAAGGCTGAAAGACGAAGTATATAATCACTCTATTTTTACACCGTAAATGTACTTTACATTACATATGTGTACCATAGTCTCTATTTTGTAATTAAAATATTGAAAACAGCAGTAGTAGGTAGTAGGCAGCTATCAAACAAGGAGGTACTACCGCCTGGGAAGATATTGGAAGCATAATGTGTTGTCTCATGGTAGACCCTGCTGCCATATGGCATCACGAGAATTGTGACCAAGTCCCAGGTTGCTGATCTGACTTTCTGCCTCATTTACACACAATTGCAGGGTCTCAATTGTTTCTTTTATTTTAACAACACAACATACATATATTGTTTCTCACTATTAATCTTTTTTTAGTTTGTTTTTTTATGGTCCTTTATTATTATTATTATTATTATTATTATTATTGTCATTATATTTTCGCCCCCAAGCCCTGATGTAGGTCATTGACCTGTGCCCTGTGAGCTAATCTCGTAAAAAAAAAAAACATAACTCGATTCATCAAAGCTTCCCTCAGAGTTAATGTACATCATTTACAAATTGATTGTAATTGTTATAAGCCATTTGTATATGATATATTTATACAGTCCTTTCATTATCATAGTTTATTAAATAGGTTAATTGGAATAACATTACTGCAAGATGGTGACGTGTGTGTGTGGACATATCATGTTTCTGTCGTGTTCTGTAATGCACAGTAATGTTACACTGTAAACTGTACCTTCTCTGCCTCACCAAACTCTCTCACCAGGTCTCCTTTACTTCCAGATAATAATACTTAACCAGACTTTTTTAACTTATAACAAAAAATATTTCCTCAATTATCTCTTAACATCTCACGATTTATTCTATTTTGTTCACAAACATTTCCCCTCTTTACCTGTTAATGAATGGCCAGGTGATTAAAGGTGTGTTCCCGCAGTGGTGCCGTGTGTGACCAAGGCGCTGGGTACTGACCGGGTGCGGGAGATGGTGCTCAACCGGCAGGACCCAGACCTTCCCCAGAGATCCCGGGAACGTCTCCTCTCCTCCATAGAAGGAACCCTCGACTTCGCCAATACCAAGGAGAAGAGCAAGGCCATCTGGGAAGGGTAAGTTGGATTAGGTTAGGTTATTTTCACATTAGTTTATCCTCTTCGTCAGTTGTCAGTTTACTAAAAGGTCGAGATTAATGTTAGTCCTCTGGCGTGTACTGCAGGTAGGTACTAGGCATACATAAATCTAGCTGGAATTTATTGAAGTCCACACACGTCACGCATAGTTGTTGTGGTTTGTTAAGATAAATGGCATCACCTGAAGATTTAACTCCCCAATTTATTTCACCTAATCTAATGTAACTAGACCTATCGTAACCTAACTTAAACTAACCTGAGTAACCTAACCAGACTTATACTCTGGTTAGGTTACCATAACAGCGTCTTTAGTATTAGAATTGTTAATCTTTAGATGTAATAAGCTGATGTATCTAATCTATAGGTCATTAAAGAAACATTGTGTTTGTTAGTTTAAGCAATGGTTTTTGGTTTTTTTTTTTGGGGGGGGGGGTTAATGGACAACTATTGTTTTTTTTTATTAAAACAACTTCTGTGTTTTGTTTGATAGTTTAAGCAAGTCCTGTTGTGTTTGTCGTGAGTGTTTACAATATACTAAAGGTACAGTGTTGACAATGTTGATATCTCTACCATGGTTATTACCCCTCGCTCAGACGAAGTGATCAGGGGTATAGCATTCATTTCCGACTGTCTGTATGATGTCTTTCCGCGTATCCTTCCGTCTGTACGTATGTCCATTCGAGTATCGTTGTCAAGGAATAACTCAAATCTGCTTCAAGTATGGTATTCTAGTTTTGTGTACAGGTTAAGTTGAGGGTGTGAACTGAGAGAGGTAGTAGGTTAAATCTTCTTGATTGTAACTAGTTAATTATACATAGTTGTAATGGCTACTGGCCTTAGGGAATTTAATTATATAGTATCATTGATTATAGATGATTGATTCTATGTTTGTAACGATTATAGATAACCGACTGATATATTATGTAGGTTCTAACAGGTATAGGTGATTGGGTCAGTCGATTCATTCATTTGCTAGTTGGATCAACATATTGTATATCGATGAGGTATTTCCATAACGTGAGCGAGACCAGTGTAGGACGGGTAACGGGGCCAATGTAAGACGGGTAACGGGGCCAGTGTAAGACGGGTAACGGGGCAAGTATAAGACGGGTAACGGGGCCAGTGTTGGGCGGGTAACGGGACAAGTGTAAGACGGGTAACGGGGCCAGTGTTGGGCGGGTAACGGGACAAGTGTAAGACGGGTAACGGGGCAAGTATAAGACGGGTAACGGGGCCAGTGCGTAGACAGTGTAGGATGGATAACGGGGCCAGTGTAAGACGGATAACGGGGCCAGTGCGTAGACAGTGTAGGACAGATAACGGGTCCAGTGTAAAACAGATAACGGATCCAATGTAGGACGGATAACGGGGCCAGTGGGTAGACAGTGTAGGAAGGTTATCAGATCTAGCGGGAAGATATCGGGACCAACTGTGTTTGTGTATAATATTAATCAGTTCTCTCTCGTGACCCATGCAGGAAGTGGTCGCCGCCGCCCTCCTTCGGTGTCTGGGTGTACGTTAGTCCAACTCGTGTAACGGGAATATCGACAGGTATTCGTGTATTATTTAAGATATCACAGTTCTCGTATAGCGCCACACGAACACACACAATGCGGTGAAATATCGACTTGGCGACCTTCCCTCTCAAGCGATACTGGGTTCCTCTCGTCCATCACGCCAAAAGGTCCTCACATATACGTAACCATGTCATCTCAGTGCTTTAACCAGTGTATTTTTATTCCTTTAATTTTGTATTATAAAATTAGATGAGGTAAGAGTCCCTGTTTGGTTTTGATGAAATATTGGCGGCGGCTTTTTCTCAAGTATTAAGTAAGGGGGAATATTTAGTGGAGGAATCGTTGAGAAACTCCGTCCAAATTGTTACACTGACTCCTCCCATCTTACATCCCCTCTCACCACCCACCTCCCCCATCCCCTCTCCCACTCACCTCTCCCACCCCTCTCCCACTCACCTCCCCCATCCCCTCTCCCACTCACCTCTCCCACCCCTCTCCCACTCACCTCCCCCATCCCCTCTCCCACTCACCTCTCCCACCCCTCTCACCTCCACCACCTGAGGATTGACGGGATTTGGGTTCAATATATTGATGAGCAAAATGGCGTCAAAACTGCACTATGACTTTCCCCGTCTCCTTTTTGGGTATTGAATAGAATTTTATAATTAAGGTCCAGTTAGTTTACACCCGTGAAGGAGGTAATCAGATGTCCTACCTGGCCAGATGTCCTACCTGACCTACACACAGGTAACATGACACTACTTTCACCCCTTTCTAACTATTGTCACTCTTTATCCTCAGCAGTTAGCGCCGTGGCCTTCACCTCCAGAGGGTCGGTGGGTGGGGGGGGGGGAGACATCAGAACAGGCACAGTGATTCATATACTGTACTCGTGTTATAATAATGGTGCATCAACCTGTGTTCAGGGTACATCTTTTTTACTCGAGTGATTTATGATGTGTATGTGTGTGTGTGTGTGTTCTAATTTTTGTCTTGTAGAAATTCTCTTTGTATGATGCAAGTTGTTTCTGTAGTCAGGTGAAAGGTATCGGACACTGGCAAGGAGGAGCGGGTAAACAAACACACGTACAGCACTAATAACACGTAATGCAAGGACTGACGGTTCACCTTGGTTAATATTTACACACAAAAGAATCAGGTCATATTTATCTAATGCTACTGTGTAAAAAACAACTCATACATGATATCTATACTACACGCAGGCATAAGAACTAGTGGGAGGGACTGATGTAATGGACTCCACCCGTGTCTATCAGTTTACCTATATAAAAAAAAGATAAATGCAGTCTCAAAAAATTTACACCTACTATATTACAGATTTTCGTGAAGATCGCGTGAATACTTGTATTACAACAAAAACACTGTGACAGTGAGGGAGACCTCAAGCTTCAATCAACAGGTGAGGAATATGTTACCGCTCAAAGACAAGAATTCACGCGATCCCCACCAAGATCTGTAAGGCAGAGTGTATACTTTTTTCTGAGACATCCTGTGTAGCAGAAGAGCAAATGGCGATAAAAACTACTCTTTCAAAGGTTGAGTGTTGGTCACAGGAATAAATACTATTCAACTTGAGTGGGGGGGCTAGGCTGGTCAGCGAAGGTCACACGCCACAACGTAATGGCCTATTAATATTACTAACCACTTCTGGTGATATTTGCACTAAAGTAATTTTTTTAACTAACATTAGCGATATTTGTACTGAAGTAACTCTCTTTTACTACTTGAAATAAGGTAGAATGACTACACTGGTCGAAGCTCTGGTAATTATATTAACGTATGACGACCAATATCTTGTCATAAAAATGGTTCAGCTAACGCGTTGTTGTGGTTCGGTGTCTCATGTGACCAACATTAACGTCATAAACATAATTCTAATTTAATACAAGGAGTTTACACCTTTCTGCTCTCTGATCAGTTTGGGCCAATTGATGAGAGATGACTGGAGAAGTACTATACTTGGGAGACTGGAACATTAAGTCCTCAAAAAGAATCTCAATTAAACGAAATCCACGAGATGCCGCCAGTGACCCCTCGCTTGCCAAGTGATATGTCGGAAGGTCGGCACTTACGAAATAAACTCGTGTACTTATTTTTTCCCTGAATGATATAACAGTGAAAGACGAGGAAGGATGTTTAAAAATGACAGACCAATATTAATTTTTGTCTTGAATATGTAGAGACTGTACATATATTATTCTAGATACATTCGTGTTTTTGAACGGCATTTTTGCTGATAAAAACTGTTTAATGCATAAAGAACAAATTTATAGCAAGACAGGATAAAAGGAGTAAACTGAAAAAAAAGTCTCAACGCAGTATCCGGTCTTGTCATTTTAGTCAGTAGAATTCAGTATCTTATGAGGCTAAATTGAAAATTATAAACGCTAACATTATATAAAATTGATCACCAAATATTTTCCATTTCCGAGTATTGAACATCGAATATAAAAACTCAGATATCCAACAAAGTTCAAGTGTTGGGAGTGTCCAGTGAACACCAAATTACACGTGAAAATATGATCACGCACACTTGTTACTCGTGTGGCCTACAGGGCGAGGAGATTGAAGTCTAAACTATAGCCGATACTTTAATCCTGCACACGTCTTGGTGAAAAAACATGCCAATAATATATTAACCAACCAGGTAACCCACAAGGACTTCACCTTCTCTGTATGTCAATTATTCCCACGCTTTTATCAGTCCCCGTGGAAGGTAGAGCATTATGGGATATTTACGGCGTCCATCGATGTGTTGGAGACGAAGCTTTCCTGAAATGCTAGTGACGTATTTCCGTACTGGACACATAAAATCGTCTATGACTATTCAAGTAACCCATTGCCATACAGGGATGATCAGTAGTAATACAATAAACATACACATAGTTTCCCGTATTTTCTGTATATACAAGGACCTATATACTACGCGAATAATATGGAAAATCCTATTTCTGTCGATGTTTATATTGGAATGATCTAAAGAAAGGAACTCACTTAATACGTCAAAGTTCACCACAATGTCGTCGAAGCACTGCATAAATAATGGTCCACTTCCTGCTGCCACCACCCAACACTACTGCAGCTCCTCACCAATATCGGCCCAGAGAGGAATAAAGGTGACCCCGCGAGGCACGATGAGTCATTCCTTCCTTCATTCATTCACTTGAAAATATTTTTAAATTTTTTTAAAAGAATTTCCTACAATACACATACAGTCATACAATTTTTAACTGTGTTTATATAGTCAACACAGTGCAGGACTCGAACTTCCTGATCTGAATAATTTATGTTTATTGTGTATTAGGAACGTTTTGCTTCTTTCATAATGTAACTTAACGTAGCTAATGGCAAATTCTTGGTCACAGTTGTTCCTAAAAAGAAAAATAACAGCGATGCTATTTATTATCACATTTCACCACTTTTTTTCTCAATATTGATCTCAAATGACTGACAACCAGATTACCAATTTACCGCTCAAAATGCTATCACCTATCTGTGTTCCATTGATTTATCGGTCCGAGGGTTAGATTGGAGTAGAAGGTTTGGTTAGAAAATGTTAGGTTAGAGTAGACGTGACCAGTAAACCTTGAGAACAACGAACTGTGGTAAAATAGCGCTGTAACCATGCATTGTGATACAGATGGGACTATCGACCCAGTAACGCGCCCTTTCACACGCCTGCCACCTAGACTGATGTAACCTTGTAGTGATTGAGTCCAGTGATCTTGGTCGCTGCTCTCTACAGCTCCAAAACTCTACTACTACTTCTGCTAATGATAATATTATTAATACTTTCACTACTATTACTTTTATTACTACTACAATAACTGTAAATTATACTTGTGATATTCATTTTGCAATTAACATAATTAATATTATTGATATACTGCATAATTATGTAGAAAATAAATACAATAGTAATTATGATAATACTTATGTGAATTAATAGTAATAATATTAATATTATGAATAAAAAATAAAATATAATAATAACATAACATTTATATATACAGTAATATTTTTACCCACACACACACAAACAACACGTTTACAATATCCTCGCATCTCCCGTCGTCATCAATAAGCAATGTTCTGTAATAGTAGAATGCCTCGTTTTACCGCCAAATCCCTCCTACTTTACCCTGGGTAGTGTACACTGCTCCCTTCCCCCTACAAGGACCATTAATCACAGCTCGCAACTTCCGGGAAATGTTTGTTAACCCACCACGTTAATCAGCAGGGTTCTCCACGCCCCACAGCTTCTACCTCCACACTAACCTAGCAAACTTTAACTTAATTAGCTAACTCGAACTACCCGAGCTAACTTCGCAGTGACCTACCCTCCATTTGGCGACCCACTTTCTTTTGCCTGTTAATTAAGAAAAAATCTTTATCTAACCTATTGTATACGATACCACCCAAAATACTTTGAGGTATTACTTAATCTAATCACTTAACATCAAACTTAACCTGACACCCCGTCGCATGATGTACTATGGTGGACAAAGTCCTTTCCCTCAGCCCTCCCTCTCTTTCCCCAACCCCCCTTTGGTCTCCATCCCCCGTTATACGCACTAGTACCAGTGCCGGATTAACCATGAGGCACTAGAGGCACTGGCTTCAGGCCCCCCGACTCTAAGGGGCCCCCAAATCCAAACATTCTCGAAGTTGAAGCATATAAAACATGAACTTCGTTCAACGATGTCCTAGCAACGTCTCACTTTTCTGTCTCTTATGAACATTGAATGTGTTATTTTGCAGAAGCTTAATATTGATGAAATCATTGATAAATTTTGGTATATTTTGTTCTTGCTATATATATATATATATATATATATATATATATATATATATATATATATATATATATATATATATATATATATATATATATATATATATATATATATATATATATATATATATATATATACCTTTAGGGTAGGGGCCCCCAAGTTGATCTGTGCCTCAGGCCCCTATTAAGCTTAATCCGGCCCTGCGCACTATGCAGTGCGCCATCTGTTGGACGATTACAGCACTTCCCTCAGTTGCTTCGTTATTCGAACCTTAGGTGAATCAGTCACAATGTGGCTGGCTGATAGAAAGAACTTTTGTCCACCCTAGTACTGTCACATCATGAGTTCCAATATTTGACAATATATTGCCGTTCTGTCGGACACTAGTAATGTTACCAGTTTAACTGGGTTAGAAAATGAGTAAACACATACTGTAAATGCATGAACAAACAAGTAAATAAAAAGTAAAAAATTATATCCTTCATACTCTTGTCAGAAATGAAACTTGACCACTTTGTCCGGGCAGGGAGTCCAGGGAGGATTTTAAGTTTTTAACTCCTTATCAATTACATCCCAACAAAATTTGACGATCAAGTGAAGCCCAGAGACAGTAATGGAGAGAGCGTTCCCTGACGAGTAATGGGTTACGATAATGGCAGCATGGGGGAGGGGGTGCATTATGTGAGATCAATGTTCATAATGATCTCTGGAGACTCCACCGGGAATATTGAGGTAGCCTCGTCACGCATAACTTCTGACAGGGAACAAACTGGCGAACGGGCAGATATCCAGCCAATATTAATCTACAACCCTCATTCCCCACAGTGGAATATGCCCCTGACCAAGACACAATGGTGAGGTGTGTATAACAAGTGCTAAAATTTCTCAGGGTAAACGTTGAGGCTGGCAGTAGAAGGTAGGGTCTGCTATATACTCATATAGGGACTTACTGATCGTGAGGAATCGTAACAACTTGAAGAACTTGCTGTAATAAATCAAGACAGTGAATTTAGTGAAACCAAACAAAACTTGGTGAAAAGTCAGCACATCTGAGGGAATGCAAATATAAGTAAATAGAACATAATTGCTTTCTTACCTCATGAAATAGACGAAAACTGCACGAGCAATACGTTTTACATTATATAAATTTTACGATTTCATTCGACTTCAATAGCCTACACGAAGGCGGCACCACCAACCCAAATCCTGCAGTCCCACTCCTAGTAAAAAAGCGTAAAGTGATTTATGCAAAACGTAATGCTCGCGCCTTTTCATCAGTTTCATGACGTAAACAAGCATTTATGTTCTGTGGTGAAATTTCGCACAAGAACTAGTTTAATTTGAAGTTCTTTAGCCCAGTTACTGAATCGTTACCCTCTTCTCAACACTAGCATGGACGTCCTTTAGCACACGAGGACATCATACCATATTCATATACAGTAAACTCTGTACTGTACCTGTACAACCATTTAAAATTTTAAATGTCTGAGTGAATAATCGTCGAACCAGACCGACTGTCGTGTATGATCTTCATGCGACATTTCTTAACAGTCATCACGTTCGGTTCTTATTTCTTCTCAATTTTTTTTTTAATTTTGCTCATTCTCATTCTTTATATCGTACACTGTGTGGCTTCCTTATACTGATTTACTATCAGTTTTTGTGGCAGAGTACATATCCAGAAATAACTGCAAGTCCAGGTTGTTAAAATGAAATCAAGAAATTGGAAATTTAATTCGGTAGTCTCGCGGCAGCATACAGCATATACTGTACTGTAGAGTATTTTTTTTTTACGGGGAATATCCCACCCGGGCTCAGGTCATAGATCCACATTAGGGCCTAGGGGGCGAAAAAATAAGAATAACAATAAATTAGAAATAGAAAAGAAAAGTAGCAGCATCGTAACGGTAGGCAGTGTTGGGTGAATCACAAGGTAAAGCTCCCCACTCCCCTCCTCTTTTTTTGTGAGAGTCGCAAACATATAGAGGGTTAAAATATGGTATTTGTCTGATGGCATTTGGTGTGGCATCCATTATGTTTGGTGGAAAGGAAGACTGACTATTATATACCTAAGAACTTACTGCGCTCACAATAAATAACTCCTGTATTTTCCTTTATTATCAGAAGTTTGTACTGTATAATGGGTGAATAGTTTAAGATATCATGTAAGATTACTAAGCTCTGGATATATGGAGAAAACCACTATAGCCTTATACCTCTTTAGCACCAATTAGTGTACAGTAATATAAATGAGGAATATCTGGATATTCTTACCTGAAGCCTTTGTTCTTTGTGAACCAAGTATGTTACATCACAGACATCCTAATGGAGTATCGCATGACAACCCTACTTATTTTCCTCCCACAGTGTGGCCTGCACTGGGTTCTTGCTGGGTTTTAACAGTAATTTGTCTTGTGATTTATGGTGACATGATATTGCAGTACAATGCGAGAGGTCAATATGCTGGCAGAATTGGGCGGAAAGGCACCCAACCCAGTGATGATGCGGCTGGAAGGAAGGTCACAGTGTCATCTTCTGGATGAGGCCAAACCAGGCCGACCATTGATCATCAACTTCGGCTCCTGTACCTGACCCACGTTCATGGCCAACCTGGAGAGGTTCTGTGAGGTACACTGCTTCTTGTGTTTTGCATGGCAAACTTTGCTGAAACTAACCTAATGCAGTACAATATTATCTAGCCCAACCTAATGTATTAACACTTAATCATTGTGTATTACATTATTTAACTAAGAATTGCATTGTCTATTGTTATCATTGATAGTTATGTAAATATAATAATCCTAAAACGAAGAACAAATGCTAAATTTATCCACTAAACAGTTTATTAATTTTATTGACATCAAATCAAACTCGAGAATTCTAAACACATTAGCCCAGTAGGGTATTCCCAAACTATCTTGAGTCAGCATTTTGCTACTGCTTCAAGTAGTGACCCTGTGAGTCATGATAGCTAAAACACTATAAGTATGCATTTTAGTTTTTAGCCTAATTAATCAATCTTCATACAGTACATTACTGTATTGTACATTGCTTTTAGTTTAATTGTGTTTATAAACTGACCAGGTCCGGTATGGGAAGCTCTGAGATGCTTGTGTGAGCGCCTTAGTATTTTTTGATGCAATGAATTAAAAAAAAACCCTAAGGAATTGTATAAACAAAAAATGGGTCTTTTTTCATAACTTCGAATTTTCATTGATGTGCATTGATCAGTAAAGTATTAAAGTTTTGGGCAGCTAACAGTGTTCCTGAGAATATGAGCCACTGTACAGTTGAGGTCAAAAGTTCGCTCCCTCCCCAAATTAAATAAAACCACCCCCACACCAGATGACAGTCAGGTAAGTTCGGAGATTCAGTTTCACCACGGGGAGCGAAGATTTGTCCGTGACTGTAGTAGTACTGTACCACTTCAGGTTGCCACTTGCCAGACTCAAATGCTAACAGCATGACCACAATGGGTATGACCTTCAGTGTTCATGTAAAAAAGATAAAAATATCATGAGATGTCATTCTTTTTTAGATTTATAATTGTTATCTGTATTGATTTTAATATTTAAGATATTTTTCAGTTGATAATTACTCCTAGTGTTCCACAACCACCATTCAGTAAAATTCACATACTTTTACTTTTTTTTACTTTTATCCTCTTCACCACTAATCGGCTCGTTAGCCACTTTGGCGATCGGTCACGTCTCTGATACACACTGTTGGCAAGTACTGGCTCCTGAATGTATCTGAACCTGCTCCAGTGTTGGTCAAATCTGGTCTTGATAGAGCTCACACTCGGTGCCATCACAACACTCTCTGGCAGATTGTTCCAAGAGTTCACAACTCTCACTCCCAAAAGTTACCCCTCGCAGTTTTCTGGGCTTGCAGCTTCTTCAACTTTGAGCTGTGACCCTTTATGGGGCGAATGTCCACCAGTTCCAGGTAAGTGCACTCGACTGAGGTGCCGAAGTGCAGGCACCAGTCTGGTGGCCTTCCTTTGGACATTTTCAATTAATTGACAGTCCCTAGCATATCTTGGGGGCCAGACGGGGTGACAGTACTGAACTCCAGACAGGGAAGCATATCACTCTTGAAGATTGTTACGAGGGACGGACCGTCTAGATATCTGAACGACCTTCTTATAAGACCTAATAATTTAGTTGCCTGTTAATGCAACTTGTTGTGGTTATAGCAGTGGTTGAAAGTGGCAACTTACTATAAAGGTGGCGGCACACTGGGCACTTTCCTCCCAAGTAAGCAGCAAGATTTCGGCTGTTGCGAGAAATGGACAACGGTTTGACGGCAAGCTTAGCTGACTGGATTAGAGCTCAATGAGCTTCATATTAGGAGTTGAATATTTAATTAAAAATTGGAATCAATCATAAAACAATAATACTTTTAAATATAACACATGTTTCTATTTATTCATTAATTTAAAACTTCTTTAGTATTGTTATGAAACCCCTTTTGCCACTTACCAGCGGCCAGGTCGTATACTGTATACAGAAGCAGTAGTTTTATCACAAGTGTCGTCGAATTACCATTGGCTGTCCCGCCAGTTTCCGGTAATTTTCTGACGATTGGTATCAATGTACAGTACAGACAAAATAACAGGCAAGCAGATTTCCACCAGATCACAGAAACACACTTGTGATCTGTAGTCTGCTTTAATAATCACTAAGTCTTTACAGAAATTGTTCACAGGGTATGTCTTTACAACTGGGCTTCTCACTTCGTTTGATACATTGATTTTATCTCTAAAGAAGGTAGCAGTTGCAAGTAAAAGATTAATTTACCATAATTTTTTGGGCCTACAACTTATTCAAACAACAATGATTTTTGTCTTGCCAACAGATAACAGAGGAATACTCCCAGGTGGCAGACTTCCTGATGGTTTACATCGCTGAGGCTCACCCAAGTGATGGATGGGCCCTCAAGGACAACATCGAGATAAACAAGCACAAGTATGACACAACTTCCCTCTCTTCCGCCCTCCCACCAGAACTTGTTGTGGTGATATTCCCACCACGTTTGTGCATTTTTCTTGCCAACATGAGTTTGGGTACCATTACTTGTTACATGATAGAAGTGGATTCTTCATATGTTTAGTCATAGAATATGCATGTACATTATGTGTGCTGAGCATAGCTATTCATATTTCAGGTGTTGTATACAACTAAACTGCATAGCCAAAACAAATTCAGACTAAAATATACTATAACCAAAAATTTTACAGGAATAGATTTGTGTGTGACTGCAGGACCTACTGTATAATGTAATAAAGAATGATACTTGGCAAGAAAAAGTTACAGATTAATAACAGGAAGAGTTGGAGGTGCTCTATGAATCTTGGACAATGATAACCGTTAAGTATGAAATTTTCCGAGAAACCTGCGTGAAGTACAGTACATATACTGTAATTGTTCCATCTCAATTACAAACTTTTAACACTAGACAGAAAACTGGACAGTAGTTGATAATGTATAATATATGGCATACCAAAATTATTGAAAAAACGGAGTTGGTAAAGATTGGAATTTTAAGGCCAAGAGTACTAGTGGAAAAATATAATTCACTTTAGAAATCATATTTTAACTACAGTACCTTTCTTTGACAGAACTTTGGAAGAGAGGTTCTTGGCAGCACAAACAATGTTGGACATGGAGCCCTTGAAGTGTCCTGTCATGGTGGATCGTCTGGAAGATGAAGCTAACAATGCTTATGGTGCTCTCCCGGAGAGGCTTTTCATTATCTTGAATGGAGTTATTGTTTATAAAGGCGAGCAAGGACCCATGGGTTACAAGGTACGTTACTTGAGTCCAAAAAGGTAACATAACAATTAGTTGTCATAGATGTAATCATGGCACTCAAGATAAAAAGTATGTTGGAGGATAATAAACTAATATGTACTGTACTACTGTACATATTATATACAGTAATACAGTATTAGTTTATTATCCTCCAACATACTTTAGAAGACAGTGTATTGTCCTGTGACTGTATGAGCATAAGCTAGTCCTTGCTTTTATCCCATTATTTTGACCAGTAATACCGTGACATAAGAGATACATTAATGTATTCAACACTGACATTTTCCCACTAAAAATGTTATTCATGTTTAGTCTTACCTATCTGGTGTCTTTGGTACTGTGGGAGAACTTTATTACAACTTTTAAGTATTATCCTGTGATTTTAGTGTTTTCTCCCACACTTTAGACACTTTATTTTTGCTACCTAAATGTTACTTCAAAGAATCTTGACTCGGTAATATCTCAGCCTGTAAGCAGAAAGCACTGAAACATTCACATGGTATAGGTAACTTATGACCTGACTTCTGCTTTTGTATTTTAAGCCATCTTATCTCCAGCAGGATACTAGACTGTTACTTAAAGAGTTTTACCTGTCCATTCTCTTGATAACAAAGAATTATTAACAGAATATGGTAATTTTGCCTTGTAGCAGCACAACAGCTTTTTATAACACAAGGCTGATGTAAAAGTTTGTGAAGGCAACATCTTGAACCATGAGTTGAGTAGTTCAACAAGTTAAACCCTCAAGTGTCTCTAAAATACAATTTGTACACCCTGTTCAGGTACTGGTCTCTCATTATCAAGGTCCTGGTTTACTTTCCAGCTAGAATAGTGTGTTTACCATACATGATCAACTTGTTCCAGATATAAATGGTACAGGATCATGTGGGAATGTGAGCAGCAAACCTTGGTTACATATGCCCTAGCTAAAATGAAGAAATTAAGAATGTACAGTGCAGTATAATAGTTTCTGGTACCCACAGTTATCATCCCTATATATTTTCACCACTTTCCAAAAGGGTTTGCAAGTATTGTTATAATGCAATGATTGACTACGTGTGATTTTGTTTCTGCACCGCCTCCAATAGTGTAATGAAGCCACAACTGTAGGAAATCTGACCAAACGTCATGTATGAACTACAGTATGTTGGGTATATAGTATGATCTTCATTTCATTAATATTTTATACAAGAAGACGTTTAAAACACTAGCATACTTTTAAGTACCTGTACAGTATACAAATTTGTCTTACAGGTGAATGAAGCAGAAAACTGGCTGCAGAACCACAAACTACAATTAAGATAAAATGTGGACAGTACATATGTTGGTCACCAGTAAGAAAAGTAAGAAACAAGACTGACAATAACAACTGTGTCCAGCTAGGTACTTGTGTACCGAACAGCCAGTGGAAGAAACTGTCCAGCCAACAACAATCACTGTCATCTGTTGTGATCATTAAAGCTTTATCAAATTGTATGGAACTGCTCAGAAAATTTTTGTGAAATAATTTTGTTAATTGATGAACAGTTAATGGTTAATGTTAATATTATTATTAAGTTTGTTAGTGACCAGACATTCCATAAGATAATTTTTTTTCACATTGAAAATATTTATTAGTCATAATAAAGTGAACAAATTAAAAATAGCTGGCCATCTTCCAAGAATGTCTTATTTTATAACACATGTACAGTACTGTACTGTGCTTCAAATGTGTTTGCTCTCTTTCTCATACCTTTGTTGATGTACTCTGTGTACTCCATTCACTATGATTCACAATTTAGGATATAGTACTGTACATTACTGAACTGAATTTGGAAATATTCGTAAGTTTACAACTATTGACACTGAAACAATTGTATATACAGTATATATATCTTAATGTGTTGCAAGATCTAGGGAATTCTGTAAAAAATAATCGCATACAATATTATGGAGTACTGATGTTCTTGTCCCAACACTACTAAGCACACATACAGACTTAATGTTCAGTAATATTTATGCTTTACATAATGAGATGAGTTTATGCTGTGGGTAATCTCTTGGCTTATACTGCCATTAATTTCTGGTTTTGTGTGTTAAGGTAAATGTATATCTACCAGTAGTTTGAGTTAATATCAATTAATACCAGTGCTGGTAGTTTTATCACCCTAGTTATGTGTACAGTAAAGTTCGAGCAGATTCCTCAGAATTTTCCTTCTGTCGAAAGATTAAATATATTAATGTGACAATACAAATGTATCCAATAGATTAAGATTCTCTCTGTCTTACGAGTCACTTTACTCCACTGGTGAGTACGGTACAATATATCAAAGTTACATGATTATGATAAAGGTACTGTAGCATGGGCTCAATACATCTTCATTTTGTAAGTAGTATTGTTAAATTCTCACTGTAGAAGATACAACACACAATCGAGAGCACTGTATATTTTGTCCATACAGTTGAAATATACGTACAGTGCTTTCATTTTTGTTTTAATTTCTTCTACAGTGGGATTTCAATGTTAGGATTTATGTTGGATTACATAGCTTCTTCAATTATTGTATTACATTATAGATACTGTTACACTGCATTTAAAATGGCCTTCTATAGATGTTACATTAATTACTGTATTTAAAATGTAAATAAAATTATGGGTTTAGTCTCATTGACAATTAAAATTTACATAAAAAATAGTAATTATGAGGCCATGTGGACCATAACTTCCCAAGAGCCAAAAATGGAAAACACCAGAAAATGTGGTTAAGTTTTGTAAAATAGAACTCACTATATCTCAAAGTGATTGTGATAGTGCAATTATTCTTGTAATAAATTGGAGCTTACAAACTCAAGATTATGTTGCCATAAAGAGATACTAACAATCTTGTCATTATTATTAGTAATCATGAAAATCATCATAGCCTTAGCAACTTAGAGACATTAGATTTTGATGGAATTTTAATATTTTGATATAGGATACTCATGTACAGTTCCCCACAGACCGCAGGTAGTATAGTGTTCCACCCCTCGGTATCCTTTCAGAACATATGGCCAACAATATTTTTTCGATAATATTTGTTCTCGAGATTTGTGCTAAGAGATAAGATACTTGCAATACCGGTATCTGTAAGGAAGGTTTGACAATGATACCGATGATGCTACATGTTCAGAAAGGTCACTACCTGTGGACAACTGTACATCATAATCATATCAGTACAGTACCCTAAACGTCCAAGAGATTATAGTGATCACCATAATTTTCATCTGAACTGCATTTTCTGGCAAAAAAAGTTGTGTGTGTGTTGGAAATAAAGATATGGTAATACAAACAAAGATTATTGCATGCAAAATAATGTACACACACACACACACACACACACACACAGGATCACACAGTTCCCTAGACATCACTCACTGCACGCTACCATTGGGGCGTCTTAGCATGGGGGGGAAGCACACCCCACACCAGCACTGTGAACTTACCCCCAAAAAACTTTTACTTCACGCTTCCTCGGCCTTGGAATCAAGAGGCAATAGGTGTGGGAAGAAGGGGCGACTTTTACAAGGTTATGGTCCACATAACCTCATGTACTGTACTCTATTGTTCATCTTAAATACAACACACCACTGATTGATTCTATAATTCAGGTACAGTACAGTACAGTATGAGGAACAAAAGTAATAAATTACCCTCTATGCCAGTTTGTTTTCAATTTGCAGAGCTATTGTGAATCTTCCTTCTTTACTATGTTTACCAAATCACCACTCTCGGTATATGTATAAAAAAAAAACAATTCTTCATTTCTGGGGGATAAAAACAGCCTTGCATTCCTTTGCTTCACCCAAACAGTCAGTATGTGCACACAGGTAGTCTCCTACACCAAAGCCCAAGTCAGTTCCTTATGATGCTCAAGCCTAAAGGCAAGTAAGCCAGGTGTACAGCTGATCACCTCACTCACCTGGGCTATGATGAAGGAGGCTACCTGTGTGGGTTTATGGCTTTGACCTTCACCGGGAAAGGCAATACGTATTCTGTAATCACTAATGATATTTTGAATACCATATTTACTCATCAGTAATATAGTAGGTAAATACCAATATTGAAAAAAATATATATTGTATCATTAATAATTAAACTCACACAATCAAAAGATGTCATTAATACTATCCTTAAGGTTTATCATTGTTGTATTTTCACAAAAATATTGACAACTCACTGATTATGAATCTGCAAGTCAGTCACTTTTTATTACACAGCACCAATACTCAAGAATGAAAATTTGGCAATACAGGGTACCTGTACTGTATTGTATTTAAACATTGTACAGTACACATTAATTACAAGAAAAGAGTGGTTTTAGATGATCAGTGATGTATGCTCGAATGAAAGATTTGGGATAAATTATTTACTGATACACCACTTGTAGTGTATTTAGTGTACGGTAACTGAAGTGTCATCATCATCATCAACGTTTTATGACCATTTTCCACGCTTGCGTGGGTTAGCATGAGAAATGTTGTAAATTACATTTTTAATTATAAATTATGAGAGAAACTTTTCAGGTGAGTAAAGCACTGCAAATGGAGTTGGGAATTTGTTTACCATCACAAGTCACATTCCCAATATACTGTAAATCAAAATTAAAGATTACAGTGTGATTCCAAACTTGGCATGTCTCCATGAATAGGCATTCCCTGTCTATGAAAGGGTTTTTTCCTGAAAAACCTTTTGTTTATTGGGTCACATTTCCCCATAGACTCCCATTATAAAGCTGAGATGCATTCCTGTGAAAATATAATTCCCCAAAACATCTTTAAAAAGTCACACAACTTGTTTTAAGGACAATTGTTGGTACACAAAGATTTTAAACCAATAATAAACATAATAAGTGAAATACATGCAGTACAGTACAATAATAATTGTATACCTGGAGAAACTCAATGAGATTTGAAACAAAGTGAACAGTATGAAACACTAAGTCAACATCTATGATAAATATATTACCATAGTAACATATTGATTTCCATTCTGTAATTGGAGATAGGTTCTCTATAAAAAAAATCTCATACTTGGCCTCTGATGAGTTATTGTGTCATCCTAAAATTCTGCTGCTTTTTTTTACACTACATGAACGTTGCCATCAGTCAGATGACACTACACTTTTGCTCTCATGTATTGTCGGCAATATCCACACCTCCAAACATTTGGGCAAGTGGCTGAGTAACTGGGTTGGTGGAGATGAATCTACTTGCTGCCAGTGAGTTTGAGGAATATATTAGTAAATGGTGATTGTAGAAGAATGATGACATGTTCAAAGTTTATTTCTAGACTTAATAACATTGAAAGTTTTAGAAAATAATGAAATATGTAAGCATATTGGTTTTGAGAGAAAGAAATTCTTTAGCTTATTTTCATTATTACCTAGGAAAAAATTACAAAAAATAAGATTTTTTTTATAACTATTGATTTTTTGCTTGAAAATTGAATCATAGGACAAAATTTACTTTTTCTTAAACCAAACCTTCATAAACTAAGGGACTACCTGCACACACACTTAGCTAAAGTACAGGAGACCCTCAGTACTCTTCAACTTTGGAGTGGTGCTACTCATAGTGCTTGCTGTCTTTTTTAACTCATTGTAGGTAGTTGCTGTAAAATACTGGGAAACAAAAGGTCAAAGGTAATGAACATTCCAACCTAAAGGCCCTCCCTTATAGATAATTTCTATGAACATGAAGACAAAATTTTTATGTTTTTGTTAAGAAAACTATCATGGTCTCCGGACCTTTTTGTCTACAATGACAACACTCATTTCCATCAGAAGCCCTTTTATTTTAGAACTGAAGGTGTCCACCTATGAGATGGCAAGAAAAATGTTCTGAGGTAGTCCGCTGCTATAACCAAGAAGAATACGGTAGATAGCCTGGATACAGCATAGTTACCACATACCATATCACTGACTTAGCAACTGGTTAAACAAACTCTCCCAATGAAACAGGTGGGGTTAAGTCAAGTGAAACAGATTCAGGATTTACTCTAATGTGCTTAAGGCAAACTGGCTTTCAAAGCAATCACCTGATTGAGGTTTAAACTCTTTGTTTAACCTGATTTGAATGAGTGAATAGCTTTCATGCACAAATTTACACTTGATCTACCAAGACACTGTACCTGAATGCAGTGTCCCTTGGATAAGGCAAGCTCTGCCAGAGGGTGTTCTAAAGAGGGAATCTCACACTTCACTTTTCGAATGCACCGTAAGCACAAAAATAACAGTACTAAACATAGTTATCCATATTCTTGTATATTAGACCCTACATATGAGCAGAGGAGAAGCATATTTAAAGATTATAAAAGTTGATTTCTTAGGAGAAATGTTCAGATTTTTCGTAGAAAAAAATAGTGCTCACCATCAAAGCTTTTGTACCACAGAATCCTTTTGTTTTGACTTGAGCTGCTGCACAGTCTCAACATACAAACTTTCATGTTTCATACAGGGGAGACCTTCCCTGACCTCTTTGTTCCTTACAGACTATACAGGGCAACATGTGCAGAACTGGTCACCTTTAATAAGCATACCCTTATTGCAAGGACAATTTTCCCCCATGATAATTGACTGTCAATAAAGACAAAATTTTCCCTGAATTACATTTAACAGAATAATAATCAGTACCCTGAGAAGATAAAAACAAACACAGAGAAAAGTTAGACCAGTTTTACTGTATAAATGATTTTCTTAGTACAATAGTGTACGCATGCAATGGTAATGAGTAGACAATAGCGCCTCCTTACATTACTATAAGTTTATGGCAGTTAGCAGTTCACTTGAACACACTGGGTTTAACATCAAAAAATAAAACAAAATATCAAAACACAGCCGCACATAGGTAAAAAGGAGATATTGGGGTCATCTTCACTGCAAGCCCTGTAAAAAACAACAGTGGAAAAAGGGCCTTCATTAAAAGGCACTTTTATGATGAGAAATTCTGCATAAATATTATAAACTAAGAAAACAAAAATTATACTTCATTACAGATATAACAATTCATAATTCTCACTACTATGTGGATGATGAAGCTCTACACTATTGTGTCAATTCATGCAGCTTTCCTAGAATCCACAATGCTAGATAAAAAGAACAAAAACAAAAACAAAAAATATAACATCAAAAGCTTTGGTCAGATTATTATAAGCTTACCCAATATTTCACACCACCTGAATCAAGTACTTTGCATATTACAGTCAATGCCTAGTGAGTAGCGAGGGACTGGTGCTGATAATTCCTCTTGCATAATATCGGTGAGTTACTAAAGTGAACCTACTGCTGCCCGGGGAGGGATGATCACTTGGGCTTCTACTGTTGCCCTGGTGCTGCCTCACGGGGAAACGACTTCGACTTATGCTCATGCCCTAGTGCTGCCCACTGACCAGGCAATGGAGGAGTTCACCTGCTTAACTACATTTACATTATGACAGATAGTACTGAAGTGTCATCATTGTTTACCTTTCATGCTCATAATGGTAATTTTCTGCAGAAATAATTTCAAAATTTTCATTTAATGCTGTTTACCTGCTACCAACTAAATACCAGAAATTACAGCTTACAAGTATAAGGTAAAAAGCTGTAAGTCTAATTACAAAATATGTAATACAGTATTAATGAAAAGAGTAGTAATAATAAGAAAGAAAGTACAGTACAGGCACCCCACAATTTATGATAGGGTTGTGTTCCTGAAAACCCCAGTGTAAATTGAACTGTCATAAATTGAATCCTATTTGGGAGGAGAAAATGTTGCTCCAATAAATAATAAAATGACTTTTTGCAACACAATTAAAATTTCTGCAGGCATAAAAATTAAAAATTCATTATAGGTATACAGTAGTACAATTAGGCAACAAATTAATGTAAAACAGAACTGTAATTCATCTTATCACCTCCAATTTAATATCTAAAGTGATGGCTTATGAGGTCTCCTTCCACTGCTGCTGCTCATTTTACTTACTGGTCACTTTCCTGACATCTCTAAAATGGTAAATTGCTTGGAAAATACCAAAAAATTACTGGAGAGTTGTGTCAAGCGTGGAGGTGGATTTGAAAGATTCCTTTGGCTTACAAACAGTCAAGTGATTGTAACACATTTAATTTAAATTTTCTTTAGATATAATGGGTATTAAAAAATTTCCCACCCCTCGCCCTCAAAATAGAAGATAATATATGTATATAAATATTGTAAAATAAAAAACTATCATAAATTTAAAAGGTGTAAATTGTTTATACAGTGCATCTTGTTAATTAAAAATATTATACATAAATAGTGATCGTAAATCGAGGGACACCTGAACTTGTAATAACGCAGGACTTAGTTGGATATAATGTGGTTTACTCAGTCATAACACCTGGGTTATGAGTGATGGAAAAAAGAGAGAGAAAGAAAGTGAGAGTTCTTCTATCACATAAGACTAGGATATAACGTGCCTCACAAGATATTTCATCCCGTTACTAAAAACACAGTTAAAAATAATCATGAGCACCACAAAATGATGGAATACTCCTCTGCCCTTTGTTAGTCTCCATAGATGCTCCACTTTTACATGATTCTCAATAAACACACACACACAGATATCAAACTTGTCTGAGATGCTGACTTGAAGAAGCTATGGTGTAAGTCTGGTGAGATCTTCTGTAATCTTCTCTGATATATCTTGATTCCCATTCAAAGGCTAATGGAAGGACAGGCAACTAATATGTGTGACAATAACACCCCCTGCCCTGAAACAGGCTGAGGAGTAAAAACTGTATGTGTCCAAGAGGTTTCATAAGTTGAAACTAAGGCTTGAGTTTGATGAAACTACATCAATCCTTGTAATATATTGATTACCAGGATTTCTAAAACAGTTGCATGACCTTGAAAGGAGGTCAAGATTGATGATTAATGAAATGGTTGTCAGACAAAGCTACAGTGTACACCTAGGCGTGTGTATGTCAAATCTATTCTTAAGATATCTTGAATTACAGGGATTTCATAAAAGCAGTTGGTATGAACTTTAAAAATAGGTCAAGATCTCTGATTATCAAATTTGTTTAAGATGGTGGCAACAGGATGTTGTAGTCTATATTGTATCTTTCTTGAAGCATATTTTCTACAAAAGCTTCTGGAATATTAAGTAATGTATGGTCTTGAAAAACAGGTCAGCCACTGATTGTGAATGTATTTACAATGTAGTCTGGGCCTTATAGTTGACAAGTGTACATCAAGTACATTTAAATATCTTGATAATGAGAATTTCCAACACAACAGGCAGAGATCTCGAAAAGCTGATCAAGGTCATTGATCATCAAAGTTTTCTGATATGCCCAATGAAACTATGGTGTAAGACTAGTGGGCAAATATCATATCTTTTGCGATATATATATTGATTTCCAGCTAAAAGCTACGGACAGACGGACGGACAAATGGACGCACGGACAGACAGATGAATCGATAACATGAATGATGACAATGCCCAATGGCCCAGATAAGGGCTAGAGGAAAAAATTGCAAGGCAATGATCTCAAAGCAATGATCAGTGTTTACTCAGGTCTGGTTCTGTTGGGGTTATGTGTAATGAAAGCTATATTTAGAAAGTCTTGGATCAGTTAAATGGATGACAATGATACTGTATGTGTACTGGAGACTAATGGAATTCTTCCACCTATACCGGTTTGTGCAAAGCTGATGCTGGTTTCCCATTCCAACTGCATCAAATACAACATAAGTGTTATAAGATAAGACAATAATACTTAGGAAAAATATACTGCAATATTAATAAATAATGAGTACAAAATACACATGCATAAAGTTTTGAGCATACACCAGGAGTATCATAGATATCAGTCATCCAAAGCCAGTGTGTGTTAAAAGTGTTTGTGTATTTTAGAGGAACCCTCTCCACTGATGCATCAACTACCAGTATCCATCTATCTGGGTTTCATATATAGTTTATCTCCAAAGAGTATTAAAGAGGAATGCACAGCTATCATGCATTTAAGCTAAAACTTACCAGACAGGTTTATAAAATCATAAGAAATTACAAAGATACAGTGAAAGTTTATAAATATATATAAGCCTCACACTTGATATGCAGAAGCACTCCCAACACTAAACTTGTGATGAGTGTGCATGCGGTCAACTGTTAATCATAGTGTAAACATATATCTTGTTGAGTCTTGATAAAAAAAAGCTGGTTGTATGCAAACACCCCTCTGAAACCCTGAGAACGAGATTACGTATTGAAGAGGGCTGTAACAAGCGAGATTTTGCTTGCAGTCAAGAAGTTACATGTTTCTATTTGCTATTTTGATATCTTGAATTTGCTGACTTTAGGCCAAGCCATTAATCACATCAGCCTAAATGCAGCAGCGGAACTACAAGATCATAATTTATGTCGGTGGCCTTAAGTCAATATAACTTAACACATATACACATCATACAAATATGTACACTTCTAGCCTTAGTATTTCAATATACAATATATCTTGTTACCTAATACAGTACAGTACTTTGGAGTAATAATACCTGTCCTTTCTCACTGGTATAAAACTAGAAATACACATTTATTTCTAACAGTCATGATCTGTGTCTTCCATAGTTTGTAGATAAGTCATGAAAGAAAAGTCTGAAGTATGTATTGTGATGTCCCAAATGATTATTATTGTGGATAATATATCACATAACCATAAGCCTTTTTCTTCCATTTTTTTCTATTCCAATCACTTAGTTACTGACAATCCTATTGCATATCTTAAACTTAACACTGCATTACATACACAAAATCTGTCAAATGAATCATTGGTTGAAGCTATACATCACATTACCATGTTACAAACAAAACAATTCTCAAGTAATTACTCTAAAATGTAATAAAAAATGCTTTTCTATGGATGCAACTGCTAGTCTAATTACCCATTACATTTTTAAATACCAAATAAAAATCATATTGCATTTGCATGAACTAACCACAGATGAATTGCATCTTCTTTGTGACACACACAGACATAAGAATGAAAAACAAATGCAGAGATTAAATAAATCAGAGGGTTTATTATTCTTTTTTTGCTGGTAGCAGAAAAAGAGCTATACAATTCATTAACAAATAAATAATTACAATGTCATTCACACCTTCCAGGTAGTGTATGGCTATCGATGATGAAACAAATTTAAGCACAAACCCCATATCTTTTCTGCCTTAAATCTATCACCATTTATTAAGACAAAGACTCATTAAATTGCCTGAGTATGTGCTTAAAAAGCTTAATCACATAAAATTTACGAAATATAGAGTGAAACTAAAGGTGGGAAAGATAATTAGATATATATCTTGGCAAAGAACAAATCTAATTACCCAAATCTTCTCATTAGACTTGTACTGATACCTTAAAACAAGGAACTCCATATTCAGTAATTTCTTATCAACTGTCAGTTTCACGTGAAGGACAGGCCTCTTTTCATTAGGGTGGCCTGGTAGCGTGCCTGGGCTGGGTTGACGAGAGCCAGTAATTGTTGGACTAAGTCGTGGATCTTCAGGGATGGTCCCACCTTCATCCCCGTCAAGTCCATAACCTCATTATGGGAGAGAGTTAACAGCTTGGACCCATGGATGTTCTGTAAGATAATAACAAAATTGAGGAAAGAAAAATTATGAAAATACACTTTAGAATTCATTTTAAATGAAGAATGAAGTGTGTAAGGAGACTACATGAAGAGGTGTGTCTTAACACTTGAGCATGGATATGAAACTGATATTTTTCATAGTCAGGGCAGATGAAGAGTGACAGCAATCAAGATAAGAGTCTGTGAAATTAAAGGTGTCAAGAGAGAAGTCAAAATCTCTCAAGACTTGAAAGGATGAGAAAAATGCCAAAATAGTTTAATATGGGCATAGAGAGACCACAAAAGACAAGAATGGAAAAAATAAAATTGGCATGAGTAACGGGAATGTCATTAAAGTGTTTGACAGGCTAAATAATACTTAGTTAGTCTGAAGGTGATGCTGGAATAATGACTATGCATAGGAGTACAGGTATCTAGATTTCCTTTTCCAAATCCCACATTTACTCTGTATCTCTACTGTAATCTATACTGACTGTATCACAGACATTCTTTGCACTCCAAGATCATCTGAACCAGTTACCTTATCAATAATATCAACATAATTTCATATCCACCTAAAGTATTTTACGTTTCTAACACTCATTTTTCTAGTAATTTTTTCACCCCAAATAGCAATGAACAGACTCTTGAAATCTTTGGAAGGTGTAGCACTACTGAAATATTTGTATCAGAGAAGGTAGTATTCAGGTAGGTGAGATGAAGAGAACTGGAAGTAAATATCAAGAAATGGATGGATGGATGATAAAATAAATGAGGGAATAATGAGAGAAATATGGTACAGTAGTGCTAGTAGAACTGTAGTTGAGAAGGGAGCGAGAAGAAGCTAGACACATGCCAAGATGGAAAAGGAGAGAACAAAAAAGGTTAACAAAAACAAGGCATAGTAGAAACAGAGGAAAACCAAGCTTTAATGTGGCGGGAAATTTTGTAGGAGTAAACATGTGAGAGGAGCAAACTGGTGCAATCTGTAGAAATGTTTTAAAAGGGTCAGCATTGGTCTACTGACAAAAGTAGTAGTGGAAGAAAACCAACATATAATACAGTAAGAATAAACAGACTACAGCTCAGATTGTCTTAATTGTAAACTTAGATGGGAAAATTTAAATGATCCTTTCAGCAAAAATGAAATGAAAAAAAAATAAGTAAATAAATAAAAATATCGTCAGTTTTTCATTTTATAAAAAGTGTAATCCACATGCCTGTATATACCGTATATGAAATGAAATGTGTGGTTTATCTGTAGGCTGGCAAGAAGATACAAGCAAGTGCAATGTGGGTGACAGAAATATCTTATTCATGTAGTATGTGAACATGTACTGTACTGCTATTAGACTGTGTGTTGTTTTACTAAGGACAGCCTGCAGCATTGAGGCACCAAACTAATTCCAAGTACTATAGTATAACCTCAGAAATCTGCCACTGTTAAGAGCAAGACCGTAATGGATCTGTGAATTTCCTGGTTTTCTTTACGAGGTCATTCCCTCTATGTCCCACCCTTAAAACCATGAAGCATTTCTAAGTTGATATTCACAGGGTAAACCAAGGTTCAGTTTAGCAATGAATAATTAGTAAGGAAAATTTTCATACAAAATACACAGTACAGTACAATGTAATACAGTATCTCCATTAGCTGGAACTCTCCAATATCCGGAATTGAAATTGGCTCGGAATTTTTCCAGGAAAGCTCTCTCCATTCTGGGTCTGTGAATGAGTTTCCAAGGTTAAAAATCAGCTGCATTTTCTAATAAAATTCCACAACTGCCCCCCCTCCTTTTTCCCCCAGGTCTGGGAGCAAATTCCTAGGTTGAAAATCAGGAGCATTTTCTGGAAAATTAAGAGAAATCTCTGGAAACTTCTCCAATTTTTTTCCAGGTCTGGAAACAAATTCCAAGGTTGAAATAATGTTTAGACTCTTGGAAACTTTTCCCAGTAACCCCAAAAATTCAAAATCTCATCCCCGGAAGAGCTCTGCACCAATTATTCCGGCTAATGGGGATGTCACTACAATATATCGCTATATTTTTTCTAGATGCAGGTAATATGAATGCTGTCTGTGAATTTCTTAAGGCAATTACGTTTAATAGCTGTGCACCACCAAACTGAACATTTACATTTCCCAAAAGAGAGAATGTCTCACGACCTCTGCCACACACCCACAAAGTTCTCAGTCAGGTCAACTTCTCAGTCTACCTATGTTAAATTTTTTTTTATTTACTTTGGTATTTATCAGTTATCAAACTCCAAAAATAAACAAGAAATTAAACCTTATTTTCATTAAATTTCCTGCCAATAATGTTAAAAGCAAATTATAGTTTAACATACATTGCTATAAAGTACAATATCCTACATCTTAAAAATACCCCTGTATAGCATAGGAACAGTAAAAAATTCATGAATAAATGTTCAGTACAGTGAGTTCTGCTATAACGCGTGTTTTGATAACGCGAATTTGCTCTAACGCGATTTATGAATTAGGAACGATATTTGTATAACGCGAACGCTTGTTTGCTATAACGCGATTTTTGCTTACTATTTCTCCAATTTTGTGGTACAGTATGAACTGTGAATATAGTAAAGAAGAATATCAACAAGAAGCGTTCTGGTGATAGAATTCCCGGTGATGATCGTAAAAGAAAGGATATAACACTTGAAGAGAAGCTCGATTTTATCAACCTCAAAATCACCCTTCTCCCCCATCAAGTAAAGTGTTACATTTACTGTATGATTTCATTATTAGATATGAATGTAACATTTATTTAGACTGTGCTATCCTTTGTGTTAGGCTAACTACTAAATTTTTTCGATTTCGAGTAATCTGCACCTAACCCTATTTTCTCCATAAGCCCTGTTATTTCTATTACGCGATTTTCTATAACACGATATTTTACAAGAACACAATTATCGCGTTATAGCAGAACTACCTGTACCATGAATATCTTATATACCGGTATATATCTTGAGATTCAAGTACTGTAGTGATCATGGGCACTTGCTAGGCAGTATTACACAGAGCAAGGCCACAAAATCATAGAGCATGCACTGTCACGCACAAAGCTAGCTGTTGTCTGTTTACATCAAGAGCGCAGGCTGCAGAATCTTCAAAATAGTGTGTTGCCTGCTGTCCACAAGCAACAATTTTATTTTTTGCATTTTTATATTATCTACATAAGTACAGGTCTTCTGAGATCCCTGGATGATTGATTAACAGATTTCTGAGAATTTACTAAAGATAGTGTGTGAGTGCTTTCATTGCTGAGTCTGTAGTCTCACCAAGGTTGGTCATATATCTAATGTACAGAAAATACTTACTTGTGATACAAAGTTGTCACAGTATGTGCCACAATCATTTGTCTTTAGGAACTGACCCACATCTTGAGGTGTCCAGAGTTTAGGCTGAACTTTTGATCCAGGTTTTATGGGACCGCCTATGAGTCTTGGAATATATAATTTTTGAGATTCAGTTTGTGCTTTAGATGACAAAACAGACACTTGTGGGGTGCTACATGCTTGAGTAGTAACAGTGGAAGAGACTATGGGAGACTGTGATGTGGTTTTACTCTGTTGGAAGATCCCATTCTTGTGGGTAGGAGGCGGAGTTGCAACTTGAGGTTTAATGGTCTCTTTAGGAATACTTGATGTAGTAGCTGTTGTGCTGCCTTTCAGTGAGGTCAACTGCATTTTGGTGCTTTTAATGACTGGCTGAGTAGCAGTGGTCTGAGTAGTAGCTTGTAGAGTATGTTGGCTGCCCTTTGAGTCTAGCTGTTTACTGGTCAGAAGTGGTTCAATTTTATCTTCTCTGACAGACATAGGCTGATGAGAACTTGCATGACTTGGCTTCTGATGTGTGTGAACAAGATGACTTCTGTTATCTTGAACTTTGCTTTCTGATACACTGGAGGATGTAAGGTTGTGCTGGGTGGTAATGTTCTGTAGATCAGTCTGTGGTAGTGGAGAACTTGCAGTCGAGAGGTTACATGATCTTTCATCTGCATCCCAAGGTTCTCGAGAGCTCTCATTTCCATCTAATGATGCAACTCCAGAAGACGTTTCATCTGTAAAGTAAAAGAGTATTTAAGAATTTAGTTAGTTGTCATGTTTTCATATAAACCATTTCATTACAAATTAAAATGGGGAAATATTTAAGCCAAATCAGCAAGCAAAATTTCGCCATAATTGTTTAAATTCTTGTGCTGCAATTATACTAAATGTAAGTAAACATGCTGCTGTATCTGAAACATTCAGTATGTATGGTGATTCTTATGTTTATAACTTCAAGAAAAACTTGATTAGGTATTCTATGATCTTAGTACTGTATATCTTCATGGCAATCCAGGGCTCTGTTGACCATTTGTTCCTTGCTAATTAACACTATGTCCCCCATTCTTGTCAACTCCCCATCCTCTCTCCACCACCATCCCAGTATTGAGTTTTTATGCAGCAAGTAAATTACTGTTTTCTTAGCGTCCTTTAATGGTGAAGAGTACGTGCCAGATATTGGTGACTCAGCAAATGGTGATAATGATTACAGAAGAAAAATAATTTATAATCCAATTTTTGTCTTACATAAGGAAAATAATAAGACATATTCGATGCTCCTGTTCATCCAGCCCCTCCCGTACAAAAATGTAATTTTTTTTAATATAATTTGATATGCAGTTATGTCAAAAGCTACAAAAACACTTTGTAAAATATTTGTTGAAGAGAATTTAAAAAATATACCTATAACATTATATACAGTATAACTTTACACTTTGTACAATAGAACAGCAAAAATAATATAAATAACAAATGAGGACTTGATCCTAAAGCCCCATTCTATAACTGAGACCAAGTCAGGTGACTCACGTACAACTCACTAGGACCATAGGCTGAAGACCCAAGCTATAACCCTTGACCCAGGTGCTGAATCTAAGTCACTAATTAGTTTTTACCTTCCCACCATACCTAGGTATCTAAAAAGGGACCTTTGGATATGAAGGTTATCACTCAAGGTAATCAGCCTCACCATAAAAAAAAAGCTAGTGCACTCCACATTGGCTTTGATTTCAAACTGTTATTTCTGGGTCAGTAGACTCAGTACTGAGTTGCACCCCACTTAGTGTTACCCATTTGGAGGAGGGAGGGCAAGTGAGTCACATCATCCAAGCTCAGTATCAAACTTTCATTTATGACCTAATACTTGGTTTGGGCAATTCTTGCCTGTTACCCCCAAACCCAGATTTTCCTCCTAAACAAAATTGCCCCCCCCCCCAACCTTGCAAATACAGTCTGTATAAAACATTTTTATGCCATTGCACATATACCAAGTGAAATCTCAACGATGTCTCCTGAATCACGATCTTTACCTTACCTTCAACATAGTATATCCCCCCTTCCTCAGGCCCCAGTGCAAATGCTGGGAAAAAATCCCAGGTAAGTTGTTATTATGTCAGAGTGAGGAGATACTGTACTTAATGTGGTGACATACATTTAATGTAATTCAATGACTGTTTAAAACTTTTTTCTTATCCAAATTCAGTCAGTTGAATGTTTTTAAATCTCCATTTATGAGGGAAACTCATGGCACAAACCTTTGAAAATTCAACCCCAGCCTAGGATTATAATCCTACTCTTTTTTTCTTTTTCTTTTTTGGCTGCTGTTTCTTATAGGAATAGTGTGCAGTTTAACACAACAATAGGTCTTATTAAAGTGTTATTGTGTGACTTGACTTCTGGCAATGGAAAGAAAGCTCTTAGACAGATACCCCCAAATTGAAGAAAGAGGTGAAGTTAAACAAGAGCAAAATTTCATGCTGATACACAGGCAACAAACATGATATAATTTCATTCAGATTATCATAAGATATTTGACAAAAAACACAAAATTTCAAATTCTAAAATGGCTTCAAATACATACAGATGCTGGATGACCAACATCATCATATAACAGACCATCGATGCTGAGCAGTGTGGCAATAAAATGACTCCATGGTCTAGATTTCTAATTAGTCTCAGTGAAGAATCCATTATTTTATGTCGGGCTGTATTATTGTTAATCTGCTTCCTATTACAACAGTAAAATGATACTTTCCAAATAACCTCTGAGTGTGGTGCACAAGACCTAAAAGGCATTTCATGAATATTTACTAGAAAAAACTGTCATTTAGCTAAGTTGCAAAATAATAAATTTTGTTTGTTTACATACACATACATACAAGCAAGTGCATACATACACACACATAGCAACCGATTTATTTCTCCTTACACTCACAATCAACACAAAAAAGGTAAATACTGTATAAATTTTGTCTGGATACAATGCTTCTTTTGTTTTAAATCTTATTACTTTCTCTCTTGCTTGGCCTATGTATGTACCTGAGACATCCTCTTCATCTGACTGGTTGTACGAAGCTGGCAAAGTTCTGGCTCGGGTTGCTCTTACAGGAAGAGTCTTGGTGTTACTGGTCGTGGTTGAGGTGCTCCGGGGAGATCGCCTTGCATCTTTTCTAGCATGGCCTCGTCGAACTCTACTGGCTGTTGAGGAATGCTCTACCTCCGGTGTTGGGAGAAGGTCTGTCCAGTACATATAACTATATTGGGTTTCCTTTTCCAGCATATATTTGTGACATATCACAAAATTAAAATACCTTCTGGTATTAATAACACATCACAAAAAACCATACATTCAATTACTTTTCTATATAAGACAGTAGTGTTAAATAGATGAGGAAAAATAAACTATTTCAAGAAAATGTGTCTGAAACTAACAAGATACATAAATCCTTACCTGAGTTTTCATTCTCACTAGATTTGTCCTGAACCAGCAGAGATTCTGAAAAACCTGTTCCAATAGTCTGAGCCTTGTCCTTGGGTGGACGACCTCTTCTCTTCTGAAACACAGCCGTTGCTGGGCCTGAAGCACTCGCCATCATTAAGTTAACTTTTCCTATCTTCTTGCTCCCCATGGGTCTGCCTCTTCGTCCAGTTTTTCCGAATTTGGCCCCTCCTTTAACTTTCCTCTTTGGTGCTAAAGGTGTAAGAACTGTAATTACAAAAAGCAATTCCTACTTTGCTTCTTTTTTTTTATTATTATTACTTTTAAATTTTTTTCCACGGAGATTTTTTATGACGGTGGAAGCTCTTTTAGCGTATTTCCCATCTAAACATGTGGATACAAGGGTGAACAAGTATGTACAGATAAGAAATACATCGTTCAAGGTACCCCTTGTTGTGTTTAATTGGTTATGTCACTTATTTCTTTTTGGGTCTACTTATCAAGTATCAGCGAGGAAATTTCTACTCTACTTTATCTTTTAACAGAATTACAATCAATATTTATTACCTCTGAAAGTAACAGGTATAAATCATCATAAGTATTAAAAAACAAAACAAAAATATCTGCCGAGGAATATTTTTATTTATCAGAAAAATTATGATAAATATGCTGAAATCACACAACCTTAAACTTAATTATTTGATTCTCTTACCTTGAGACTTTGGTCCCTCCAATCTATAACCAGACATATCACACCAGCCAACAGGGTAAATATCGGGTGAGTGATAGTCTATCCACTGGTCAAAGTCACTCTCCCAGCCATCAAAATGTACCTTGAGCAATCTTCCTTTCACCTGCTTCACCTTGGCCACACAAACTAATCTTGGGTCCATTAAATCTGCTGATTCCAGGGCCATACCTTCCTCAAACCCATGACTTGGTACTTCCTGAATAAAAATTAACATAAAATCATTCAGCAACACAATGCTCAATTACATGTTCTTATTTATTTAGAAAAGTTTATTATATAGAATAAGTTTTATTTTAGTGGTTTATGGACACGTGACCTTAAGGTGCTTAGGTACTGCACTTCAATTACATATATTTTCAGGACTTTCAGCTTATAGGTTATAGCATTTTTCTAGATATAAATATTTATGGGCCTCGGCTATCAAGACTTCCTGGGCCATTCAATGACCATAAGGTAAACAGCTCACCAACTATCTGATAATAATAATTAATGGTTTATTGAAAAAGTTCTGCAGCCCAAAGGCTGACTTGTGTGTTCATGGCAACTTTTAAAATCTTCAACAAATTCCTGCCCAAGTGGCATTCAATTTAGTGATCAATTACTTACTCTATAGAAGAGTGCTGGTGGTGCTGCAGTGGCCTGAGTCTTTTTGAGGTAAAGAAACCAGGAGAACTGTCCCTCATAGCCTCTTGGGGGAGTGAGAGTGATGTTATTCATTTCACAGAATCCAGCGGGAAAGATGCATGGTGAAGTAGCGTGGTAGCAGAACCAGTCTGAACATGTATTGTCCGACTCGTAACTGTCTATTCTTATCATGAGGTAGTTATTGTGTAAGACCTATATGGGAAACAAAAGTATGATATTTACATATAAAAAACATCATCAAATTATTTATGGTTAACAGTTTTCTTCCATATATTTCTAGTCGTATTCCATATAAACATGTAAAACAGATTTGGTTAGTGCAGGCCAGGAAAAAAGTTCTCTCTAAATGAGTTGGTCAATCTTTCAGGACTGGTATTCATATTAGCCGACACATTTTAAAATATAATGAAGTTAGAGAAATTACTACTGAGAGCAAATAACAGGCACTGTGCAGATGAAGTATACAAAGTTTTAGAGAATCTGGAGGTGCTTAAAGGTACAGGTACTATGAAAACATATAGACTCCTGGAGGAGGCTTTCACCCAGTAGTGGAGTGATGTAAGTTTATGATGATGACATAGTTGTAATATTTTAAATGTTATTAACTATTTCTTACCTTCATGACTGTTGCTACACAAATGGCAGACAGGTTAAGAGGGTCTATGGCTTCCAGTTTCATTCCTTCTGAAAAGTTCATCTTAGAGCTGTGGAAATTCGAAGGAATTGGGGTGATGGCAAATAATTCAGGCGGTGCATCATTAGGATCGTAGGTCCCACTGATGCACTTCTCATGGTAGGACTGACTGGCAACAATCTCGTGGCCTACCTCCCGAGACCATCCCACTGGGTGAATTATAGGAGCATCTTCATGACACCAAAATCCTGTACAAAAAATAATGAAATAAATCTATGGTGACAGAAAATAACACCATAAAATTATAATTCACCATCTTCTTTAAAAGACTTCTTATAATCTGTCAGTAGTAACACAGTTCCAATAATTAACAACTGCTTTTTTTAAGCATAGTATCCCCAACGGAGACATATCTGTACAGAACAATAAATAGATGGTATGCACGTAAAGGAAATGAACTGTAGAGATGTTAAGAGGTGGTGAAGAAGCAATTCAGTAGAGGAGGATAATGTAAAGCCAAGGTATTAATCACAATCATTAATCAAAGAAAATCTTAAACTAAATAAAAAAATTTTACCAAATGACCGTAAACCATGAACGACAATGATCAAAGTATACCATTATCATCAGGAGGAGCTCCGTGATATCTGAGATGTAATCTCTTGCCCACTACTTCAGTAACAGTGGCTACTCTCATCTGTGCAATTCTGTTCTTGTCCACAACTTCCACATTCAACCCAGGTCTGTAAAGCAGTCATCTTAATGAATCACTGACAAATAAGATATGAGAAAAGAACAAGTTAATTTATGTCAGAGTTTGGTTAACACATCACAGTTGCACTACATACAAGTTTAAAAAAAAAGGCTGTTATCTAGTATGGTATTATCCTTTACCTCCTACCTAATCACACAGTGTGAGCAACGTACAGGGGGGTACTCTTATTCATATTCAACACACAATACAGTACTTTTATGGACATACATACATAATGTCGCACTCACCTAAACCTCGATTTCTGACTTTCCACAACACGAGACATAAAGTTGGTTGGTAAAGTACGAGCACCGGTCAATCGACGCATCAGAAATTCTTTCCAGTCCCGGTACTTATGCTGGATAGTGCGTGGTGGTATTAGTGGACGACCCTGTGTTGCACACCATCCAACTGGGTGTACTTCTTCAGAACAAAGATCAACCCAAATGTCTTTAGAACTGTCTTCCACGAAACCCTCAAACCGCAACTTAGCTTTGTAACCTAAAAGAAAAGAGCGAGCCATAATCAGCTTTAGGGGAGTGACAAAATATATCATGTACGGGTATACCACAAACTGTTTAAGGGGGAAATTTATATTAACTCAACATGATCAATGAATTTACTACACCATTTTCTTATCAGTACCATACTTTCTTATAACACAATATGAAAGATCTCTAAGTTGTTATACACCACTAAGGTTCTCACTAACTCACCAAAAATGCACAATACCTAAAGACTATAGATAGAATCTTTTTAAAATATACTCATTCAATTTGCCAGCCAGATTCATCTTTTATCTCTTCACTACTGCTATTTGCATTAGCATTTTTTCTGTGGTACTTCAGGAGAACTGGGGAACCCTTGACTTATTAATACTTGATGTTTACACTGTAGTAGGTCTGGTGTTAATGAGATCTATGAAGATAATTACAAGGGGATGGGAAAACAAGGAACTACATTGCTCATTATCAAAGAGTATTTCCAACTGTGATATATGCAATAGAATGTAATGGTATGCTCTATGGAACAACAAAACATATATTACTTGTTTTAAAAACCTGTGAACAATTTGTACAAAAACAGAGATAACACCAACAAAATTCTGCATAACATCTTTGGTTTTCAACCTGTGAATTACTGTACTACAGTAGTGTACAAATCAAAACCTCTTGAAAACATTATCCAGTTCTTACCTGCAATAGCAACAACAGTAGCCACCCAGAATGCATCCTTTGTGACACCTTCCTCTCCACAGGCCACTTCTACCTTCATTCCAGCACTCATCTGTTCCCAGCACTCAGACATGGGTGCCTGTCGTACATCACATTTGCACATTTTAGTGAAATATGACATTTTTATATACTGTAATAATACAGGATGCATTTAGACATCCCACCTAAGAAATCTATGAATTTCATACCATAAAAGAAATGGAAATTATACTATGTACTCATATATACTCACTTGATATGAGTACTATACTGTTTTCATTACAAAAAAGTACAAGTCACTCTACTGAAATAAAAGGTTTTCATCAAAGTAGTTTACTTATACATGTACTGTACTGTACGTGCACTTGGACTTCTAAAAACTTATAGGTTTATTATTTCATAATGATTGAATCACCTCGTCCTATAATCAAGCTACCTATGCTACCTGTATGGTCTTCCAAAACAAACATGCCCATTCATTCTCTTTCATTCCCATTTTTTATACCTTTCTTTTAATAACGTTAAGTTTATGGACAGGAGAGTGGGGATGGTAATACCACTTTATATCCAGTTATCAAGGGGGAAAGGGGTGAAATTGGAGAGTTTGAATATGCATAGTTGTTATCATTGACAAGAAGTGCAAGTCTGGAACTGTGGTAAGTGAAACGAACCTGGATGACCTATTCTTGAGCAAAACAAGAGTTAATGGCAAAGGAGCTGGGACATGTTAGAAGTATAGAGTCAGGATGTGTATGAAACAATAAGAGTGAAAGATGTGGCAGTGATGAAATGTGTAGTAGTGTAGTATAATTTAAGGGATCTGCCTGAGATTATTATGGATCTCATTAAAAATAGGATTTAAAAACTGGTGCATAAGCACCAAAATGAGAAAAGGGAGAAGGAAAGAGAGGAGTTTTGGGAACATCTGAACTGAAAGCTTGAGGGAGTGTGTGTGATGGGGGTCTGTAGGTGATAGGGAAGTGGAGGAGATTGTGGGGAATATGGAGAGCCAGGGGAGAATTTTTTTTTATCTACCTACTCAAAACTGAAAAAGGTAAAGCAAGGGCAGATCCAGGGAGGGGGTCCTGAGGGTCCAGAACCCCCCCCCCTTTCACCAGAAAACTCCAATACTTTTTCTTTAATGTAGTATTGTACTCAGGCATTTTTGTACAGTAAAAAGTATTTACTATTGACTTCAGAATATCTCCTAATATCAAGAGTGCATGGCTTCAAAATGGCCTCAAAATGCCCATACTGTGCTCACCATGTTCCCCCCTCCTTGATATTTCTGGATCTGCCCCTGTAAAGCCTTTTAAATATATTGTAGCATAAATAGGTTTTTACTCTCCTTTCTCTAAGTTTTCATGTTTGGTATTCTTATGTGCTGTACCAACCATCTTCATTGTTTATAGTGTTTGTAGTGATAATGCTTCACATTTTATGAATTTATATATTTCAGCTATTTGTCTACTGTCTGCACCACATGTATTCATTTATATACTGTGCCTCAGTGGCATTATGGGGGGGTGGGGGGCACCAGATAGAGATCAGGATAAGAAGCAATGGGTTTATCAACAAGACACAAAAACTCACTCTATCTACCCCAATATGTTACAATCATAAGGACATACATTATATATTATACTTAAGTACAATACCTAACTCATTCTTAATCCCAGTCTCTTCAATACTAGACTCCTCACACTAATGGACAACATCTTTGATATACTTACATGTCTGAAACAGCTAACAGGCACTGCTTTAAAATTGGAGTCCTCGAGGTATGAAACAGACCAAGAAAATGTCCCTTCCAGATCGACTGTGGACTCAGGTGGGGGAAGGCAGTTGGGTGATGCAACTGGTTCTGGAGGCACTGTGGGTGGCTGAGGTTGCACCACCTGGCTAGGTTTAGAGGGTGCTGCTGCAGTAGGGGATGGTGGGAGGTCACTGGCTGGTTCTGGCACCAGTGCTGGTTGACCAGTAACCTGCAACACACACAAAAATATTTTAGATAACTTGAGAATATGTGATAAAATGTTCCATTATTGCTTTTTTTTTTCGAGCACATGTGAGCTCCACTAATTTATGTGGAGTGGTAAATGCTCATTTCACTAAGTGGGTACCTGAATACTGGACCAGGACAGATGGATAGAGAGTACTGTACTAAAAAAAAAGGTTCATAGGGGTCGTTGTGTAGTACAGTAATGGAGATCTTGACAATACAGCATACCAACAGCAAACTACCTTAGCATAATATTTAGGCATTAAGGTTAATATTTAAAGGACAAAAAAGTGGATAATTAAAGTATTGTAATAATGTAAATAGCGATAACCCAAGAACTCTTAACATGATCTGTTACCTGAGAGTTCATACACATGTATTAAAAGATGCAAACATTAAAATAAATTCCCTGTATTAAATTGAACTTTATGATTTTTTTACTTACCTTTAGTACAGGTAGTGACTTTTTCTCTGGTTCCTCCACTACCTCCTTCTCAGTAATGTGATTCTCCAGCACCTGTTGGGAGGGTGGCAGAGGCCCTCGTGCACATGCTAAACTACAAAATTTTCGTTCCTTCCCATAAAATGCATGTTTGACTCCAATGGCACCACACTTTTCACACACAGCTGTTTTGAGATAAATACATCTAGTTACAGTATATCTAACTTTATATGAAAGAATAAAATAATATTGATGAAAATTTAAAATCCCACTACATGAAAGACTTTAGAAATGGCAAAGTTTTGTGAGTGAAAAGCAGAAAAGACTCTGTACCTTAACTACTTTAGCAAACAACATGCCCAACAACCTTTCTCACAGAACATGAGATTAACACAGTGAGTAGATTCACTACTGTCTCCTAATTTTCTTGACTGATGAAATAATGAATCCATCACATCGACAGAATTTGATTGACAAGATCATTATATCCATTGATTCAGCAGAATATTAATGAACAGGAATCATTTTGTTTTGCACTACCTAGGGATTTTGTTCTGCATTTGCATGGAAGGTAGGAGGTTTACATAGCTCATTAATTCACAAAAGGACTATGAATGATAAATATAAATGTAATTCTCCATCCTGAAACCACACTTACCCATTCCTTCTCTCATGATTGGAATAGCATTGAGGTCGGTGTCCTTTTGGTATGCAATCGGAGTCTTGAGCTTTAGTGCTGGATGGTGATGAACCTTAAACAAAAGAAATATTTGTTTGAGTTAGTGTACAGTACTTGTATAAACATAATATAAACAGTTAGACATACAGTATTATCATACATTCTAATCGTGTATAAATATACCGGTAAGCACAAACCAGCACCTGAAACTTGGCTAACTGAAGTCAAACTACGTTTCTGAAGAGTTTCCATCATAATTTTGGATGTTTACAGGGTGACCATAGTTTACAATATATTTTTGTGGAGGGTTTTCCAGGATTGTACTGTAACCTCTTTGTAAATCAAGATCAGTTTTAGCTCATGATACAACTACAAGACATTTAATACATACAAAATGTCCTTAAAAGACCTCATAACACTGATTGCTACCTTGGGTTTCTTGGACTTGGGTATAGGCGGTGGAGACTCGTCCGCTTGGCCCACCATGCCAGGCTCGGTGATGGGTGGTGTTCCCTGTTGTTGCATAACATGACTACCGGACGAGTCTTCATCATAACCGTCATAGGATTCATACATATACTCTGGCTGGGTGATGTAGTCTCCGGTGTTGGGATCATACAGCTGAGAAAGAATTAAAATGATTGATATAATGGTCTATCAACATGTGACAATCATAGTTTTATAACATGAATACTGTACAGGTTACACATCAATTGTCCCACTGACTTGGAAACACTTATGAATTAAGTGAAATCACATTAAGCAAACACTAAGACACTGAGATACCATACTGTACATGTAATATGATAGGGATGCTTGTAGGTGTGGGTGAAGAGAGGGGAAGAATACCGTGTAACAATTAAGTACTATACAATACAATATATGGTGTTATTATAAAAGTGTATTATCTTGTACAGTAGGGTCGGAATATATAGTGATTTTTTACTTTTTTATATAGCGACTACCAAAATTTCGACATTTTCCAATATATAGCGATAAATCTATTTATTTCGTGAGGGAAATCGGGCAAGAAATATTTCAAATTTACCGCCATGGCAAACAAATGTGTTATTTGCTCACCAGAGGTGCCACCATGGCTGCTCACTCATGCATTCACGCTCGCCCGCACAGTCTTTCTGAATGAGTGACGGGTCAGCAGCCAACTCTGCTGCAGATTCCGACTTCTAAGGTGAGTGTAAATGGGTTGCTAGTGACGTGAAAAGTGAAGTGAAGAGAATGGAAAATATTTAATAGTATCACTAATATTTTTGGTTTGTTCGTTTATGTAGGTGTGGGATTGTCAAGTGAGGGTGGCAGTGTGGCGTGTGCTGCCGAGTCTGGTGTTTCTTGATATTAATATTGAAAGAAAATGGTGTTCCCGAGTCTAGTGTTCACTGGTGCTTTAGTTAGTAAGAAAATAAACTCGTTCATTCAAGTTTAGTAACTTTTATTGGCCTACAGAACCTAACTCTATTTTTCCCATTGATTACATGTACTGTAATTATATATCGCAATTTAGTATATGGCAAACATCCATGGACCCTATCTCACAATATATCTCAACCCTAACGTACCAAATTTTAAAACAAAACATTATTAAAACAAAAACAGATCCAAGTGCTCAGCAGCTTTTCCATAATCAAAGAGCAAGAATAACTAACTTCTGTTGTAATCCTGGAGTAACACTCTTACAGTAAGCTTTTATTTTGTCTGCATGTAGCTACCAGGCATGGAGATGAAGCCACGCCTCCAGGTTCGAAGCCAAAGCCAAGGTTATTCAAGGCGTCATGAAACCTTAACACATGTCTGATACCAAAATTCATCTTTTAAATTATTTTAGAAACGATAAAGGTTTCTTACAGAATTTGTTTGATTGCTTCTAATACAGTACTGTATTATAATTTGAAGTCGTCCAGTGAAGTAAACCCACAAATACTGGCAGATCCACGATTTTATTGGGGTGGGGGGAACAGAAATAAAGCCAGAGAAAAAGTCCCAATTCTGGCTACAATAAAAGGTAAATTAACACAACCAAAAGCATTTGAAGGCAGTTGTTAAATGACTATACATGACTGCCACAGACTGACAACACAATACAATACTGCACAGTACTGTATATCAAGGCATTATAGATGCTGTACTGTACTGTAATCTCTACATCATAATAACATGACCTCACACCTGACTCCTGGTCAAGAAATTTTAGGGGATTAAACAACCTGTTGTCCCAATGACCTCACCGGACTTACATTAATCCATTTCAGCTTGATGCCACGATGCCCACTTTTTACAATGATTTATTATTTTTTTTTATTTTAAGCATTAGTAAATCAATTCTGTGCATTCATCTATAGAGACTGCTTGAAATATTAACCCTTTCGCTGCAATTCCAGCACTTGTCATTTTATTCGGGCTACCGTCAGACGATTTTATTCAGCTTAGGGTAACTTCCTGCAGCCAAAGGGTTAAACTTAAATGAGAGGATTCAACAATTTACCTTCCATTTAAAGATAGACATGTTGACTTCAAAGATGAACCTAAGAAGAATGAAGATGGTTAAATAAATAGAAAAATATATACCATATACAATAACCAGCCCCCTAAGCTTAAATAAACGCCTTTTCATATGTAATCATATCTACATCCATCTAGGTTGCTCGATGGCAACCTTGTTCATGATTTTACGAATGTCTAATTATTTTGTAAGGTGAATCGGCATCAGAGCCAGGCACCTGTGATCACCTACCATAACTTCCACCCCCCTCCTTATAATCTGGTGTCGGTGGCAGTAACCCTTGTCACGTAAGGTCATAAATCCTGTCATCTTACGTCTAGTCTCTCAGCTTGGTGGTGTCTTTGAAATGTTGACGACTTAACACCAACCTGATTGTAAGGGGTTATGTATTCATGTATCCCCCCCCTCCCCCAGGAACTATACACACACACACACACACATAATCGGGCCAGGAGAAAGGTATAGAAACTAGAAGGTGGGTAGATTGTTTATACAGATGTGAGCCATTAAAGAATAAAATCACCAATAAAACCATGTATAAATACTGTACCATCTGTGTGTGTTGGGGAGCTGTGGGCTCACTGTAGGAGACTGGTGTAGGAACAAGTGGTCGTGGGTGATCTGATAGCAGGGGAGCTGTTGTGCCCGTGTTCAGCATCACCTCGGCTGGATCAGCTGGGTTGAACGACACTCCTGTCACTCCGTACCAAAGCATCCCCAGGTCTGTAGAGAGATGAGTTAGATGTTGATTTCATTACTAAGGCTCAATATTATGAGCTAGTGTCCGAAGATCAAATAAAACAAAATTAATCTCAGACAATACTAATGAGGAAAACACTACAGATTAAACTTTGGGGTAGACAATATTATTGATTACAGTAAGTACAGTACACTGCACAGGTACTTTCAATTAGTTCAGTGCATATTATGGTAATGCAACTTACCTATAATAATAGTACAACAAATCTAAAACTAGCCCTCCTTATTTGATAGGAAGAAGCCATCGTCTTTTGAGATATGTTAACAATAATCCTGTATAAACAAGGATCAATTCCATACTACTGTAAAGTCAGTATTTAGATATTTATAGTATACAGGTATACCTCACTATATAATGCCTTGCTATTTGTTCTTTTACTTACACAGTACATTGTTGAGGAATTATGTTTTAGTCTTAAATTTTCAAAATAATATTAATGTGACAGTAGCGGACTACTTTGGACAGCCCCATAATGCTAAACAACCCCAAAATTCCTCCACTTCTCCCCAGTATCAATTATGCATTTCTGCAACATTTGCCTGATCTCATCTGTTTACAGTGATTAGAACTCTTGGCACTTCATGCTTGTTTTGAAATCATGATTGTTAGAGGTGCCACTGACAAATCATGAAAGAAAAGCAAAATTTTGCATGTCAATACAACAAACTCCTATTGTGAATAATGGTCAAGTAAAACAGAGAACTGTATTGTAGTAGAGAATCGAGGGACGCGAGGGAACGTTGTTCAAGATATACCCGTCTAATGACTGTGTTAAACTGGAAAAGGATCATGTCTTGTGAAAGCCTTAACTAAATGGTGAATTGTGTAGAAATGTAAAAATGCTATGGAAACACATTTTAACAGAGAAATAAATGCATTGTATGTTGCTACCACCAGTCTTTTTCAGGTGATTCAACAATACTTACTTCTTTCAGGGATTTAGACCTGTATTAGTGCTTCTTAATTCAGCATGATAAATTATCGGCTTTATATTTTTAGCATTGAGATGACTCCTTGACAGACAAGGTGGCTGCTTTATGGTAAAATGCAGGGAAGACGGAAGATCTCACTCTATATTTGCAAGATGGCAACTCATCACTGTAATGTATTGTTCGGCACTGTAAACAAACAATGCTAAGTGGTGGAGTTTTGCCCTGTTTGCTCCTAAGGCAGATCTCAAATTTAGGAGGACAGCAGTTGAAAGTTGAGTGTGGATTTCTTAAATGTGTTGTATTCAATGTAGACATAACTGACATCAACTCAGTGTCACTGACTATTGCTGCACACACAGTGATGGTCCACACTCCGCCACGAAAACACGTCAATATTTCCCCCTATCCTACTTCTCCTAAAAATAACATTATCATTTAAGCCATCATCTGAATGCCTTTTTAATACCAGTACTGCATACTGTAGTGTATATGTTTAATGAATAGAGCAGGGGTGTCAAACTTATGGCCCACGGGCCAAATGTGGCCCTTGGGATGGTCAGCTGTGTGGCCCGCAGGATGATGGTAAAATTTATCAGCCCGTGAAATTATGATAGAAACAGATATGAAGAAAAAAATACAGATACGAATAAGTCAGTAAATTCCGGAATGATCTTTACATCATTGTGGCAATAATTGAATTTATAATGTTAATGCTAGCACAGTGACCCCTCGTTTAACGAACGCCTCGGTTAACGAAATTTCGGTTAACGAACTGCCTTCCATAAGGATCTTCAATTCGGATAACGAACAAAAATTCAGTTAATGAATTTCTTACGAACCGACCTCAACATGTTTTCGCTTGCACTGGCCGGGCAACCAGCTTTAGTATCAGTCCGCCAATACATTAATCGGTTCTAGGGCTTAAATTCCTAACTATTTTAGTAAATATCAAGAAGTTTATACTATTCAATAATTTTAAAAGTTTAATATTCAATTTTTTTGTCATTTTAACAATTATTGAACATAATTGAAGGTAAAGTGACTAGTTTAAAGCGCAGCATCCAGCCTCTTAACACAGCAAACAGGCGTTAGTCTCTCTCTGTTTTCACTGGAGGTAACATCTTGCTTGAGACTCTCTTCAACTAAACGCTTTTTTTCTGTGTTTCCAAGCAAATTATTGGTCATTTTGAAATATATTTTACATATTGACAATATATAATGCAGTGCAGTGTTGATTTAAAGAAAATAATCTTGAAATACACCAAGAGAACTAAAATTTTATGGGTGAAATGGTGCCATGGGGTGACTTCTCTTCTTCCTTCTCCTCCACCCCCATTGTAATTCCCATCATCATCATCATCCAGGAGCCTTCTACATACACACCTCAAAGTAAGTGAACTTTTCTCCCATTTTGGTTGAATTTAGGAAATTTTCGGTGAGCTGGAACCAATTACCCAAAAACCCATTGAAACAATGGTTTCGGTTAACGAACGACCTTCTGGAACGGATTGAGTTCGTTAACCGAGGGGTCACTGTAATAACACTATTGTAAAGGGAAAATGCTTATAAATTGAAATCACTAAAGAATTAAAAATCGAAGCCGCAGCCATTACTGGCATCAGAACAAAGGCAGCAGCCAAACATTACAACACCAGGCTAAACAGACGAGGAGAACTAATGTGCGCTGTTGGACCCTCTCCATTTCCTTGGAGAAATCGTGAGTTATAATTCGCTTTTTAATCACTCAGTTATCTATAGCTATGACTAACTATATGTGATGTGCAGTCAATCCTTAGAAATGAAAAGAATATATAAGATCTGTAGGGAAACTTTGCACACATGACGGTCGCATCAAACCCGCTAACCACCGCCTTGTGCTAGGGTTCACCAGTGTACGGGTTCAGTCCAGGTTCATATTTTTTTTTATTTTTTTGCACATTATAAAACATCTATCTATGTAAAATGAATTTTACATACTTAAGATCAGACAAACCCAAATGAGGTGTTCCTGGTTAACCAATGTGTGAAGCTGTAAACTTCAATCCTGCAAATATGTGATATGGCACTTGTGTTGGCCCTGAAGAGGGTAGCTAAAATAAGAATTGGCCCTCGAAAGGTTTTGAGTTTGACACCACTGGAATAGAGTACCGGTATAATAAATCTAATAGTAAATACCCATAAGCACAGGCAGTCCCCACTTCAGATGAGTTTGCACAACACAAGATTCACATCAGTACATGGAACCAATTAAGGAAACTGTTTAATTAACAGGAAAACATTTCGGATTAACACAAGCCACAACATATCACTGTCATCATGCCAGCCCGTCTCTGACACAAGAACGCAAGAACATAAGAATGGAGGAAACTGCAGCAGGACTATTGGCCCATACTGGGCAGTCCCATTTACACCCAACCCCTATTGCTCATATACCCACCCAACCTATGTTTGAAGCTATCCAGCGTATTCGAGTTAATGATGATATTTAGTAACTTGTTCCATTCATCCACTACTCTGTTTCCAAACAAATGTTCACCTATTTCGTGCCTAAATCTAAATTTGTCTAATTTAAAACCATTGCTACGAGTTCGCTCCTGGTTGGATAGTTTGAGTACCTTTGTAATGTCCCCTTTGTTCAGCCCTGACTTCCATTTATACACCTCTATCATGTCGCCCCTTGCTCTACGTCCCTCGAGGGAGTGCAAATTAAGATGCTTTAACCTGTCTCTATACTCAAGGTTCCTAATGCCCGGGATAAGTCTTGTCATTCTCCTCTGGATTCTTTCCAAGGATTCTATATCCATTCTGTAATACGGTTACCAGAACTGAACTGCGTAATCCAGGTGAGGTCTCACAAGCGCTAGATATAATCTTAAGATGACCTAGCTAGTCTTGTAACTAACACTCCTTTGTATGAACCCAAGTACTTTATTAGCCATGTTACGAGCAAAAACACAATGTTTACTTGGCTTAAGATTCCTACTTATCATTACTCCTAAATCTCTCTCGCAGTCGGATTTCACAATGGCATCGTTATTCATCTGGTATCTGGTTTCACTGTTTACATTTCCTATACTGAGTACTGTGTTCATTTTTAGGGAAATTTTTAGTTTCAGATATATGCCGCCACCCCACCGGATACTAAATTCCCACACAAGTGGGCAAGGCTTTGAAACTGTGGGGTTAAAAATATGAATATACATAACCTTACCAAATCAAACCCTGACCTAATCTTACCCTAACCTAAAATACAGTAAATCCCAAAGTATTTTCATAAACATACCTACTGTGATTAATGGTTATGTTGGGTGGTTTTCCGTCAATGTTATCTGAATTATAGCCCCCACATTTTCCACCAGCTTCAAAGCCCAGCTCACTTGTGTGGGAATTTAGTATTCTGGGGGGGAGGGGGGGACCATATATCTTAAACTACACATTTTCCCTAAAAACGAATATCACCACTGAACACATCCGTTGGTATTATCTGGATTATTGCCCCCAAACATTCTTAAGTTGCTGGTTGTGTGTGAGTGTATGGAACAGTATGAAACAAAGTACTTACCAACATAAACATTGAAGATACATTTACCAAGAGACATCATACAGCTGTATTAATCAAAAACTGCGAGTATATTACCCAAACTGCCAATACTGTGCTCATCAATTTATGGAATTTTCAGGTGGTAAGAAAGCTTTTATCTTCTATTGTAAAATTTCATGTTCTTAATTAAGGTAAATACTGTACATTCCTCCAGTATCACCAAATGCAAAAAAATAATAAAGTAAAATGGTAGAAACAATAAAAGAAATTCTAGACACTTATAAAAACAAAAACAAAAATACATAAAATTTTTAAAAATAGATTAAAACAAAGACAGAATCCCACAAGACGGTATAACAACCAACTTTCAGATCATTAGGTCAGGTCAAGTCAGGTCAGGTCTGGGTGGATCATATTTACTCTACCACGTGTTTACTGCCATAAATGATTATTTCTATACAAACTATGGCGCATCTCACTCACGGGTAATATTAAAAACCCAACCAACATCAATACTAACATCCATTATAATTACCATGATGTCGATTTTAGTCCTGAACAAAGATAGCATACATAATATACTCAAATGTGTACATCTAAGACCAAATGACACACCAATATGATGTTTTTCAAAATAAGAACAGGTTATAATACGTTAGTAGACACAATAGGTAAGTCACCACCACCTTGCCTGACACTACATCACTAATAACCAAACCAGGTCATTATTGTCAAGTTGTTTCTATGACAAGTTCTCAAAATGTGTTTTCCTATTATGATGTACTTGTTGGTCGATTAAAATGTTGTTTCCCTTCCTACACGTAGTAATAATGCCTTTGTTATTATCACATTGTTTGAGATAATTTACCTCAGAGCCAGCGGCAGTCTACAGCATCAGCCACATTAACAGATTATATTAACGACTCTAAATATGATAAAGCTCTATTATACTACGACTTAGCTATTCCCAGATGTACCTACCATCTTGGGATGCCATCATTGGGTACAGAGAGACAACTTTTGAGCATCAAATGAGATGAATTTGGAATTTATCCAAGCTTCACTCACAACCGCATCGATCAAACCAAACAATACAACTACGACTGCGCAGGCGCGAGCATTTTTATCTCTAATTTTCATGGAGTTCCCAAAAACATTTAAAAAGTTAATTTTCTACAATATTAATAATTCATATCAAATTAAAAAACATGAAGTATGTGGTTTGATTTAGATTTTAAAAATATATTTCTCAACCTTGCCATGTTATTTTATTTTTCATATATTTCTCATCATTTGTTACTGAAAATATTGGAATACTATCAAAACAGTACTTTTATTCCTCTTATATTTTTCTTAAATTTATAAAGAAAATAAATACATAATATTTAGTGAATTATGATATTTTTCATTATTTCAATATATTCTTTTTAATTTACTCAACTACTTTTAAGATCCTCCTCATGTTAAATGTTAGTCAGTTGAGAGACTATCAAAGTTTGTAAACAAGGTTGTGGTTCTGGTCCATCATTTCTCCCTCTGTACCGTCGAGGAGTTTAGGAGAAATACTCACACATGTAAGGCTAGACATAGTGTGTTTCAAATAAGACGAAAAATGTAAATATTTCCTTTATATAACTCGTGTATTTATTCATTGTTTCAGTCACTGTTACCAGATGAGGTGGGTTCATGTGTCTTGGAGGCGTGTAAGTAAGTTGCCTAAATCATATACTAGTGTTTCTGGAATAATTACTCAGTAGATAAGTACGCTGGCTATATTAAGTTAGGTTAGGTTCTTTTACTTATGTTTTTAATTCCACATTTACCCACTACTTCAACCCCATGCCCATCTTTGTTGGGGGTTAATGTTGACAGAATAGGAAAGGATGTAGATCAATAATTATGCATTTAATAAAACTGCATTAATAAATTGTTTGCGGAATAAGTACCATTAAATATAACAAGGACTCCGAAAAATGTAAAGAACTTACCATTAGAACACATGGGTTATCACTGCTTGTAGTTACCTGTAGTATAGATATTTCCCGCTCCTTGTTCTCTCATTTTTATATAGCAATCATAATGTTTTCAGAGTCAACTACCTTTTGTGATAAGCTGTTCCAAGGGTTAACAACTCAGTGGGTGAAAGAATACTGTACTGTACTTTGTTGTTTGCATGGGTCTGATTTGTCCAAGCTTTGTGTAGCTATGTCCTCTGGCTTCAGTATCTCCTAGAGCAAAAAAATAAATGCCTGATTTAACATTCTCTAAATATTTCATAATCTTAATTGTTACAATAAATTTTCCATGTATGTAGTCCCGTGTCGGTCAACTTTGGAATCTCAAGCATTTTTAGTCTCCATTTTCCAGAATGTTTTTTTCTTGTTGGAGATATGGGCACCAGACTTGGACACAGTACACAGTATACTCTACAGTCTACTGCTGTTGACAGATATGAAGCTTCTGTCATTGATATAGCTGAAGTTGCGGCATTAAAGATCCAATATATGTACCGGGAACTGTTTGTTTTGGCAGCAATTACTGATATTAGTACCAAATTTTAGGTCATTTGTGATGATGATTCGAAGGTCCTTTTCTTTTGTGCCAGTTACAATTGGCTGATTATTATCTAGTACAGTACAGTACAGTATATAAATTTTTTTTTTTGATTACCATGTCCAAAGTGTAGTTTTGAACTTTGCTGCATTGAAGGAGAGAAGCCGTACATCAGACCAATTTTCTATTTTCTGAATATTTTCTTGAAGAACTCTTGCATCTTTTTCTGATCAAACTTTTCTATAAATCTTGGTGTCATCGGCAAAGATATGACACTTTGAACTTTGAATGGAGTTTGTTGGGAAGATCGTTATTAATACGTATATAGATCAAGAACACGGGTCTAAGAACTGAGCCCTGTGGGACTTAACTCATGACTTCTGATATTATTGAATGCTGGCCTCTGACAATTACTGTTTGGCGACAGTTTGTGAGAAAATATTTTATCTTGTGAGCACTAGTCTACTAGCCCAACATTCTGAAGTTGAGGGCTAGTTGTCCATGGGAACCGTGTCAAAGGCTTTGGCAAAGTTAAAGTAAATAGTGTCAAAGAGGTTTCCCATGTCACTTAACTCTATCCAGTCATTTATTATAGACAAGAGATTTGTGAGACATGATCATCCTTTCCGAAAGCCACGTTCGTTGTTACAGAGAATGTTGTTTACTTCTAGCAAGTTCACAATTTTCCTCCTCACCAAGGTATCCAAGACCTTTCCTACAATGCTGGTTAGACTATAAGAAGAATTTTTTTTAGTATGGACTGAAAAATTATAGATGCAGTTTAATGTGGAAAAGTAAAGTTCTAAGGCTAGGGAATGGAAACAGAAATGAGCTATCAACTGCTCTCTGCAGACATGAAGAAATGTGATTGTGAAAAAGATTTAGGGGTATTGATATATAGGAACTTAAAATGAAGCATTAGTAACAGTACAGGTGATGTTATCCTTAAATTATATCTTGAGTATGTGAGACCACACTTGGATTATGCAGCTCAGTCTTGGCCACCGTACCGTACAATAGAATTGATAATGATTCCATAGAAAAAAATCTAGAAGCTAATCCTGGACATTAAGAACCTTGAATATGAAGACTTAGTTGTTTATACAGTATTCATTTCAGGTCTGAATACTGGAAGTCAAATCCACGCAAGTTTTGCGACTTTTGTAAATGTTGGATTGCAGACAACAAACCCAGTGTAGAATTCCATGAAAGAGGTAAACGACACAAAGAGAATGTTCAAGTGCGTCTGGCAGAGATGGGAAGGAAAGGACAAGAAGAGTATGAGGCTAAACAACAGGAAGGTGACTTCCTTAAAGCTATGGAGGAGGTGAGCTCGTGTGATCTTTTATTAGTTATAAGATCATCTACTGTATTTCAACAGCTACTCTAGGTTTACTGTATCATCTTACCTCCTCCTCACTTATTGCTTTGAAACTATTGAATCTACATTGTCTTACTCGGAATAACTCCACCTCACATTCACATTTCATTTTGTTGTTTAAAATACTTTCCACAACTCCCTTTTATTGTGATATAATTCTTCTTTCACTCTTACCAGGGTAACTGCTTTTTCCATTTGTTCTCATCGTTTACTCGCCCTATACAGTTTCCTCCACAAGTTACAGTATTAGCCTTTTTAACAGCCTTCCCCTCGCCTTTCATTTGCTTTCACATTCTTTCATCATTCTCTTGACATTGTTTCTAATTTCCCTGTCCAGTACCTCTTCTCCCTTGTGATGTCTTCCTTGTAATTGGCAGTCATATGTCCCTTTCTTCTTATTTAGCAGTGTCAACCTCAAATCTATTCCTTCTTCCTACTTTTCATTTTTAATCTCTTGTGTCCACACTTCTGAGCTACACATTTTGTGACAGCCACCCGAAACACACTCACAATTTGGCACTGCACAACAATATTCAGGCACACAATCCTGGGGGTTCCTGTCAATGTTTATTCAATAAACCTTCTGTTGATGTGTGCAGTAAAAACAAATTTCCACTATGTGCAGTGTTCATAAAAGTTGAAAGTTCTTAAAAAAGTAAAATAAATAAAAAATCATCTTCCAAAAATGAAGATATGCATGTGGGTTAATGGGAAATTAAATAAATAATTTATCTAGTTTGGTTTAGGAGTGGGGAAAATCTCCTATAGCTATGTCATGAAGTACAATAGATGGTGTATGTAATGTGCAGGTCAGAGGTGTGGCATATGGGACACTGTATACTGTAGATGTGTCACTTGCCATACAAATTTGAAAATTTATATAAGAGTCTTGGTTGCCTGCTGAAATATTGCAGCCTTAATTGCAGACCATTACTGCTTTTCACAGCTATATAGTTAATAAACTGTTGTGAAACTTTTAAGAAATTCCTGCTCTCGCATTTCAATTCAGTACTGTACATTATATAGTTTTCATTACAGTATGTTTATTAAGCCCTATGCTACTACAGTATTGTGCTGTATGTATTAATTTCCAGTATACTCCATTAATATTACTAAAAAATATTCTGAACTAATGTTTAAACTAATGTACAATAATATTTCTTTTTCAAAAAGGCTGCTTTAAAAGCCTATAAGAGTGATATTGAAGCAAATCCTGATCTAACGGGGACCAAGATCAATGAGATAGCTGCAGCCAGTAATGCAGAGATTGTTGTTGGTAATAAAAAGACGATAGAAGACACCAAGACTTCAGATGCACCCGTGATAAAAAACTGGTATGAGGCCCAATCACCAGAAGGATACACCTATTACTGGAACACTGAGACAGGAGGTAAGAAGGCTATGTTACTACAGTACAGTCTGTTTGTGGCAAATAAGAACAAAAAAAAAATCCATTTTATAGTAATATCTCCATACATCCAAGTCATTGTACAGCACTTTTCCTCCCCTTTGTGTTAGGCACTATATCACAGAACTACTCCCTGCCTCCTCCACAATATAAACCAATCCTTCGGTGCTATTTGAAACAGTGCGAGAGTCAGAGTTGGTTATGCTCGAGATATGAGATGTTCGAGAGTGTCCAGTATGATCAATCTCTCTCTACCTATTTATAATATTATTGTGTTCAAAGTTTTACCTACTTTCAGAGTCTAAATGGGAGGTGCCAGAGGAAGGATTTCTATCCACCAGTGAACAAGAAAAACTGAACAAGAAAAACACTAAAGATTCAAACTCACACACTAAAAACAGCATCAGTAAAAAAGAGTCACCAGCAGCTAAAGTCTCCAGCAGTAAAAGTACCAGTGTATCGTCTCAACCCGTAACATATGGACCAGCAAAGAAAGCTGAAGCATATTCTTCCTGGCAACAAGTTCAAACGTAAGCAGTCTAAGGTTGTGTATTATATCCCGCCATGGCTTAAACAGATTATATTTATACTCTTGTCATAGATTCTAATTACAGCTTTCAAATGACAGTAAGACCTACACTGAGAACAAAAAGCAGCACCATCTGAGCTAATATCTATTACTGTGGCTTCCAGTACTGTAGTGTGATATCCCTTTTCTGTCTGCCTGTTAATATTTTTTCCAAATAAAGTAACCAGAGAAAACCATATATAATTTTTAATCCTCATGGTCCATAGATGTGCCTTTTAGAAAGTGAATTTGTAGGGATTCGTGATAATCTTCATAATTTCTTAGACCTCAGTTGCTAAAGCTTGTTTATTTTTGATACTGTATATGACATCAATCATTATATAATTTTTCTTCTTCCGTATGTAAAAATTATTTTGGTAAAGTTTATGAATATTTGAAACAATTGAAATAATCAAGAAAGGTTGACACGTAAATAAAATTTCACCTCTGGGTGCCGGGTTTCGAACCCAGACCACCAGCAATGGTAGTAAGGAAGCTTATCCACTAGACCACGATGTGCTTAAAAGCTACCCCACCTTAACTACTCAGTTGTAGCTTGAGGTTCCCCGCCCACTACTGTGAACCTTGAAGCAGCCTGCCCACACTTGGGTCCCAGACAGCTTTCAATCAAATTTCCAAATAAACCAGAGGTGAAAATTTTTGACACTGGTTTACCTGTGTAGATGACAGGTTCGGATTTAAAGGTTTACATGTTTCTGGTACAATATATCTAATTACATTTTAGCTGAGATAAACTAGCCATAAATTTTATGTTGACTAACAATCTTTATACCATTTCCCACAGCTTGTAACTGCAGATAATTAAAGATTGTTCACTTAATTAGGTCTTTAACATATCTGTTGGCCAGGTCACTGCACACTCCAGCACAATAATGCCTCACCAATCACTCCTGACACAAAATTAAACTTGTGTTTCATATGTAAGAGTTCAGAGTATGTCAAGTTGTTTTATGTTTCTTTCTCATCTTTCAGTGAACCTCAGCAACCTGCTGTAGACTATCAACTCCCACAAATTGTTGAAGAAGGTTATTATGGTCCAGAGGTGTCGATTAGAAAACAAGAAGTCTCATTCAGAGAAAAAACTGTGACTCTCTCATCAAGTGATCGAGAGAGCCTTGGAAATATTGGGTTTAAGAAGAGAAAGGCTGCACAGGACAATAAAAAGAGCATGAGAAGAAGAAATAATGATTTATAGTCTTTAAAATAGGAAAATTTATAAACTTTATTATTAAGATATTTTAATACCTGTTGGTATAAATAATAATTACATGTGAAAAATTAAAGTCTCCCATATCATTTTTAGTTTCCTTATTCATTTTTTTTATATAACTTATACTAGTCAGCATGCACACAACAATAATGAAGTTTTAGTACAGCAGTGTACTGTATATGAGTATTCTGTATCAAATTCCTTCCAAAGTTAATGTTGGGTGTGAAGGTATGGTAGAATACTTCCAAAACACTTTGTTATGATCATTTCACGTGTCAGGTTTACAGGACCTGCTAGTGTAGTTACAAAACATTTTTAAGGCCATGAGATGAATGATGAAATTAACATACAATCACAAGGAGACAGACATGATGGAGGGACTGCTTCAGGTTTCAAAATCTGGCCATACCAAACACATCTGATTTGGCCATAAGACAAGGGAAGAGAACCATTTGTTCATACAAATAGCAGGAACATATAGACAGGATGGGGGGGGGGGGCTGCTTCAGGATGCAGACACAGGTGAAACCCTGGGATATGAGAGAAGATATATATACAGGATACCAATATCAGAAATGCAGTCCCTTGAGAGATGTGTCTGGAGTTTGGGAGTGTATGGCCACTGACCACTAACTTGTACTTCAGAGGAAATTTGACTCGCGAGAATCCACATCAAGAGTGGAAAAGACATTTCTCCCATGTTGGTACTCTTCAGGAATGTAACAGCTCATACAGTATATTTAAAAAAAAAAAAAATTGAAAAATAAATATGAACTATAAAAATCAGAGGAGCAAGTACAGTACTGTGTACAGAGCAAGATGTGGTCTTGGCTGATGAGGATTTCTTGTTTAGCTCGTAAGGCCTGGAATTGAAATTTATCTTAATAGAAAATGTACTTTTAGTTAAATTAGTTTAAAAATTAATATCAAAATATAATTTCATTTTAGTAATAAAGATTACTAATTATAAGATAACTGAAATAACCCAAACAATTAAACCTGTCACTCAAAGTAGGTAAGGCATTATGAACTATTGAGGAAATGTCAGAAAAGTAGTTAAAATTATTGGCTATGTTAGGTGCACAAGCTACAAATAACAAATTTGTATTAATTCTTCAGGTATTAAATTTAGTACATTAAGAGTACAAAATAAACAAGACTAAATTAAAGCAGGAGTATTGTTTGATCCCACATGCATGAAGTTATGTGTAAAGTTTAACCAAGAGTTCATTGTGGTTATGGACTAAGGCAAAGTTTTATCATTTTTTTAAGACAAATTATTTTTCCTAAATCAAATCTCAATATCTTTGTTCCTCTCTCACCTTTGTGTCAGAGATGAAGGGGAACACTAAGCAAGGTGGTGCAAAACTAAGTAAATCAACACTTTTGGATACATCACATTTAATATTTATAAAAATAAAATTGTAACATCTCTCAGTCTTTGCTACATAACAAGTTGCAAACAACAAGCTCTGATTTAATTAAGCATCTCTGTAACGATGACCAGTGTCTGCATTCAAAGACTTTAAAAAAAGGACTAAGTTTTGCCGCTTTTTCTGTACCAAGGTGGTACCTAAGTTTCCAATGACTAAGTCCATATGAAGAGAAAACTGGGAACAGTTGTCGGTCAACAAAGGAAAAAATCTTATTTAATTTTTTAAAAACTTGATTAAAAAATAATAATTTAAATAAAATAAATCAGATTATTTTTATTATAAATAAAAAATAAAAAACCCTGTTCAGTATCTTACCAAGGTAATCGTCCATGAGGGTGCCAATAGCAAACTGGAAGGAAGACAAACATAAGTTGCATTAATAATAAGTAATATTTGAACAAATGAATGAATGACTGTGTGTGTGTGTGTGTGTGTGTGTACTCTTAGATCACAGCCAACCTGCCAGGAATTAAATATTTGTCCAATAAATCTCTACAGTACTTGCTTATGAAGTAAAATAATAATTTTAACAAAAAGTGGTGGGAAATAAAACCTGTTCAAGATCCCTTCCAGGGAACAATTTTAATGGTAGAGTTTATCTTATAAACAAGGTCACAGATTTAATTCCTAACTGGAGTGTAAGACTGAGCTTCCTCCTTTTACACAAGGCAACAATAACACATGAGTACACTACTGGGTGTATCTGTTGAAGGAGACACAACCCTTCAGTAGACACACATCCCTCCAAGGATGGGCTGACCATCTGGCAGAGGATGTTAAGAACTGGGGGTTCATTAATAAAAAAATCATACAGAACATTTACACAATTTGATTAAATTTGGGATGGTGTAGTTGATAATTGACTGACAAATAGACGTAAAGCTATCACACTTGCCATGAATTTTAGATAAGTGACATACTAATATAACTAAGACTACTGTACTGTATAAAAGGAAGACTCGAAAGTTTATGCAGACATTTTGTTACAAAAGTCTATAAAATTGGAATAATTACTCATATGAGACAACTGAAGGTACAGACACACACACACCATAAATTAAACACAATGTTGCTATGCCAAAGAATGCAATAACTTACGATGTCAGTAGCATCTACTCTGGTACCAACAATCTTCACTCTGATCTCATCATCGGTCTGTATGACAACTTCCTGGAAACGTTGAGATACAATGTTATTAGAAAATGTTTCCTTATATTTTTCTAAAGAAAAGCTGCTCACTACATTACTTTGATAAGACAATGTTAAAAGAGTACAGTAGTACAGTAAGCATGAAGCACTTACTTTAATACAAAACAAAAAATATTACACTAAAAAATTTTCAATACAAATTTGTAAGAGATCAAAAGTGAATTTGAGTAAAGCAATGGCATGAAACTACTGGGGGGCTCAAGGGAGTGTAAGGCATTAAATGAATAACTTAAGAGTGATATTTCAGCAGTCCTTTACCTTATTATCTATTTTTGAGTGCTTACCTCATCTCTGCTCTTGTAACATGGTGGATTGGAGTTGGGGTCAAACTCAAGATCTTGTGGAATAGACTGAAAGGAAGGAAAACACACAAGATTAGTGTCACAGCATTTTTTTATATTCCGGCCGTGTTTTCTGATGTCCAAGTAAACTGCCCAAAGAGGACTTGAGGAAATTAGAAATGAAGGAAACTGTGGCTTACATATTGTGAATTAATAAAAAGCAAGAACTTCAGCAACTCTGTGAACACATTTATTAAAAAAAATAAATTAGTTAAACTACTAAAAAAAAAAAATTATACTCAAGTTATAGTGAGGATGAAAAAGTGACTCGAGGCTTTCACAGAGCTTGAACAATTCACAAATATTATTTCATATACTTCTCTATATAAATTACGATGTTCGGCTGCTCTCACCTCTGACTTATAATTATTTTGGAACATTACTGTTTTATATCCACACATAAAGTTTTAGTAAAGGTGTCCCCATGTATGCTTATGACACAATCCACACTTGCCCTTACCCTATTCAACCACATAAGGATAAACAATTCAGTACCATCATTACCTTCACCATCACGCCCACCACTGTTGTACGCAATGGTGACACTCATATCCATCATCGACATTTCTCAAAGACGAAGAAATTGGAGAGAACCACATAAACTATCTATACATAATGTTTATTACAAGAACACCTCACAACTATTTCTGAACTGTTTGGAGAAATGTACATTAACTGAAGTCACCATTAGAGCATATAAAATTATAGGGTAACCTTCAATATACACTGTACCAATGTTTTCACTGATTCAATATTTAAATGACTAGTGTACGCTTTAAGACTTACGGGAACTTCCTCACAAAAATATTAACAAGGTAACTCACATGTCTGGAAATAAAACACTGCATAGGTCCAATTTCACAGAAGAGACCAATCTTATTAATTTGGGTGACGACAGCATCAAGAACTTCTCCTTTAAATGGGCGGAAGACAATAGCTTTATACTGAAATGAAGAACACATAATATGGTAAATGCCAGCCTTTATAGAAAGTATATAAATGTAACTTCATCAGTCAAAATAAGAAGAAAACTTTTGTGACAATAAATGGAAGCTGTAGAGAGAATTGAGCAAACAGTGGGCAGCAAACGCAGTACGTACTGTAGTACAGGGGAAGGTTGGATGGATCAATTCACACACAAACTGACAGTTGAAAGCCACTATGATCTTTAAACTTATTTTTTCCATGGATGGAGAGACAATTACAGTAAAGAAAAAAAATGGAATTGATGAAAAAACAAAAACATTTACGACTGAACAACCAGAGAAGTGATATGCATAACTGTACATTTTGTATTCATTACTGCACTGTTTTTGATAAGAAAGACTTACTACCTTCAAGTAATGAATAATTTGTACAGTACACTGTTAACTTACTTTAATAGGATATAAGACAAATCCTCGACCAACTTGGATCATGCCCGATCCAATATGATCAATTGTTGTTACAGCAATGACGAACCCATATCTGTCAAAATACTATAGTTTATCAATCTAATATTAAAAACAATAAAAAATTATATGCTTTATAATGCCAGATCATGAACTGGGCAGTCATTTGGCCCAGTTTATGAAATGGGCTCCTAGCTTAACCAGGTTAGGTTAGATTGAGTTTGGCTGGTTCAGGTAAAGTTAACACTCCATTTCATAACTGGGAATATCATATACATACAATATTAGCATTTTAACAAAATGTGATGATAAGATATGAGAGAACCAAGATTCAAGAAAGTGCAGTTCTGTTTTCCTTACTTTCCAGTACATGTTCCTTCCACTTCTGTAAAGAGCATCTGTCGCACTGTGTCCATTAACTGTGGACCGAAGTATCTTGGATGTAACAATATCTCATGTTCCAGAGAGATCTGTCAAAGGGGGAATAACCATGTGATCATAGGTGTAAAAAACCTTAATACAGGGTACTCTATGAACGGTAAATACCTAGTAAGTATTGTGAAAAGATAAAGTGAACTTGTATAAGGATTTTACTCAAAATATAAATATTTACAGGTATATTTTACACATGACAATACTGTACAGTACAATAGAACACAAGACCACTGGCCTTCTCCCCTCAGCAGGGTCACCTCTAATTTGAGTGACCATTAAGAAAATAAGGTAAAAAGTAGGAAGCAAAGGCACACAACTCATCTAGATTAGCACCTGCTTACTTTTTCATTCATATCACTTGTCACTGTACAATATTCTCTCTGCTAAACTACCCTCTCTAGTGCTTAACAACATGCAGTACTCCATGTAACTCGGATAGCATGTAGTTGTGCACAATAACGGTATGACAAAATTATACACATTACCAAGCATTAGGGTGAGATACCAAGAGCTCTGAGCCACTACTGTTATTATCATAGTCAAGCATAAAACCCTGACAGTACAGTACTATGGACTAGACGACTCTATCAACAGAATACCGGTGCTTCATTTACTCTTATATCTATAAATATAATCAACTTATAAGTCTGTTCTCAAGGGGTAAAGGTGAATATTTCCTTACATGATAAAACATAGTGTTATAATGTGTCCCCTAAGAGGATCACTCCCGCGTCTCCTTCCGCCACAAACGTAAACAAACTCTAATTTTATTTAAAAGGTTTGTCTGCTTTCCGCATGTTATATATGTTATTAAATTAAATTATACCATGTTTAGTACAATACATTATATTATTAAAACTTAATTTTCTTCTCAAAAAGCTATAATATAATTGAGACGACACAGATGCGCAACAATTACTTCATATATTATAACTTAGCTTTTGAATCTATAAAACATTACTATAATTATAAAATTAATATAAATTCTAATTATAAATAAAAATAGTATAGAAAATTATATTAAATCTTTATTTGTATGAAGTTTATATAATTCATTAAAGATACTCATGTGTTTGTTGACATCCCGTCCTTCGTGTGCTGCCTCCACTGTCGTGCGGGTGAGGATCTAACCTTCATATTTTGTACCGTCAATTATCTTCATCATCCTGTGTTATAAAGTGATGTAGTGCATTTCAATTCGTGTTGTATGGTATATTTTATTTTTTAACATGTACAAATTTACATACATGATTAAAATTTAGGTGATTTTCTGAGATGGAATTTGGTAAACATTGTAAGTTTCAGTTGATATGAAAATCATAATCATAAGTATTTTCTCTAATATACACTTGCCATCTTTTCGAAACATCACTATGGGTTTCCTATATCACGAAGGTTTTGCTGGTTGCCGGAATAATTGATAATAAACAACCTTATGTTAATATTATGGCATATTTCCATATGTATTTTACTCCATCGGTGACTCCTGGTGGATATGTTGTAGTCTGATGTCAGTGTGGTGGAGAGGCCAGGGAAAACACGCTAAGGCTGTGTTTGTAGTGATGTTATGGCGCTTTTTACCGTTTAAATCAGTATGATGAAGCTCAACACCTTTGTATCTTAACGTAGAAGTCTTTTATGCGGGAAAAAAATGGTGAAGGCAACAAGTGTTTGCTAATAATTTACAACAGCGTGACATAATCCTATTAACTGTTAGATTTTAACAGGAATAAACTAATGGCTATTGTTAGACGTGTGTATAATGTATATTACTGGTTTTTTCCTAAATGAGACACCATTTGTGGTGATTAACCCCTTCTTTAAGGTGATGCCACTTTTAGTATTTAATTTATCTCATGCCAAATTGAAGTAAGGTAGTAGAATGAAAGAAAGGGTAAAGTTTTAATTTCGGTCATACCTGTATATAGATATCCAAACTGATTTTTTACATATATGGGTCTTTGTATATTAGTGCACCGTTCTATCTAACTTAACTTAATCAGAGCCCCGCTGGAACACCCCCCCTCCCCACCTGATTACATTGGATTAGGGTTGGGGTGATTTTTTTTTTTTTTTTTTTGTTACACTTCTAATACCCCTAGAAAGAACGGTGCACTGCTATAAATTACCCAGATATAAAGGTCCAAATCATTCAAACTATGTCAAAAACCATTGGTAAAACAAGTTTGGATATCTAACCTTTTTCCTAAGATTCCCCAGATGACCGAAACAAAAATAATGCCAAAGAAAGTGAATCCTCTTTCCCCTTTTAATTTCATACAAAAGTGCACTCTAGAATTTAATTGCAGTGTCTAATATAAATTTTATTTCCGATTTTGTATAGTTTCGTTCCTGCTACAATTAATTTTATTTTTCAGGCAAGAGAGAAATAAAAAATGGCCAAGTCCAAGAATCATACCAATCATAATCAGAACCGCAAGGCTCACCGGTGAGTGTGTTATTGTTGATGGTACGGTACAGCTTCTTGATAGAGCATGCTAACAATGCTCTGTGTTTCTCATTATTGCATGGCAGTGGCTCAGAAAATTAGAGAAATTTTTATGTAGTTATTTTAAGGATTTGCGTGTCTTTAATTTAGTTGATCATTGAGGGTTAGTTGTAGTTCATTCAACTGAAGTTATATAATTGCCAAAAATATATACCTTTGAGTTTTGTTGGGAAGCTTTCATTCTGCCTGCTTTTGCGAAAGTAAATTTCTTATAAATCTTTGTATGACTATACTGAAGTAAAACACTTTCCTTAGACTACAGTAAATATATTAATGGTACCTAATTTTTCAGTAATCCCATTCGCCGTCCCAAGAAGCAAAAGCATCCATCTATGCGTGGGGTGAGTTGTATATTCCTTCTCTTTAGTCCATGTGTATGTGTAAGACTGCTATACTGTACTGAGTGGCACATGAAGAAGGGGACCACATTTTGAAAAGGTATAAGTATAGGATGGCTAATTGAATAATTTATTCATTTATATAATAATAATTAGGGTTACCGTTTGTGTTCGAGGATGGCTGGCTGGCCTTTGGGCCACCAAGGTGTAAAAGCTGTCGCCAACACGACAACTACACACTAAGTTAATGAGCTGCCTGACCCAGTGTTTAGGAATAATCTGAGAAGACCTGACAACTCACCAACTGCACTGGCTATCTATTACCTCAGAATACGATCCACAAATTGATTAGCATCCAGGTCCTCAATCGCTGCTGGGTAGACAGAGGCAAATGGCACAGTTCACCATTATACAGTATAAAGCGTAGCACTTCCTGGGTTATGGATGGGTTTATAAAAGTATTCATGTGTCACTACAACCTTAAAATGCATTGAAGTTTATATTGCTTTGTGTCAACTTAACATGTGCAGAAGACCAAAAGTAAAATTGTGTACTGGCTTGCAATCCTTCTGAACTGCTGTGTATGTGATCAAACCACATGGTTGATATAAGTACAGATAGTACACACATTGTACGTACAGTATATGATGTGTATATGATAAAAGTATTCGTGTAATTGTAGGTACTTCACCCAGTAATGTTTCTTGCTGAATGACCTTTTGTGTTTTATGTGCCTATATTGTTTAGACATTCTATAAGCTCTCAGAGAAATAGGTGCAAGTTCAGGGCAGAGTATGCCAAACCCCCCAAAAAAGTGATCAAGTTTCATGTCTGGAATTACTTTCAAACTTTTCAAGTATATGTCAACTGCAATTCTAATTTACAAAATAATATACTTTATGAAAGATTTGAGCATTCTCGGTATGAAATTTAAGAAAAGTACAGTACAGGTATATGTCAACCGAAAATCTATAAGTACATACAGTACTTTGCAAAATAATTTATTTTACCCAAAAAAATTGCGCTCTAGTCATGAAATTTAAGAATAATGAAAACAATTATTTTAGTTTATTTTCCTCATTTTACAAAAGTGTAAATGAAGAGAAATTGGACTAGCTATTGGGTAATTAACTTGTTATCTGTGTGTGTGATGGTTTGAGTGACGTGTCTACTGTACTTTTCTCCTAAGTTTGAATAAGTTGTATGTTGATTGTAGGAGAATAATAATGCATTGAAAGTTTATTTGTAGACTTGATAACATTGAGTGTGTTAGAGAATATATTGAATTATGTTAATGTACAGGAATTTGCAGAATTTAATAATATAACCATATAACTATGGTTAATTACATGCTTTCCATTCATGATAATATCCAATTTGCAGAATTGTCTATTGTACAGAAGCCTCTTGGTTCCAAACTATTTGGTTGACAGATACTATACATATTTTACTGTAGTAAGACAGACATTGAAAAGAACTTGAAAACTAAAAAGTGTATTAAGCTACAAAATCTGATATCTAAAGAGAATGCATGAACTGTAGACAGAATTAAGTTGTCATTTCGTTTACTAGTTGAACACAACTTATAACTGCAAATTCATCACTCGGTAAGAAATGCTCTCACTCATCTCTTGCAGGCAAATACTATTTTCCAGAGTACTTTTTCATCCCAATTTAATTTTAAATATGGTAGACACATTACTGGGCTATGAAGTATAGAATATAAGGATATTTCCATTATTATTGTAATGTACAGTAACTTATAAATATTGTGTATTTCATTTTCATTACAGGTTGATCCCAAGTTCTTAAGAAATATGAAATTTTCCCGCAAACACAACATCAGTGGCAAGAGACAGCGAGAGATTACGAATCAAAGAGCAGCAAAGCGCGAGAAGCATGCCGCTGCTAATGCCACTGCTGCTGTGTAGCAAGTGACTTGGGATGTCCTTCCTTTCATGTACAAGTGAAAAAATAAATAAAGTTAGGGGGATATTTTGTTTTGTTTTTTAATATCTTTACCTTAAATATGATTTGTATTAGTTTCAGAAACTGGAACAGCGTTACTGTACTGTATTCATTGTCTGCTCGCTGCAGTAGCATTATTACAATTGTACTGTCCTTGCATTATTGATTACTGTACCTAAAAGCCAGCATTTGCTGTAAGATTGTATCTTGCAGGAACATTGTGGGAGGTAAAAAGGGCCAGTTTGTGTTAGGTTTCCTGTACTATACGGTACCTGGAAGTTTTGACTCAATTGGCGAGTGAGTGAAAGTCCCTGCCAGTCACAGTTGCATACATACCTCTGTAGTTGTTGATTTGTTTATGGGAGCAGTGGGATGCCTACTGCATAACATTTACCACTGGCAATTTATACAATGTCTTTGGTGAACTTAAAGAGGTTGCTGTAGGTAGTGTTTAGAAAATTAAACCGAAAGAAATGCCATTTAAAACTGCCTAGAGAATAATTGCTTGGAAAATGTGCACAAATTTAAAGTGGAGGAACACGAAACCAATTAGTTTTGGCTGCTGTATAAAGATTAAAAGGGGTTGGCCTCTGTTAAGTGTGGTTAACTTGAAGACGAACTGATAATGACTGCACAGGGTGACCTGGTATCAAGATAATCTGTGGACAGGTATCATAACATTTAAATGTTTCGTGCTTGAAGCTCAAAGACCAAGTACAGTACTGGGTGATTACAAAATAATGATCACTGCGATTTTAAACACGAAAAACTACAAAGCTATTGCCCCCCCCCCTCAAAAAAAATATATATTTATATATAGAGAGAGAAAGGATATGTTTTATTTTCAAGTTATAGAAATTTTAAAAAAATCTTTTCGCGGTTCTGCTGACATCAAAGCGATAGTATGTTTACTTCCATATTTTTGAGGGCTATTATACGGAACTTTTTTAACAACCTGCCACTGTACAGACATCACACGCTTAAAGACCCTCATTGTTGACGTGCAGTAATAACAACAAACTGCTCAGGTCGCTCTGAAATTTCAGAAGAGCATGATTATCGCAGATGAAGTGTTGCTATCTACCCGGGTATGTTTTCTGTCACATTCAAGTTTCTGGGGGTGTCGCTCACAATTCCCTTCTATATGTACTACTGTATTCATGTCATCTTTTTGTTTGTGCAGACAAGTCTGAGCAAAAGTTTGAGTGTGTGTAACTAGCAGGGTTTAGTAAGTAACAAAATAAGTAAATCTTGTTAGTGAATTAGCTTGCCTCCAACAGTACTATAAAAGAGCAGAACAAAAAGTGCAACTATCATGAGAAATTTGCCCCTTGCATACAAGTAATTAATTTGCGTCATGCTATTGACCCAAAAAAACTCACTCCATGCTGATTCTTTTATACGAATTTGCCAGATATCATACAATTATCACTATCAAAAGACGCCTACGTGAGTATGTACTGTATGCTGCAATGCTGAAATGAATAACATCGGCTGACTTTCTTTAGGCATGAACTACTGGACCGTAAAATATCATTTGTTGAATTATAATTCGTAATAGATATTCTCGACAAAAACTGCGACATTCGAACTAGTTACGAGACTTGCCCGTGACTTTTACAAATTAGCTCATTGCCAGTCAATTGTCTGCTGCTTTTATTTTCGTGCAGAAAAAAAATGTGTGGCAGAGAGGCGAGGAGAAAGTGTTGCGACCTCGGGAAGTTTTACAGGGAAAGAGCAACACAAAACGAGTGTTGCTGCCGTAACCAGGGTAGGTGGTGAGGAGACGGACTGTGAATCAAGAACTATAAACAGTGTATGATCCTTGTTGTGAATGTCAGTATGAATTCTAGTTTTTTGTAGGTCTGTACCTTTATGCCTGCTGTGCATGCAGGAGAGCCAAGTGTACTGCCCATCCGTACTTCTCACCCACACACTGATTAACAGAGTATCCCGTGTGGATAAAACGTGTTTTAAGCTTCACTTACGCATTCATAGGTTAGCCTGTTCGTTCATCAATATACCTGTATGTATATATATATATATATATATATATATATATATATATATATATATATATATATATATATATATATATATATATATATATATATATATATATATATATGCTGATAACCTGGATCACGCGCACCTACTGTACAGTGATTTACTATATATATATATATATATATATATATATATATATATATATATATATATATATATATATATATATATATATATATATATAACCTCTAGTTATTATGTTAAGTTGCTTGAGCATCCATGAGAATATATTCTGTACATATTCTCATTAGTAAAAATGTATTTTAATTTAGTGCGTTATCCACTGAACCGAATTCCAGCGGTAATAATCCAAATGACTGCGAGGAGACCGACGCGCCTGTACAGTACTGGCGTCGTTGTGAGCTCAGTACCTGGGTAGCCTCACCGTGTGGTAACTAGAGATGACTCATATCAAGGATTCTAATATTGTATTAGAATCGCTGCTTAGATGAAGCATTCTTAGTTTTTAATTGTTGTTAGCCATAGTCTCTTTGTTAAACTAGAATTCGCGCTAATATATAAACTTCATAGACGTCATATAGTACTTACCTGGCTGGCAACTGTCGACAATCTACTTCCTACTGCCCGTAACAGTTGAGTACGTCGGCCCGCCCCTGGGCCCAGGAGGAGTATCCCGGCCAAGTGGGAAATCCGAATATCCTTATCCTAAGGCGTGTGTGTAATAACCCCGCCTCAAGGTCACCCATGGGTGTACCCAGCCACCTCCTCGTGTCCCTAACCTTCCATTAATTCTGTTACACAATTTTCCCCGTTGTTCTGTAACATTATTCATGAAGTATAAAGCGGTCAGGTCGTGTAGTGACTCCGAAGCCGAGCGAGAACTAAAATAGAACTGAAGGTGTCACTCAGCAACAAGGATCATTAATACACACTTGTACAATATTCTCAAACAAGATGTGGTATTTCCTGGTCTGGGTTGTGAGGGACCTACTGTATGTGTAGGCCTAAGGAAGAAGATAAGGCCAAATAAGTTACCTGGGAAACCCAAACTTGACCACGGGGATCATCGTGTCCTGGTGGTGGTCGTGGGCCATACTTGTTCTTGTTGTGTATGTCATTTTGTGCATTTTACAGGTATTATATATAAAGAAATCACAGTAAATTATGTTGGGAATGTGACGCTGGATGGCTGGCTCTCCCTTCATTTACCTGTTGTGATTCTTCTTCCATAATAATTGCCTTAAAATATGGGTTCCCCGACACAATAAGACCCCAAAATAGTCAGCTGGTTTATTCCTGTCGCTTCACGCAACCCAATATTACCCATCACCAACACGACAATCACCATACACCATACAACACCATACAACCCAACATAACCCATCACCATACACCACACAACCCAACATAACCCATCACCAACACAACAATCACCATACACCACCAACACCATATTTCCAGGTCATGCACACAAACCACAGACTGCTTCATCTTTCCCCCAGCCAGCACCACCCTCACAACATAACCACTTTCTTTATCCTTCTCTCTTTCTTGCCATCCATCTCTGCATCATATACTGTTATCATTCTCACAGTTCGCATTCTTATATTACGCACTTGATTGTATTAAACACCGTTGTCAAGGAGCTTTAGGGTGACCTTGGTGTAATCTGGACCTCAAACCACTGGGCTGTTACATTAATGCATCTCCTTCTCACGACCACGACACAAACCAGCTAAGGAAGACAATAGTATCCAGTGTGTCAAAGTTACCCACGAACTGATAATATTGAATCAAACTTATATTAAAAAAATAGGACATTTAATGAAGTAATAATTAATGGTACAACTACCCAATGAGTCTTTCTTTTGCAGTTATATCTTGCTACACCTTCAACTACCTACATGGTAATTAGCCTGCCGTGAGAGAACACTAATTAGGTCAGGTAATCATGTGAGTCTTGGGTAGTAGTAATTATTTTGTATTGTGTTAAGATATCTCACAGGTTGCTGGTGAGTACTTGTGTAGCTCCTACCCCCGGCCCCGTCCCCATGCGAGTGTCCCAGGGGAGGGGAGGGGTCTGGACCCTGAAGGGCGCCCCTGGACCTCCTCATATATAAGGATGGAACGTCGTCAGTCTCCTACAGTACAGGACGCCTGTGGAGGAGGAGGTTTGGTGCATTGCTTCTCGTGCTCAGTACACTATTTATTTTAGTATTCATAAACTTATGGTGTGTTGAGTCATGATGTCTACACGTGAGTACTGTTGACTTTGTTATTATTATTTAGTATTCTGATGACATTGGTTCATATATCTTAGTTACATTTAATTTCTAATGATGTCTGAATGAGGTCGCTCTGTGATATATTCTTTACAAAGTATCTTAGAACAAACACATAAACCTTCAGACATTTAATATTTCTTTCTACTTTTGTCCTGGTGTGTGTGTGTGTGTGTGTGTGTGTACAGGTAGATGGTGTGTGCTGATGGCTACACTGGTGGTGCTAACAGCTACCTGCGCCCAGGAATGGTCATGGGGATCCTCTAACGCTGCTGCTCTGGAGGCTGGCAGGTCCCCCAGGGTGACGGGGCTACGCGAGCAGCTCCCCGTCCTCGTCAGCAGCGAGGGGGGCGTGTCAGAGATGGAGGAGACGGAGCCCAGGAGCTTTGGCCTCTGTAGGCTTGGTGTCGGTGTCAATGTAAGTTTGTGTACACAGATGAACAAACTCCGTGTACATGTTGCTAGTCCTCATTCTCTGTTATGTTGATGACGTGGTGTGTCTAAGAGAAGGTTCAACTGCCTCAACAGAAGCCTTGGTCTAGATGCAACAATAGGGTCGACGACTCGGTGTTTACCTCATGTCTTTTGTATCATTTCAGTGCCCGTCAAGGCCCGCCGATGCTGCTCCACCCAGTGAGAGGGTCGAGAGGCCCCACCTCGCCCACCCTCACCTCCGTCCCTCCCCCCCACACACAGGTGCTCCTCAACTAACACCGACCACAGTACAACAACACATTCACATCCACACTCACGCTCATCACAACCAAGAGACGCAAGACGAGGTAAACCCGACACAGGTGACTTCTCAGCTGCCAGCCTACCGTGAGGACTGCCGCTGTATGATCGCCTCCCACTGTTCTGCCCACGACGTAGTGTCTCGCCGTTCTCCTGACGATTACAACGGCCTCATAGTTCCTCGCTCTCGGTCGGTAAAAATTATCTCAAATTCCTCTGATGACGCCATTCCTTCTAAACCAAGTAGGAAGCAGGAGGAGGACTACACCAGCAGTAGGGGAGGCAGCGTCCGCGTCAGGAGAGACTCATTCCCCTCAGCCACCACCCAGGGAGTACGTGTTTACCACTATAACTCATCGCCTTAATTATTTTGTTTTATAGCTACTAGAAGCAGGGTTCACACACGGTGTATACTGTAAGGCATTGTAAGTCAACACATGAGACATCTGCAAGCAAGAAATTCATGTTAGTTTAATTTTAATTGCCGAGACATGGAACCTTAAATGAGACGTTTTGATGCACTTTACTGGACTAAATGTTTAATGTGCTAGACGCGTTAATTATGGAGACGATTTTCTCGAATAAATTTCAAGGAGTAAAATAAGAATGACTAATTACATAAATAACCCAGATAAAGTGAACACAAAGTTGGTAAAGTTATACGTACTTGTGTGCAGCGTGAGGGGGACGGCTACCTGCCTGGTGAGGGCGGCTGTGAGGCGGGGCTCGTGTGTTGCAGGAGTCCCCACATCCCCAGACCTCTCCACGAGCTCATCTGCGGCCGTCGTCACTCCCAAGGCGTTCTGGCCCGAATCAAGAACCCACACTTCGTCAAGGGCAACACAAAGTTCGGGGAGTACCCCTGGCAGGCGGCCATCCTGAAGGCAGACGAGGGTGAAGTTGTGTATGTGTGCGGAGCTGCGCTTACTGATCACCGCCACGTCGTGACAGCTGCACACTGCGTCAGTCGGTCAGTATTGTTGTGGTAGACTGAACCCTACCTGTTATAGTCTGATTATTGGTTCATCTTATAGCATGTTTGTGAAGAAAAATTATTAGTCAAACTGTAAGTAAGCGAATGAAGGAGAAGTTACGGAGACACGGCAGGAGATTGACACTTTGGTCTACAGGCTACAGGCGTCGCAGCTGAGGGTTCGTCTGGGTGAGTGGGACGTGAGGACACACACCGAGTTCTACGGCCACCTGGAGCTCTTGGTCGCTGCCGTCCACACACACCCGCACTTCTACGCCGGCAACCTCCACAACGACATCGCCGTCATCACCCTCCAGATTACCGTCGACTTCTCCGCCTTGTGAGTAACACACTCACCAGGGGTCACCACCATAAGTAAGGACTTGGTGTTTCTGCAGCAGTGAGTAAAGTTGGAAGGTGTAGACTGTAGAGTGTCACATAACTTGGCAGTTGTAAGATTGATAAACCTCCCACTCAACACATCTCTCCCCCACAGCCCACACATCTCGCCCGTGTGTCTGCCAGACAGCTACAGCAGCTTCGTGGGTCAGCGGTGCCACTCTACCGGGTGGGGGAAGGACGCCTTCGGCAGCGAGGGCAAGTACCAGACCATACTGCAGGAGGTGGAGGTGCCCGTGCTGGACCACAACAACTGCCAGGAGGCCCTTAGGCACACCCGCCTGGGCCCTGACTTCACCCTTCACCCGGGGATGGTGTGCGCGGGAGGTGAAGGAGGGAGAGACGCCTGCACGGTGAGTGTTTGTTCAGGTGGCGGTGAGTACAGCTGACGTGACACCAACACCGCCCAACAATAGTCGACACAGTCTCAGACAACTGTCAGTACACACAACAACGGGTTCACTTGAGATCAGTTGACAAACAGCGACTAATTTACCAGTAGTTAGACTTAAGTAACGGTGGTAAACCAGCAATGTTCACTAGACGTTATGAAACACCCAACAGTCATATTTTTTTTCTTATAGAATATAAGTAAAGACGCATATGGCGGCAACGCAACATTTTGTTCATTTTATGAAAGGATAATTATTAACACCCTGGCAGCCGCTGTTTGAGGTAGCTGGTCATTAATACGTGAAGAAGAGGCGGTAGGGGCGACCATACAGGGGTGAGGTCTGTCAGCATTAATGGGAGTTACTTGTCAGCATACATTTATTAGTTGAGGGAGATGATAAAATATAAATCAATTTTTGGTCTTTTTTTATTAATTAAATCACCTTTTACGGTTGTTTTAATAATCTGAAATAATTAAACGTTGTTTCTCCTGTGTCAGGGTGACGGAGGCGGCCCCCTGGTGTGCTCGGGTCCTGAAGGCAGGTTCCAACTGGCTGGCCTGGTGTCCTGGGGCGTCGGCTGTGGCCAACCAGGCGTCCCCGGCGTCTACGTCGACGTCGCTTACTACCTGGAGTGGCTTCTTGCCACGTCCGGCCTGATCTGAAGTTCAACACCAAGAATAACTTCTACGTAAACTGTATTAAACACCCTCTTGTGATAAAAAACCCACTAAATCAAATACGTAAATTTGACAAAAAAATAGTCATGGACAATGAAGCTAAAATTTTTATATCATCGTGTTTTTGTTATTACCCTAAATACTGAACTGTGAGAGATCCACGATGTAAACAATAAGTCCCAGCCAGTGTGTTGGTGATGTCACTCTACCTAAGTCTCTTACTCCTTCTAAAAGTGACTCTAAGCGTTACAGGTCTGTTCCTGGTCTACGGTGAAGAAAAGATCACTGGTCACAGCTGATCCTCACCACACACACTGCGACACACCTGCCTGATGTCACTACCATCCTGTAAATCAAGTCACATGAGCGTAATATATTCACCAATAGCAGTGCACATACAGGTAGTGTAATTTATACATTTCTGTATAACAAGTAAGAACAGTAGAAAGAACTCACATCCCCAAGGTGTCCCAGTGCCACAGACTGAAGACACTTGAAGCGGAACTGAATGGGTGACACACTTGAGTACATCATTACTACAGGTGATTTTCCCATCAGTAAATTGGGATTACCTGAATAATGAGTAATTAGTCCCTAACTTATTTCACCTTTAGATTAACCACCCTGAACCTAACCTAACCTAACCTAACCTAACCATCTAGACTACAGAGACTAGATCCGTGCAGGAGGTGAACTCGAGCAGCACCACGACAGGAGTGAGGGAGGGTTGTAGCCGCCCGTAGAATTAGTGGGCTCCTGTAAGGTGTTCAGAGGTGGGCGTGATACTGTTTTATACAACCTCTGTGTGTGTGTGTGTGTGTGTGTGTCAAGGAGTCTCTAAACAATTTCTGCTTAATATAGAGTAGAAAGTTGACTGACATTCTGAGTTAATCGACAGGGTAGAGTATACAGTATTTTTTCCAGGGCCTCAATCGACTCTTCCAGCCCCCCCCACCCCTTAGCTACGGGTTGGTTAATGTATATTTGTATATGTATGGGTGTATATATAGAGGTAGGAATGTATGGTGAACTTAATACTCCTCCCCATTGACGTCACGGATAACAACAAAGTCGTCATTTTAAGTCGTTTCCTACAATCAGCATTAATTATACTTCTCTTATAGGAAATAATTATCTTGGCGTCTTGGATTTTCCTATATCTGGCCTTCCTGTTTCCTGGGCTTTATGTTCCTTGGGCTTCCTGTTCCCTTGGCTTTATGTTCCTTGGGTTTTATATTCCTTGACCCTCCTGTTCCCTGGGCTTTATGTTCCTTGACCTTCCTGTTCCCTTGGCTTTATGTTCCTTGACCATCCTGTTCCCTAGGGCTTTATGTTCCTTGAGTTTTATATTCCTTGACCTTCCTGTTCCCTAGGGCTTTATGTTCCTTGAGTTTTATATTCCTTGACCATCCTGTTCCCTGGGCTTTATGTTCCTTGGGTTTTATATTCCTTGACCATCCTGTTCCCTGGGCTTTATGTTCCTTGAGTTTTATATTCCTTGACCTTCCTGTTCCCTGGGCTGTATACTCCTTGGTGGTTCGTGACAACATAACACAAGATAACAAGAGGCAAATATTTTTTACAGCTTTATAGAAGACAAAGTTTTCGGCATTGGTAAGTGAGGGTCATGATAGGTGAGGAGATGAGGGGTAATAGTGAGGGTGAGGGAGGTATAGGGAGGGAGGGACAGTGACAAGGGTGAGTGGGAGGGGGAGGGGGGTAGGGTAAGGGACAGGTGACAGGTGAGAGATGAAAGTGAAAGAGGAACAAGGTAAGTGAGAGCTGACACAGTACATTCTTCCAGGTAAGGTACTACACCCCTTGACCCTCACCTCCACACTCGTCAAGGTCACACACACACACACACGTCTTCTGAGTGTCTTAAGACTTCTCACATTCTCTTTCTCTTCTCCTCTTATTTATACTTATTCTTAATTCTGTTTCTTCACTTTCTACTTCAATTATTACCAATATTTTCCCTTTATCAATTACGTCACTCTTCCATTCGGTGATCTTTGGAAATTTAATTCTTTACTTGAATTTTTTTTTATATATAAACTAATTCCGAAATTTAACTCTCCCAATAAACACAAATTTGTTCTTTATATAAATTTCAAGATGGTTAATTCACTCTACAAACACCTAACCTAACCTAACCAATATATCACATTTCCCTACACTGCCTACGTATAATGTATACCCTATGTTGTGTGTATACATGCTGGGGTAGTGTATATTATTTTGTATATGAGAATTTAACTGGAGAGCTATCTACTGTCTCTCTCTCTCTCTCTGTCTCTCTGTCTCTCTCTGTCTGTCTCTCTCTCTCTCTCTCTCTCTCTCTCTCTCTCTCTCTCTCTCTCTCTCTCTCTCTGTCTCTCTCTCTGTCTCTCTCTCTGTCTCTCTCTCTGTCTCTATCTCTCTCTCTCTGTCTCTCTCTGTCTCTCCTCTCTCTGTCTCTCTCTCTCTGTCTCTCTCTCTCTCTCTCTCTCTCTCTCTGTCTCTCTCTCTCTGTCTCTCTCTCTCTGTCTCTCTGTCTCTCTCTCTCTCTCTGTCTCTCTCTCTGTCTCTCTCTCTCTCTCTCTCTACGTATATATTTATCCATCCATCTGTTTCTCGCTCTCTCTCTCTATCTATCTATCCATCCGTCCATCTCCATCCATCCATCTATCTCTCTGTCTCAACGTCCCTACCACACCTCCCCTCTCCCGGCCCGCTGTTCACTTACACACCAGACAACTCAGCGTGACGTAATTCGGCCGCATTAGCTTGTGAAAGGAGTTTAGAACGATAGCAAACAATAGAGAAGACAATAGAACTAATGAGAGACTATTGAAGAGGTTAATAAGAGACTCAGTGGGTTAAATAAGAGATGATAGGTAGATTGTGTAATAGGGAAATGAGATAGAAAGGGAGAGTGAGTATAAATGATGTAGTGTTTGAGGATCACTTGAAGATTAATCACCCTAAACCTAATCTAACCTAACCTGACCTAATCTAACCTGACCTAACCAAACCAAATCTAACCTAACTAAACCTAACCTAACACTTCCAGATATAGTGTTAGGTTAAATAAATTAATCTTCAGTTAAAATAAGCTAGGGTGTTTAATATGCCGAAGATCCGTGTTAATATTGGCTGGACAAGAGTTGATGACACACACACACGAACCAGGTCACCATCCCTCGCTGCCTTACCTCACCTCCGCCACGCAGGAAATATCTGTAAGCATGAGAACATTGACTGGCATTAGCTCAAGGTCGCCCTGACATAATTCAAGGAACTACGTGCTTAAAGGAGATTATCACGTCATATACTCTCTTCTTATTTCAGTATACATAAAATTATCGAAAATATACCCACATTTTAATAATATAATCATTTAAAATATTGGAATCGTTTCTGAAGATCTTGGGTATATTATGTTACAATAAAGAGGGATACGTGCCTAAACTTTAATTTGGAAATACAACTGATGTGTTTGTTATGTTATTGATAATATGTTCAGCTATGGTAAAATTGGTTAGGTTAGATTAGGTCTCATTTAAGACATTGTGTACTATTATAATATGACCAAACTTTACCAAAACAACCAACCAATCAATCAACAAATGAGTACTGTAGGTCCTGCCTTTAGCACCCGCAGCCTCACACCGCCCCTAGAGAAGGAGGGTGAGGCGGTGTACCAGAGGGTTAGATTAGTGGCGATATTATTCATTTATAATCTGTGTTGTGATTATCTACATGGTTGTCCCTATATATAAAACCATCTAAAATTCTTTATCTCTGTCTAAGAATTGGTTTAGGAAGTATTTTTAAAGGTTAGGCTTCCATTCACTAATATCTTGTCACTCTATGTTGACCTGTAGATGACCATCAACCAAACACTCTTAGTTTTTAATTACGATCGGAAAATATCTCTTCTCGTCTCCCTCCTCCCTCCCTCTCTCCTTCCCGACTGATATAACTCCTTTCCTTCCTATGTTCCTTCCGTAACTCACCTGACCTTCGGGGATGACCCACGCGTTAGAGTTTGGGAATTCAGAAGGAGGAGGAGTGGAGGAAGGTCGCGGTCAGATGCCGTATAAAACTGGGAGGCGACCGGTGTGCTGCCACAAGCTGCCGAGTGCACCTCACGCTCACACCTCACCTCACTGTGTGTCTTATTAACTTATTACTACCAGTCTCAGAAGAAGATGATGATGGGAAGTGAGTAATAATAACACCATAAAGTTATTTCATCATTCAACTCACAAACGTTTTCACAATAGACGTATGTTTCTAACTTCCTGATCAAAGTCGTTATCTGTTAGTATTGCCGGTATACAGTAACGCTCAACGTGTGTTTAAAGTTTATCATGTGTTCAGGAGTGTGGCGGCCGCTGCTGTTCCTGCTGGGTGTTGAAGCTCTCCTGACTGCCGGAGTTCACGCCAACGACGACTGGTCATGGGGCGAAGATTCCCCCCAGGTGTCCTTAACTTCGACTGTGTCCACCAGCCCGTCCCCCAGCGACGCCGATGTCGACCAAGAATCCCTCGTTGAGTCTGATATTCCCAACAAGGATGATGTCGAGCCTCAGGAAGTAGAGGGAAGAAATGCTCGATTTTTGGGTCTGGGAGAGAGGATCTGTGCCCTCGGTATCGGTGCACTTGTGAGTATTGAAAAAAAATTGTTTACTGTCTTGTTTTAATGTCTGTTGTATTGCCTGACACTAGTATGAAAATTGTTCTTCAAGAGTTTACTGCAATGGTTTAGGTCATAGCACATTAGAGGTTGTAGTTACTCCTTCATCTCCCCACAGTGTAAGAAGAAGTACCCGTCAGCTGTAGAGTCTCACTATCAAGCACCGTCCACCAGCACCTACGCCTCCCTCCCCTATGACGTCGACCACAGCCAACACAACACCTTCCTCCCGCCAGTTCAAGGGTCTCACATAGGCTTCAAACCTTTCTTTATTCCTCCTAAGCCATTTGTCGATCCCTCAAACCTCAACCCATCACATGATATTATTCAGCCTCACAACCACCCAAAACAACCCCGCCCCACTTATGCTGCACCTAAGCCAACCTATGGTGTCCCAACACCCACTTATGCTGCACCTAAACCAACTTATGGTGTCCCAACACCCACTTATGCTGCACCTAAGCCAACCTATGGTGCCCCAACACCCACTTATGCTGCACCTAAACCAACTTATGGTGTCCCAACACCCACTTATGCTGCACCTAAGCCAACCTATGGTGCCCCAACACCCACTTATGCTGCACCTAAACCAACTTATGGTGTCCCAACACCCACGTACACAGATGGTCAAGTGACGCCCACCTCTGTAGTACAACACCTCCACACTCACACCCACATTTACCAGGGAGTTGGCGACGCCGATGTCAGTCCCGCTGGCACACAGGTGGCGGTGAGTGGCATCAGTGTAGTGCCACCTGTCACAATCCAGGAGACCACCGACGTCCACGGCCCCTCACCACACCTCCCCGTCCACGGCCCCTCACCACACCTCCCCGTCCAACGCCCGTCACCACACCTCCCCGTCCACGGCCCCTCACCACACCTCCCAGGAAACATCGTGGAGGTAGAAACTCCTCCATACTTCGAGGACTGCCAGTGTGTGCTCGCCTCCGCTTGTGCCGTCTATGACATCATACCCCGGAACGGACAGGTAGACATCAGCGCCCTCATCGACGCTCGTTCTCGTGGCTCAGATATTTTATCCAACGCCACAGACGTCGAGGACGAGGTGACCACCACAGTTGCCCCAGATGATGAAGTCACCAGTCAAAATTCAACCAACCTAGAGGATGCTGCCGCCGTGACGGACACAGACGACGACTCCCGCGTCAGGAGAGATACACTGGGGGCTGCCCACCTGCATCACCCTGCTACCCACAGCGACACTTTCCCCCAGCAGGTACAGTACCTCATTACTACTGATAAAAATATCTATATAAGACCAGTAAATTGACATCAAATTTTTTTCTATATAATGTGAATATTCTATCAAGAAACTAAATAAGTCCTGTGTTACCGTTTGTCTGAATATTAATTTTATTATGGATTGTCACGACACTACAGTGAGTGAAGGAAAAAGAAAGGTTATAGTTCTGTGTACATCTTAACAACAAATATATTATCAAGTGCTCATTTTCCACTTGTTTCCAGCAACAACTCGGCGGCTACACTCCTGGTGTAAGTGACTGCGGCGCTAACTATGTGTGTTGCCGCACCCCCGTCAGTCCCCAGCCACGCCAGCAACTCTCCTGTGGTCGTCGACACTCCAGCGGCGTCCTGGGGCGCGTTAAGACACCACAGTACGTGAAGGGCAACACGGAGTTCGGGGAGTACCCCTGGCATGTGGCCATCCTCAAGCCTAACGACGACTACGTGTGTGGCGGCGCTCTGATCGACGACCAGCACGTCCTGACAGCCGCCCACTGTGTTGACGGGTTAGTTAACCTGTACATTATTCCAGCTTTCTTGTGCGTTATAGTGTAGTATGTGTAGAGGAACGTTGACTCAAGTGTCTTGTTATTCATAGTTTTCTCTTCTTCTTTCTCTTTTATAGACTGACCCATCAGCCGCTGAAGGTCCGTCTGGGTGACTGGGATGTGTACGGACCCACCGAGTTCTATAATCACTTGGAATTTGAGGCAGAGCTCGTGGTGGTCCACCCAGAGTACTACGGCGGCAACCTCCGTAATGACATCGCCGTGATCAAGATGAACCGCTACGTCGACCTTCAGTCTAAGTAAGTTATACTGGTGACAAAATCCCTAAACTTTGTTCCATAGACAGAAAGATTTTCAACAAGTGCTCCATGATTTATTATTAACTTTAATGAAGTAAAGACCAGTTTCTTCAGTTACTATTTGTATTGATTCTGTAACAGATATGTCACACGTTACCTTATTAGATAAGTCAAGTGAACTTTGTTAATCGCTGGATAACTACAAAAGTTGCCTTTTGAGATAATTGTAACAGTGAGAGTAACAATGACACATCTCTCCCCCACAGCCCACACATCTCGCCCGTGTGTCTGCCAGACAGCTACAGCAGCTTCGTGGGTCAGCGGTGCCACTCTACCGGGTGGGGGAAGGACGCCTTCGGCAGCGAAGGCGAGTACCAGACCATACTGCAGGAGGTAGAGGTGCCCGTGGTGGACCACTACCAGTGCCAACAGGCCCTCAGAAGCACCCGCCTGGGGCCCAGCTTCAACCTCCCGCAGGGCATGTTGTGTGCCGGCGGCGAGGAAGGTCGTGACACCTGTCAGGTAAGGTTCCTCTCCCTGATCACTCGCCTACACCTGACAAATATGGCTACACTTGCAGGGATTCCTCTGCCCTCCTGCCTGCATCCACCTCATAACTTTGTTTCTCTTGTGCCAGGGTGACGGAGGCGGCCCCCTGGTGTGCTCGGGTCCTGAAGGCAGGTTCCAACTGGCTGGCCTGGTGTCCTGGGGCGTCGGCTGTGGCCAACCAGGCGTCCCCGGCGTCTACGTCGACGTCGCTTACTACCTGGAGTGGCTTCACCAGGTGGGAGTCACCATCGCCCACTGACGTCCACCTGTTGTGTCGAGGCTGCTGGTCTTCAGCTCATCAACATGATGCTTTGTTATATTTATATAAATAAATAATTTAAATTAATCCTGCATTATCAATTTACATCTCTCTTCCTTATGTCTTAGTAATATGTTTATCTATTCTTTGTGATAATCAAAACATTATTTTCAAAACGCCTTTAATTTAAGTGAGTGGAAAGATAAACAGATCTCACAGGAAATTTGAACCACCCAAGTTTAAGGAAGAGTTACCCCGGGGGAGCCAGGAGGAGACGCCCCTGGGATCACTCTCTATCAAGTTTGTGTTACATGAGTTATACACGTCAGGTCGTGACCAACTGTGTGAGCCAAGACTCTCATTTGAAAAACACAACAAAAGATTCCCACAACATTACAAAGAAATTTGTATGTGAGAAGTTGTGAGCGACGGAGCTGCTCAACAACAGGTCATCGGTGGCGTTAAACACACATTGAAATAAAATCCCTCACACGCAAGTAAACAAGATCAATCAGGTCAGCAGAGGCGAGTTTTGAACGACCTGAACGGAGATAAATGCGAGCACATCTTTAACACCTGTCAACACCTTTACTGTACAGTGTTGTGGTGTAATCAGTGATGTATTGTTCCTGCTGTAAGATTCTGCGTTTAGTTTTTGTTTTGAGAGAGAGAGAGAGAGAGAGAGAGAATAGGGGGAGGGAGGGGGGTATCCTTCTCAACTTCTTCATAAAACAATCTACTCCAACACGCTACCTTTATTTAATTAAGTGATGATGCAAGTCTTTCTACGGGATTACTAAAGGAAATTCAACAGTTAAATGAATTATCGCAATTTTAGTCCCGTAGTGAGCGCTTATCACTCTTCTTTTGGTTAATTATTGTCTTGGAATAAGTGTCCTGATGCCACCAGCCCTGAGTGTGTGGAGTAATGACAAACTCATCATATTTAACACAAGTATAGATGAAGACGTGGATACACAAGCCTCCTTCAGAATACTGCCTAATGTATAAATAATAACTATAATAATGTAATTATCTATATAACTATGATATACAAAGATACTAATAATTTTAGTTACTTTTATGAACGTAAGTATGATTATAAGTGTTAGTATAATGTAATGTAATAAGGAAAACTGTCAACATAAATTTAGGTAGAATCTGGAGGTTATAGAGGGCAGCACCGAGAGCGTTTTGTTCTCAGCTCTCGGGTGTGTTTTGGTGTTTGTGTGGCTCTTGTGGTGTTGTGACTGGTATTGACGGTGTTATGGTTGACACTGGTGGTATAGGAGTATACAGCGACCACCTGTTGTCGTGTGTGGTGTCAGTGATCAGGTATTACCGAATCTATTACAAAGTTCTCTCATCAATGACCCCGACCGGAGTTGGCTATATATGTCCTTTTAGCTCGGAAACTCGCGACCCTTCCGGATAGAGTGTTTTAAGGTCAAATTGACTCTTTCTGACCAGCTGGTGTGTGTGAGCCCCGTGTTTATTGATATTCCTGGCCAAGTGTGTCCTCACCCACCACACAAACTAGCTAACTACCGTCAACTGCCTCACTCGCTCGTTACTCGCGTGTACCAGACCTTTATTGGGCGACACAACCAGTGAGTATGTTTGTGTGTTGGTGATGTGCTTGTCTCTGTGTGTTGGAGGTGTGTCTGTATCTGTTGTAGGCACTGACAGGCACACCTCCCAACTTCACTAGGACCTTCCTTAACCTTCTCCCTTTGCCCTGGACCACACAGCACCCACGGGCACGACCCTAGCCACCCTTGCCCTCACGTTATGCCCAGTAGGTGGTATCCCGGGTCAGGGAGCTCTGGTTGCATCTCCAGTGTGCCAGCGCCTCTCATCGTCACCCCGCAAAAGGAAATTGCTGATCCTCCTGAAGGGCGAACTCTCCTGTGGGCAGACTGGTGAGTGACCTGTCTCTCACTACCGGTACCTCTCATTAACCGCGACGAGTTGTAAGAAAGCGAGAGTGGAGGAGAGTGAGAGTGGACTGAGCAGTAATGGTGACCTTGAGGTGTGGGGTGGGAGGAGGTGGGGTGGAAAGGGATGGGAAGGTGGGGGTGGGGTGAAGGGTGTTGTGTCAGGTGGTGTAACACAATCATCGAGTCTCCTCACCAGCTGACGCTCCCTCCTTCCTCTACACACATACACACACACACACTTTCAAATTACAGTATTCAAGATAAAATGTTTACTGTATTAACACTACAAAATGCATAATTAATTGAAGTGCCTTTTGTCATTTGAAAATTGTTAAGAACGAGGACAGGAGACTGATCCGGAACTTGTGAGGTCGATCATCTCCGGCGGTGGTGACGGCTGGATCAACGCACTGAGGCTATCTTGTTAAGGCCAAGTTGTGTTCCGAATTAGAAGAGGAAAAATATAGAACACCAGAGGTTTATGTGATCATCATCATGAAGGAGAAATCAAGTGGACACATATATAAAAAAGGGTTTTTATTTTGATTATGGTAACAAGGAAGACACTACTGCATAATTTATGCTACACGACTCTTCACAGTGATGAAGCCGCCACTTGTTACTGACACAGTTTGAGCATCTCGTCACCGTTGTTTCTTTGGTATGAGATGCTGTGTTTTATTGAGCATTTATGGCGCTGATGTGATGGCGTGAAGCCACTGCAGGTAGTAAACAACGTCGACGTAGACGCCGGGGATACCTCGCAGGCCACAGCCGACGCCCCAGGACACCAGGCCAGCCAGCTGGAACCTGCCTTCAGGACCCGGACACACCAGGGGGCCGCCTCCGTCACCCTGACACAGAAGAAACAAAGTAATGAGGTGGATGAAGGCAGGAGGGCAGAGGAATCCCCGCAAGTGTAGCCATTTTTTGGCAGGTGTAGGTGAGTGATCAGGGAGAGGAACCTTACCTGACAGGTGTCACGACCTTCCTCGCCGCCAGCACACAACATGCCCTGCTGGAGGTTGAAACTGGGCCCCAGGCGGGTGCTTCTGAGGGCCTGTTGGCATCGATAGTGGTCCACCACGGGCACCTCCACCTCCTGCAGTATGGTCTGGTACTTGCCCTGGCTGCCGAAGGCGTCCTTCCCCCACCCGGTAGAGTGGCACCGCTGACCCACGAAGGTGCTGTAGCTGTCTGGCAGACACACGGGCGAGATGTGTGGGCTGTGGGAAGAGATGTGTTGACTGTGATGTGTCACTCTTAGTTTCCCTCTTAATCAAGATTTTACCATTTAGTCGACAATTATAGTGTGACGTCGACAGGTGTCTTACGTTAGACACATTATGAATATTTTAAAACGTAAAACAAACTTTTCTGACACCAGGCAAGAAAATAACCCCAATACAACTCATTTTATAGAAATTGCCTCGGATAAAAAAATTGCATCTTTGGAAGTTAAGGAAACTCAGAAGGAGGTAAGAAATTAACTTTTCCTCGTAGTGTAAAACCATTGGTTCTCACTAAAGTATGTAGCAGCCGTTAACGTGACTCATAACTCACAAACTAAGAACCATTCTAACATTCAGTACCTCTCTAGACGGCCGTGAGGGGTTCATTCGGTGAGGTGTAGGTACTGTACATTAACACGAGTCTATTGGACCTGTCCTGAGTAAACATTAGCACGATAAAAAAAGCTTACTGGGCTGAGAAATCAACATAGCGGTGCATCCTGATGACGGCGATGTCGTTGTGAAGGTTGCCGGCGTAGTAGCCAGGGTGGAGAGCGACAAACTCCACCTGCATCTCCACGTGACGGTAGAACTCGGTGGGTCCATACACGTCCCACTCACCCAGACGGACCTTCAGCTGATGAGGGATTAATCTGCACAAACAAAACAGCAGTGATAAACCTAGAAAAATCCTTGTAACTAATACCTTCTCTCAGTCAGTGATGCAAACACATAGTCTATGTACAGGTAAAAGGAAACTAACCCGTCAACACAGTGGGCGGCAGTCAGGATGTGTCGCTCGTCGATCAGGGCGCCGCCACACACGTACTCGTCACCATGCTTGAGGATGGCCGCTTGCCAAGGGTACTCCCCGAACTCTGTGTTTCCCTTCACGTACTGTGGTGTCTTGATGCGAGGTGCGACCCCGCTTGTATAGCTGCGGCCGCATGAGTACTTGGAGGGTCGAGGAGGAACTTGTGGGTTACGGCAACACACATAGGCTGCACCACAACCAGCTGCTCCCGGGTAGTAAAATAATGTTCGCTGGAAGATGTACAAATTGGTTATTAGACAACATTTGCTCAGGAATAACAACGGACAGATCAGACCACGCTTGAGTTGTATTTATTCATTATTAACGATAAGAATCTAGTGAAAACAAGAAGACACCAATGAAATCTTCTAGGTGTGTATAACTTACGGCTTCAGTGTCGTGTGTGGCGTTGAAAGGTTTGTGAGTGTTGTCGAGCGTGTCTCTTCTAACGCGGGTCTCGTTCTTTAACTCGATATCCAAAATCTTCGCCTGACGACCAGTGGTGTGAGGGGCGGCGTGACCACCGGGCGCGGGTGTGGTAGCAACATTTTCCTCGACGTGTGTTTCATTAGAAAGGATGTCTGATGTACGGCTGCGGGCATCGATGAGGTCTCTAAGGTCCCCGGGATTATTGCGGGCCACGATATCGTAGGAGGAGCAGAAGGAGGCGTGTACACACTGGCACTTATCGTGGTATAAGGAGAACCCGTGTGGTGTTGGTTGGCCAGCCAAAGGAGGGAAGCCACCAGTTACTGAAGTTGGTCTGGCATCAGGGCGAAGATGGACGTGTGTGTGTGAGTGATGGTAAGTCACGTCGAGTGGTGACGGGGGGATGGGTAGGTGGTCTCCCAGGGTGGGGTGAGGACGAGAGATGAGGCCTTGACCTGGGAGGGTGTTGGGGTAGTGCGGCTGAGTGTTCTTGTTACACTGGAAGAAGATTAACGCAGTGTGTACAGCATTCAGCTCCAGGTATCATCATATTTAAAACATTAAAGTCATGCATCTTATAAAGCAAATATTCATCTCATCAAAAGTGTTACTAGTGCCAGCAGAAACGTACGACAATATAGGGGGGGCAGGTGCGGCACTGAGGCAGGACACCTGGAGTACTTACATTCAAACCGATCCCCAGAGAGCAGAGTGTTTTTTGTAGTCCCAGGAACCTGCCTTGCCTGTCCCCCTGAGTGGAGACCTTGCTGGGGACACTCTGAGGAGGGCGGGGCTCCAGGGGAGGTGGTAGGTGGACTTGCCGGGTCTTGGGGAGAGCTTTATGCGACGCAGCAGGTGCAGAAGCGGCGTCGGTTCCCCAGGACCAGTCGTCGGCTGATAAAACGGCTGTGGTGGTCAGCAGGAGACACACCGCCGCCCTCACACCTGCACCACACAAAATGTTTGTCATAACACTCACGAGGATCACCACCATAACAAACAGTGTTCACGAGTACTTGATGAAGACGAAGGTTACAGTATTTCTTCTAAAACTAATGAATTGATGATTGACAAATTCACCTAAGAATTAATATCAACAAATAACGCGCGCTTACCTACTCATCTCGTTGTCAACAAAAATACACAATACTTACATGTTCGTATTGCTCTCATTCAGGCGTTGTGTCGAGTCAAGTAGGAAAAGAAATCAATATGTAAATAATAAACAAGTTATGTTATGGAGGAGGTGTACACTCCTTCGTGTCTGTGCCGCAACTGGCCGCTGTGACCCGCGTCTGGCTTCTTATACCTCAGCTGTGACCTTCCCATTCTGGATTTTCCGAGAGCCCATAACAACCTAGAGCTGTACGTGTGTGTGTATGTGTGTGTGCGTGTGTGTGTGTGCGCGTGTGCACTTGTATGGGTCTGTCCGTCTGTCTATCTGTCTATATTAACTATCTGTCTTTATTTACGTGTCTTCGTTAATTACTTTACAACCAATACTACTCAGACCTCTCACGCATCTATAAAACAAATGAATAACGTGGGTGTAAATCTCCAGGTATACACTATAACATACCTGGTCACTCTCACTGCCTGACCCACCTGTTACAAAATATTACCTGCGCTAATTAGGTAACTTAGAACTATTTCCTACCTGTAAGAATCACGCCTTTTACCTGGTACCGATATCATTCAATATTGGAGATGATAATTGGATTTACAATTTCTTTTTGACAAGGTATAAGCATATGACGTTTTTTTCGGCATATTGCTTACGTTTGTTTGTATACCTGTACTGTCTACGTATATTGTTTGTATACCTGTATTGTCTATATAGAAGGTAAATCATTGTGTACTTGTATGGATATTTTACTTAATTCCTATATATCTATTTTAATATCTCTTACATATCTCTCTCATCTATCTCATCGTCTCTTTCTCATGCTGGTAGGTGTCTCACGATCCAAGAAGATGTCTGTATGTCTATATGTCTCAAGAAGTGGCTCCTCCAAGTGTCAGGACGATGGGCCTTAAGGAACTCGAGGAACAACACCAGGAAGTTACGTTACTGAGGTGTTGGGTCTTGACTGGTAATTACACACACGTCCGCCCGCCCATTGTTGACGGCGGGACAATGACGGCTGGTGTCAAGGTGAAGTTCATTTTGTTACATTATAATTAACAAACAACAGTATAGGTGTCAGTATAGTTACTGGTAATATATATACAGGTACAGATACAAGTATAAGTACAAATGCAAGTGGGGGTTACAGTATCTATGTAAGTACGTTGTTTGTATGTCTGTCTTGTCTACGTACAGTTGAGGACATATCCGACTGGTACACTCTTCGTTGTCAATCCGTGAGGTGTGAACCCCGAGAGACGTCAGGTATAGCACCCTCTCGTCCCACCTTCACCCTCTCCCTCTCACCCCTCTCCCTAACCCACCATCCTTTCCCATAATCCCACTCCATATTATACCTTCAACAAAGTATTTAACAAAGGATTTTTTTTTACCTTTTTATTAATGGAGTTTGAGTTAAATTACAATCTTTTGATTTACAGTGAGGTTGTAAATCACTAATTTGGGTACGAGAATCACCTAGTCACTGTCACTCAACATCTGTATTTCTGCATGTGTGAAAATCAATAACTTTTCAACACACTCCAAAAATAAACTAAAAGAACCAATAAATCTTACGATAAAACGATAAAATATAAACGTTCTTAAACCAAAAACAAAACAAAGGAACATCAGCAATCCACCAAAGACCACATTTCCGAGTGTTTTAACCCCTTTATTTTATTTCCAAGTTTCCGGACGATCTTGAACTATCTGTATCATTATGTTGACGAAGCGGAGCGTCTCACAAGACACAGGCTGGCGACACGGTTCCCGACCACCTGAAGAAAACCTTATGACGAGGTGGGCGATGGCGGGAAGCTCAGACCTTCCTTCATTGTTGGCTCAATAAAATGTTGGCTGGACACCCTTGAACGCCAGACAAATGAGGGTCGCGATGCATCTCAGGCAGCTGGTAATGTTTACATCGGGAACACGCGCCAATTTTCTTGTATTTAATCACAATATTATGTAAATAAGGAAAAAACCCAAGCATTAGGTTAAATGGGAATAATTTCTCTATTTAGAAAGTTCATTTAGATATATCACTATATTTACGGATTAGGTATAAACTACAGATAAGTGAATTATACGTAGAAACAGTGCTATAAAGGGGACCTCTTAACATGGATATGATTAGAAATGTACCAAACACACACACACACACACACACACACACAGCTCTAGGTTGGTGGGGCCTCTCGGAAAATCCATATCATTAAGGTAAACAAGGTCAGAGCTGTTATGTATTACACATCTACACATTATCTTAACTACATTACCACCTCAAATATCATCTCACATAGTTTAGCTGATAAAGATAATATAACATCATAGTCACTTTACGATGAATTCTTTTTATGGCAGCGTCATTTGTATTATATTCTGTCTTTAATTATTTCAACTTGTGTAAATATGTAACTTTTTCTGTCACTATATATGAGACAAAGAGACATGTATGTAACACTGTGTATATATTTTGTAATCTGACCTAAACAATAAGGATTTAAAAACAGCTGTGACGCTTAATGGGTTAAAATAAACACTGATATGTATTTCTTTTATCGTTAATTTAACAGTGTGTGTAGAATCATGTTATCATATGTTACTTAATGTTAATATGAAAGAAGAGACACGATAAGACAACACAAGTACATAAATTATTAACTTTTGATTAATTTTCAACACCTCAAAGTATATGAAGTCACAAAACAGCTCAAACAATTGTCTAAGGTAGTGATTGGAATACGGTCACGGTAATTAAATGCGATGTTTACTACTTTTACCACTTAAGACAAAGTTGTTCCACAGACATAAGTATTCAATATTGTACAGACACTACTAGGGTCAAAGTTCAATATAGTGTCATTACGAGAGCTTAAGAATCACACTTTGTTGTATTATAGTTGAAGGTGAACCGCAGAGTAAAAAAAAATAATAACAAACCAGGAATTATTTACTCACTAATAACATATATAACAGATGGACTCCCTAATCTATAAGAAAACACAACATTATAATCCAGTAAATAACCATCAATAACAACAGTAAACGTATCATTGATCACTAAAACATAGAATCACAAAACAGTAATCAATCATCGGTATTATAAATCACATTGGATCGTAAAGTCGTGTATATCAATAACCTAACCTAACCTAACCAAACCACTTGACTATATCTTTGTGACCGTCGATGTTGAGGTTATTGTTTTCAAAGGGTTGTGTTCGTATTGAAGGGGTTAGGTCATCGTACTCAAGAGGTTAAGTCATCATACTCAAGAGGTCAAGTCATCGTACTCAAGAGGTTGTCATCGTACTCAAGAGGTTAAGTCATCATACTCAAGAGGTTAAGTCATCATACTCAAGAGGTCAAGTCATCGTAGAGATCAAGTCATCACTCAAGAGGTTAAGTCATCATACTCAAGAGGTCAAGTCATCGTACTCAAGAGGTTAAGATAATATCAACCAATAAACTAACTAAATTATTATACCCACAGGATTAACTACGTCCTAAAGGGGTTAAAACTACTCTCACAGATTTCATTTGACCTGGGAAAAAAAAGTCCACAAGTTGCTGAAATCTATTCTCGTAGGATCTTGGTGAGTTTCCAGCGTGCGTTGCTCACTTGTCTCTGTGTCAACTGTCTTGCGCAACACATCCGGGACATTTACAGAGGCTTATGTGATTCTCGTACGTCAATGTTGCTTTTTTTTGAGTTCGATACACGTCATGTCCTACTGTGTTGCGTGTGTTGATGCTCTGATTCATATGTTGTTGTTACTTGTAGTGTGATGGCCGAGTGGATATGATTGTCATATTTCGTTCTAAGGGTCTCTGGTTCGCATCCCAGATATCATTAATTTTCGGGGTTCATAAGCAGTTCTTAGGGGTCCATAAACAGTTCTCTTGACTCTACAAACAATTCACTGGGGTCCACAATCAGTTCTCTGGGGTCCATAAACAGTTCTCTTGACTCTACAAACAATTCACTGGGGTCCACAATCAGTTCTCTGGGGTCCATAAACAGTTCTCTTGACTCTACAAACAATTCACTGGGGTCCACAATCAGTTCTCAGGGGTCCATAAACAGTTCTCTTGACTCTACAAACAATTCACTGGGGTCCACAAATCAGTTCTCTGGGGTCCATAAACAGTTCTCTTGGGTCTAAAACAATTCAGGGGTCCCTAAGCCAGTTCTTAGGGGTCCATAAACAGTTCTCTTGACTCTACAAACAATTCACTGGGGTCCACAAATTATCTGGTGACCCCATCCTACTTACAAGACACGTACAAGAGGCTGTTTGTATCCCCAGAACAAGACACCTGACCTCCCCCCGGCCCTCTCTCCACCCCCAGCCCTCTCACCCCCCCCAGCCTCTCTCCACCTCTCTCTCCACCCCCAGCCACCTCCCCCATGTGTGTGCGTGTGAGATGACTTCGATACTGTGAGGTGCTGAGAGAGTGAGAGAGAGTGAGAGATAGTGAGAGGTGAGAGATGAGGAGAGAGAGTGAGAGATGAGATGAGTGAGATAGTGAGAGAGAGTGAGAGATAGTGAGAGACAATGAGAGATAGTGTGAGAGAGTGAGATACAATGAGAGATAGTGAGAGACAGTGAGAGACAATGAGAGATAGTGAGAGACAGTGAGAGTTAGTGTGAGAGAGTGAGAGACAGTGAGAGAGAGAGGGAGAGACAGACAGACAGACAGACGTCATTTAAACAACCCATTATTCCTCTTTAATCAGTTACTTAAAACACGAAACAATAAAAGCCACTGTAATTGTTGTGACTGTTTGTCCTTGTTCTACCTTTTGTGTTATTTTTTTGTTTCTAGAAAGTTGTTATATATATTGGAGGAAAGAGAGAGAGAGAGAGAGAGAGAGAGAGAGAGAGAGCAGGAGAGAGAGAGAGAGAGAGAGAGAGAGAGTCTGTGGAGGTGTTGGTGAAAGTTCCATTGTTTATACTGTCTCTGTTTATTGCTTTGTTTGTTGTCGTGTGTGTGTGTGTGTGTGTGTGTGGCTCTATTATTCCCTACATCTCTCTGTTTATCCCTATAATCTACTATATAATCCATCACTAATTACGAGAATATCCTATATGTACCCTATATAATTCCCTATAATCACTCATAATTCCCTATAATCACTCGTAATCCCCTATAATCATCCATAATTATCCCTAATCCTCTATGATACTCACCTATGATGCTCTAATCAACAGTTGCCTTATTTTCGTACAGTTGGCGACAAATGAACCTGGTACACCCACTCTGTCCGGTTGGTGGTACTTGGCAACCCATTCATAAGGTGTGAAATTTTGTGAATAAACTCGTATAACTGATTGTGAATGGTTAACATATATGGAGAAATTAAGTGTGAATTAAGTATTTTAGTCAGTATAAATCAAAGGTGTTCAGTGAATAAATGTTCGTAATCTTTATTTATTTTTTTATGTAACATTCCATACTTAGAAATTCAAGGAGTATCAAATGTGGTGTTTGGTTATTTTATACGAAATAACGTGGAACAGTTGGTCACCCTGCTCCATCTTCCTTCCACCTGCACTGTCAACACGTAATACACATACACTTCACTTTTGTTTGTCTCAAGACCCAAAACAATATGATAACACGATACAATATTACTTTAATAAACTGTGGCTATTAGAAGAAGGAATAGCCAATGAGTAATAGTAAGAATTATGTATATGAATTAATAAATCACGTTAAGTAAGCATGATTGACGATTTTTTTAATAATAAGATATCAATTAACATTACACAAAACTTATTTATTGTACATTACATAACAACAATGCCAATATGGAGAGAGAGAGAGATTACAACGAAGACACAGGTAATGGACGCAGCTATACCCTGACAACTCACCTGAAACTCACACCTGATTAACCTGTCACGGGGAACAGGTATTCAGTGTATAAGCGCCTCACCGAAGAACAAACGTAAGGGGATGAAACCTGGAGTGGCGTTACCGTAGTGTTGTTGGTGATCACTTTTCACTTTCACCAGAGAGGGGGGGGGGAGGCGTGGCGAAGGTAGTTGGGGGTCGTGGAGGGGGGGGGAGAGAAGGGGGTTGTTGGTGGGAGTGGTGGAGAGGGAGAGGGAGATTGAAAGGGGTGGCGGAGAAGTGAAGGGAGGGGTCGTTGTTCTGTTGCTTTTACTGAGGTAGAAACTTCCTGACAGTGGAGTGAAAGTGTTGCTCGGGACGCTGATGAAAGTGGTGAGAGGAAATGCTGATGATAAACACACACACACACACACACACACACACTTAATGTTTGTATTGTTTCTCAAAGTTAATACCTACTGGCGACGTGACAATAAAACGTACATGATAAAATAACACTTTATTAACGGTAAAATAATAATAATAATCTCTAACTTGAGAGTACGGAGTAGCATTACATGCTTACATACATCTCCTGACAGTGGAAGATATTGTAGTGACGACCAGCACGACTGTAGCCGTCCGCTGAGGATTACTTGGCATACTTAAATTATGCCGAGGTTACCTTTGTTGATAATTCAGTAATAAAACGAGCCTCCTGACGAAGACCTCTACGCCCTGGTGATGTCTCTGATCCAGTCGAGGTAGTGAGACACCTTCACGTAGACGCCGGGGATACCGGGACGACCACAGCCGAGGCCCCAGGATACCACCCCAGCCAGCTGCACCGACCCGTCACTCCCCTCACACACCAGGGGGCTGCCACCGTCACCCTGCACACACACACACACACACCACACGTGAGTCATTATCTCATGTGAGCTAAAAACTACTGTATGTATCACTCTCATCTTCTGCCTTATGATCAAACTTTAATATTAACAAGAGAACATGTGAGGTAATCTTACCTTGCAGGTGTCTCTGCCAGCCTCTCCTCCGGCACACAAGTTACCCTCGTGAAGTTTGAAGCCTCTGCCCAGGCGAGTTTGTCTGAGGGTGGCCTCACACTGGAGGTCCTCCATCACCGGCAACTCCACTTCCTTCAGTACCTGGCTGAACTTGCCTTCACTGCCGAAGGCGTCCTTACCCCAGCCAGTGGCATGGCAGCGCTGATGAGTAAAGTCTGTAAACTTGTCCGGCAGACACACAGGCGTGATGTGGGGGCTGAGGAGGGGATGAGAGGCGGTGTTAGCACTGGTCACTATGTTGTCAGAAATGTGATTAAAGAAATCAGCAACATCTTTTTCAGTACATAGAGCAGCGCTGTATATGACAGCCCAGGAAAAGTATACTCACTGTACAGAGAAGTCAATGGAGGCCTCCAGTCTGACGACGGCGATATCGTTGTTAAGGTTGCCTTTGTAGTACTCAGGGTGTAGGTAGACGCCGGCAGCCCTCACCTCCAGGTGGGTGTAGAACTCAGACTCTCCCGACACGTCCCACTCACCCAGACGAACCTTCATCTGCGACGGGTGGAGACTGCAACACAGTACAAAAGATGTTACAAGAAACACTCTTTTCTGAAATTGCCTGATGCAATATTCTTAGTTCGTTAATTCTAGTCATGGGTAAACATGTATTAAATATGTTTCTTAGAATAAATCACAAAAATACTGACCCTTCGAGGCAGTGTGCAACGGTTAGAACATGTTTGTCGTCGATGAGCGTGGCGCCACACTGGTACATAATCTTCCCTTCATCGCGTCTGAGAATGGCCGCCTGCCAGGGGTATTCTCCGAACTCAGAGTCTCCCTCGGCGAACTGTGCAGTCTTCACGCGACCCAGGAGACCAGCGGCGTTGCGACGACCACAGGTGTACTGCTTACGGTGGGGTTTAAACACGGGTCTGCGGCAACACACGTGATTGTGACCACAGCCGTTGAGTCCGGGAGTGAAGCCTGTCAACTGGCGCTGAGGACGAGATAGTGTTAGACATCATTCATATTCTTCAACACGTTATAAAGGCAAATTAAATGTAGATCAAGATAAACAAAAGCTTCTGCTAGACTGTGTGAGAGACAGAGAGACTATATCTTAACCCTAAAACCTCAGAGCAGGGAACCAACTTACTCCCTGACGGTCGCTGACGGGATCTGGTGCTACGGTCTCATCCTCCGTGTCGTCCACGTCCCTCCTGACCCGTGTCTCCTCCTTCTCTTCTTCTGCGGTCACTGCTTCTGTCACTGGTTCTGTCATTGCTTCTGTTACATCCTCTTCTGCCACTGGCTCAATTGTCTCCGCTTCTGTCGTTAATTCCGTCACCTCTTCAACGTCTTCTGTGGCCGCCTCAACACTCAGGTCCAGAACTCTTCCTCGTCGCCCAGGTCTCTCGCTGGAGACTTCATTTTCAGTTTCATTGGCAGAAGTAAGGGAATCAGTAGCGTTGGAGTAAATAGCAATTTTACTGTTGCGGGCATCCAGGAGCTCCCTGATGTCGCCAGGAGCGTTGCGGGCGACGACATCTAGGTCGGAGCAGAAGGCATTGGGGACACACTGGCAGTCTTCGCGGTAGGTAGGACCTAGCGGCCTGAAAAGTGTCTGTGAAACTGACGGCATTGGCTTGAACCCTGTCTCGATCCTGCCTGGTAGGAACTTTTGACCCACGACAATAGCTGGCACGATGGAGGGAGATGAGTGACTGGCACTGGCACTCTCTTGGCGGAAGCTGTGATGCTGACTGTTCTGGATGTCTTGGATGCTGCCATGACTCTTTGCAAAGTTTACCTCATGGGTTGAGCCAATACTGACATCCTGCTTCACATCCTGTCGCTGGAAGACCTGCTGAGTGCCTTGTCCCTGGTAATCGTCCTGGTAACCTCCTTGGTCCTGGTAGATGTGTGTGTGGGAGTGAGTGTGTTGCTCGATCACGGTGGGCTTAATGGCAGGGGCGGTGTAGGTTATGATGGGGTTGGCATAGGCGGGTTTTGGCTCAACATAAGACACCTTGGGCACATCATGAGAGGGAAAGACTGCTCCATAATTGGGCTTAGGAGGAGCGTAGTCAACCTTCTGGGCAACGTGAACAGGCTTGTTGTTGACAATGTAGGGCTTTGGGGCATGATAGTCAGGCTTTGGGGCAACGTACTGGGGTGGTGAGGCGGTGTAAGCCGGACGAGGGACGTTGTAGGTGGGCTTGGGAGCAATGTACGTGGGGTTGGCTGGTGGGTTGTAGGAGGGTAAGAGAGGGGCGTAGTTAGGGTTGGGGGCGGTGTAGGAGGGGTTCAGGGCTCCTTGGCCAACTTTAGGAGGAAATTGGGGCTTAGATCCGGGAATGAAGGGCTCGAGGACAGACAAGAGTCCCTTAAATGGAGACGAGTAAGATGGAGCCTTTGGTGGGGGAGGGGGACCGTGTTTCCTGTTGGGGTAAGTGGGTTTGGGCACCGGGGCCCCGTAGGAACTGAGAGGGGCGAGTGGTCTGGGGGGCGGAGGTCCGTAAGAAGACTTGACAGGCACTGGATATTTCTTGTCACACTGAAACCAAACAACAGATTACTTATAAAAATTCAGTGTCATCAGCATAAGTATAATATATCAAACGTGTATAATATCAGAGTATAGCAACAATATGTACAACGGACAGCTAGCGTGTAGGTTGTGTGTGTGTGTGTGTGTGTGTGTGTGTGTGGAGGCAGCAGTTGCTTGAAGAAAGTCACCAGCGAGACTCAGTTTGTCAGGAGAGAAAGTGAAGTGAGGCGCCGCCCTATACTCACGTTGATGCCGATCCCGTACGAACACAACTTCTCTCCAATACCCAGGAAGCGTCCCTCGCGGTCTCCGCCCTCGGCCACTACCAGGCCATCCACGATCTCCCCACCACCGTCCCCAGCTTCAACACTGAAGCTGTAGGAGGTGTGGGGCTCGAGGGGCAGCGGGTTAGCACCCAACGTCTTACGGATGAGGAGCTCCTCCACGGCACTGATTTGGGGTTCCTCTTCTGGGCTGACGGAGACGCTGAAAGTGGCAATGCCGGGTGCTGGAGCATCTTCAAAGATGTCCTTGGCCTGACGGGAGGACTCGGCGCCCCACTCCCAGTCATCGTCCCCCAGAGTCGTCGTCGCCGCCAGCAGCAACACACACAACACACCTACAGACAAATATAACAAGTTAGTGTTACGGTACTTTCACTCTGGCTGTAGGAGACACACACACACACACACGTCCTGGCAGGTACAACAAACTTCCTCCAACAAAGATCCACAGAATTCACTTTCTTTTCACTGTTTTTCCACAAATAAATCGTAAAAGAAATAAATCTCATACTCACTTTTAAACTTCATTATTGGCACTTGATGTCACTATATGAAATTAATTTACTATAAATAAATAAATAAATAATGACGAGGTCGGGAGAGCAGGAGCGCGCGTCTTCTCCGCCTGGCGAGAGTGGACTAACTTGCCACCCCTCAGGTCTGCTGCTTTATATGTGTGAGGCGGGGCGACCGTCACTCACCGACCTTCACTCCCGGTACCGGCACCCGGGTCACGAGGGGAACAATAACACTGCCCTGTCTATTGACCCCTGCAGGTTGACCATAACCATAGAATACTCTCTCTCTCACTTTCTCCCACCCCCCTCACTCTCTGTCTCTCTCTCACTTCCTCTCTCTCTCTCCTCTCACTTTCTCTCTCCTCTCACTTCTTTATCTCTCACTTTCTCTGTTAAGACATTAGCCACTCTCTGATCAAACGAGTTAAATCATAGAAAGTACACAAGGTGAAAGGTGGAGGGAAGAGAGTGGAGGGACTGTGAGGTGGAGGGGTGAGAGAGGTGGAAGGGTGAGGGAGGTGGAGGGGTGAGGGGAGGTGGAGGACTGTGAGGTGGAGGGGTGAGGAGGTGGGAGGTGAGAGAGGGAGGGGTGAGAGAGGTGGAAGGTGAGAGGTGAAGGGGAGGAGGAGGGGTGAGAGAGGTGGAGGGGTGAGGGAGGTGGAGGGGTGAGGGAGGTGGAGGGGTGAGGGAGGTGGGAGGGGTGAGGGAGGTGGAGAGGTGAAAATAAACAGACACACAAGAAAAAGGAAAGGACTGAAGAGCTATGTGTGCATCGTGTATACATGTGTGTGTATGTATGTACGTTTTGTATTGGTGTTCTGTGTACGTGTGTATATGTATATAAATCTGTAAATAGTAAAATAGTATGTAGTCATATATGTTTATGTGTAATAGTCTGAAAGAATTGTGTGTACGTTGTGTGGTATGTGTACGTATATGTGTAAGCGTTGTGTGTACGTATGTGTGTGTCTGAAAGAAAGGGGTTCATGTGTCGTGAGCAAAAACCTACCTCACGCTGCTGTGGGGGGGGGGGGGTAGTTGGAGAGAGGACAGAGAGAGAGAGAGAGAGAGAGAGAGAGAGAGAGAGAGAGAGAGACCACCAGCCTTACTACCACTTCAGGACTGTGTTAAAGGGCCACTTTACACCTCACTTATAAACCTTAATGATAAAAAGTTTCTCACTGCCACAAGTGTCACGCGTCACGAGGTGTCACGCCCCCTCCACCCCTTTATGGACGTGAGACTGTGTACGGGTGTGTGTGTGTGGTGGCGGTGTAAGGGTATGTGTGTCATGGTGGTTGTGTACGAGTGTGTTTGTGTGTATGTACGTGTGTGTGTGTGTGTATGTGTGTGTGTGTATGTGTGTGTGTATGTGTGTGTGTGTGTGTGTGTGTGTGTGTGTATGTGTGTGTGTGTGTTTATGACTGGAGGAAGGAGGAAGAATTACCTGCATGGCACTTTTAATCACAGAGGGAATTACCTCAACAATGACTCAGGTGTTAGAAAGTCCCTGGTTCACCTGTGTCTTACTAATTAGTCCCTGGCTCACCTGTGTCTTACTAATTGTTCCCAATCTCACCTGTGTCTTACTAATTAGTCCCTATCTCACCTGTGTCTTACTAATTAGTCCTTGGTTCACCTGTGTCTGGCAAAATTTTAATCACCATCTTTGCTTGGTGGGTTAAGGAACTCAGATATGGTTTTAATGCACAAGTTAAGGAAGGTGTGAGTGTGTGTGAAGCTCTTGAGGGCCAGCCATGATCCCTAGAGCGGACACGACCTATATACTCAGTGTAGTTAACCATTCGAGTCCAGTGCCTGCCCTCCCTCTAATGTTTCACAATCACGTTCTCTCTCTCTCTCACTCACTCTTGTTCATTCATTCTATTTCTCTTTCTCTCTCTTGTTCATTCATTCCATTTCTCTCAATCTCTTTCCCTCTCTCTTTGGTGCTAGAGGAAGGCGATGACAAAGGGAGGTGAGGGAGAGCACTGTGCATCCTCCTCTCTCCAGGATGGTAAGAGGTGACGCATCCTTCCGCTCACCACCTCACGTACATTCCTCCTCAGGTAAAAGTAATACTAGGGAGTGTTCCTCGCCGCCCCCCCGTCCACCACCGCCGACGATAGGGGCAGGCAGGGGGCATCACAGAGAGAGGGAGAGGATGTTTAGTGTCACCAGGGCAGGCAGGGGGCATCACAGAGAGAGGGAGAGGATGTTTAGTGTCACCAGGGCAGGCAAGAGCATCACAGAGAGAGAGGATGTTAGTGTCACCACAGGCAGGGCAGGGGGGCATCACAGAGAGAGAGAGAGGCTGTTTAGTGTCACCAGGGCAGGCAGGAGGCATCACAGAGAGAGAGAGAGGATGTTTAGTGTCACCAGGGCAGGCAGGAGGCATCACAGAGGAGAGAGAGAGAGGCTGTTTAGTGTCACCAGGGCAGGCAGGGGCACAGAGAGAGGGAGAGGATGTTTAGTGTCACCAGGGCAGGCAGGAGGCATCACAGAGACAGGGAGGAAGTGTAGTGTCATCAGGGCAGGCAGGGGCATCACAGAGACAGGGAGAGGAAGTGTAGTGTCACCAGGGGCAGGCAGGGGCATCACAGAGACAGGGAGAGGAAGTGGTGTCACCAGGGCAGGCAGGAAGCATCACAGAGACAGGAGAGGAAGTGTAGTGTCACCAGGGCAGGCAGGGGGCATCACAGAGAGGAGAGGATGTGTAGTACCAGAGCAGGCAGGGGGCATCACAGAGACAGGGAGAGGAAATGTAGTGTCACCAGGGCAGGCAGGGGGCATCACAGAGACAGGGAGAGGAAGTGTAGTGTCACCAGGGCAGGCAGGGGGCATCACAGAGACAGGGAGACGATGTGTAGTGTCACCAGGGCAGGTAAAAGATCAAATTTGGTCTCTAAAAAGTAAACTCTAGAACCAGAAGAAGAGGGACCTGTGTGTCTGTACGTACGTGTGTGTGTATATGTGTGTATGTGAGCGTGTACGTATACTTCTGTGTGTGTGTGTGTGTACATGCCTGTAGATCTATCGCTTTCAATGTCACCCTCAAAGCATAACGTCACCAGAGAAACAATTGGCAGGTTACAGGGCGTCCGTGAGTGTTTTGGCGGGTAAATAGAGCAGACAGTCGAGGTGGTCTATATACGCAATACTCTTGACGTAATCTCAGGAAATACGCTGCGTACGAGTGAGAGAGATCCCGGATGTGTGTGTGTGAAGTGAGACAGTTACAGTTATCACCAGTTACAGTCATCAGCATCACCACCAGTTAGTTACAGTCATCCTCATCACCACCAGTTAGTTACAGTCATCACTATCACCACCAGTTACAGTCATCACCACAAAACAACATAGACTTTACCCTCACAAAGAATACATTATTTTTGTTATATTTTTTTTATTATTCGTAATTGCCTAAGTCACCCTGTTGGCTCTAATAATTTAACAATCATATTTTTTGGTAATTTATTTTTACTATTTTTTGGGGTTGACTGAAAATGGTTGTACAGTTTACGGTTCGAAAAAGGTGAAGAATTTTGACCCAAGAGAATAATATTTTAGGTCTTGGAGTATCTTTCATATTTCCTGGTTGTTGAACTTTCACTCAGCGTCTCGTGTTTCCTCGTCCAACTGAAACCTTCACTCTAACACGTCCTGGAAGCCTCAGCCTCTCACATTCCAGACTCAGGTGAACCCTCCACACCTGGTCAACCCTTCCATACCTGGTTAATCTTCCACACCTTCAAGAAACCGTCAGTTATTTATTTTTCCTTTTCCAGGTGACGTCGAGTTGTAATTACATCAAGTCTCTACGGTAACTAGAAGGTACTTTTTATCCCCAGTCACAAGGAAGGACATTTGAGACCCTGGGAGCTGATGTGGTGTCTGGAAGCGTCATCCCCCAGCAACACAACAGCTGATCGTACTGGAAATAGAAAAACAAAATCACATCAACGTCAACAAGAGGAGGGAACACACGTCGACCAATCACGAGATGTCTTGTATTAAAGAAAAATGACCAATCACATGCAACCAGAATAACACGGTGGAATAAAAGGTAATTTTCTTATTTTTACGCTTATTTAGACCATTATGTTACATGTCGGCTAGAATATATCAGGTAAGTGGTCTTGTTTCATGGTGTGACTGGGGGGGGGGAGGAGAGATGAGGAGGGGGCGAGGAAGGGGAAGGTAAGAGGGGGTGTGGAGAGGGAAGGTAGGAGGGGCTGGGTCTCACCTCCACCTTGCATCCCCCTCCCGCCAGATCCAGCTCGTCTACCACCTCCTCCGTCTCTCCAACATATGAGCGAAAGAAAATCAAGGCGTTTAGCATCTGTTCTTGTCTCTTATACTGTGGCGTTGGTCCACCGTTAATATCGTGTGTTATGTATAAATATAGATCTCAGAATGTACTAAACAGCACCAGTAACCATCTAACTCTGGTAATGACAAATAGTAATCAAATTTATCACGAAACAAGCATGCATAGAGACTGGCCAGAGTACTCCTTATCCTCTCAAAAATGGGTATAAATATAAACACACAGATCTTACACCTTCACCAGGAACATAAAAAAAAGTAATATAAGTAAATAAGTAACACGTGTAGGTATCGTGGCGGTATGGAGCGCTTAGGAACAAGTTACACAAAGCCAGAGTAACTCATTGAACCAGAGCCCCGGGCCGGCCATTGCTCCGAGACGCCTGGGGAACTCCTCGTACTTTCACTTTCTGCCTCACTCTTACCATCACGTGAGCATTATTTTTCTCGTCGCTGGCTCTACCGTGTATCGTTCAATGGACCATAAATAATGCTTAAGCTAACTTCAGTGTTCGTATGTCAAGGTAATGTACAACAGAAGGTAGAGAGGTTAATTAAAAGGTTTGTATTTTTAAGGTACCAAATGATAAGGTAATTGATTATATTGTCATGGAAGCCAGGTGCGTGGAATTACGGTTCTGGGGTCAAGAGGTTCTGGGGTCAAGAGATTCTGGGTTCTAAAGGTTCTGGGGTTAAGAGATTCCGGTGTCAAGAGATTCTGAGGTCAAGAGGTACTGGGGTCAAGAGGTTCTGGGGTCAAGGGGTTCTGGAGGTTAGAGGTTCTGGGGTCAAGGGGTTCTGGGA